GAGTCCAGTGAAGCCCGAAGTTATCAGTCGATTCTTTAAGGTCGAGGGAATGCTATCGCTGGGCAATCTCGAGTAATCTCCGCGAAATGGGCCCAAGCGCTGGAATCGAGAATCGAACTTAGGGCTATGACTATAAAAGCTTGAAAGCCACCCGGTCGTACATCTCAACGATTGACGATTGCTTTTGTACAGGACGTCAATCGAAGTGAATTGGATTCGACAACTTTTCAACTTCATGGCAAAACAAATATAAGGAGCCAGATACTTATATACAACATAGACCTACACCTTCCACCGGTTATCGTCGGATGACAGAGGTTATGGTCCACTTGCTGCCCGAATCTGTCAGAACAGGGTTGAAAGCTATGGCAGCAACGTAGTGCTACAATTATTGAGGGGAGAAGGTCGAACCCAAGACACCCTATCCATGCGACTTTATGCCATGGGCACAGAATGAGAGGGTTCGGCTTACTGTACAATGTGCGTTCTCCATCTTCAGCATATGGAAGCTGGATATCCACTTCCATACTCGATCTTTCTATGGGAGCTTTGAAAGCATGGCTTGCTTGCTCATCGAGAAGAAGCGAGACCAGAGCCCATAGAACCTGCCGAGCACTCTGTGCAAACCTTGCCTCATGAGCGAGTCATTTATCTACTTGTGACTTGTCTCGCTGGGCCTTCATGACACTAGGGCTATTATCGGCTGCTTTGGAGATTGGCGTATCTTTCGAATACGGAATTTAGACTACAACCCCTATGACCCTAGATTACTAGGTCCGATCCAATTAGTCCCTAGAATATGTGGAAGACCTTTCGCACATACGGGAAGCTCTAACCAAAAGCAGCGAACTAGAAACACAGGATGTCAGCCAGTACATGTCTCGCAGCACTTTCGAACTGGTCAACAGAATTTTCTATGACTACGTCCACACCTAAGCCTCCTAATTTTTGCGATCGGCTATGGCACGCGTTTTGATATCGACTTCTACCCATATGATGCAAGAGACACCGGCGAATGGCCTCGCTGAGTACGTTTGAACTAGTACACAAATTCTTCCACGCCCAGCTAGTGCGTCTGCCGAAAACCTGCTTCCACATTACCACAGCACTGCTGCAGGAACTGCAGGATATCTCTCTACTAAGCGACAAGCTCTTTTTTATTGCCCTCCGCCACCCTCTACCTTTTTCTTTTCCCGCTATGCCTGGTATCCAGGATAGCAAATGGGCTGATAGTTGGGAAGAGGAGTACCCAGCCCCAGGGGATATAAAACGCTTTTATATATCTCTACAGACAGCCAAAACAGTATGAAGATCCTACAGCGCGGCAACTATACGCCTGCTACTAGATGGCTTGACAACCGATATCTCTTTATACGAGACCTCCTACAGGCTGGTGAGGCTCGTTTAAGGGTCGTCCCGTCAAGTGAGAACGTGGCAGACGCGTTGACCAAACCGTTGAATCGCAAGGCTTTTATGGCTGCGAGAAAAGGAATGATGTTGCAAACTATCAACACCTTGAAGGATGAAGATATTGCCTAATCAGGAAATTACGCTGGCTTCTACGGCGTGAGGCCTAGGGGTGTGTTGACCGCGGGTTCCCGTTCTGGCCTAGCGCCTACGCGCGCCTTTGTTAGATAGTTATTCTTACCCCTTACCACTTTTAGTTTCGTAAGTGCCCGGTTGCGACAAGTACTCTGGAGGTCCCTTGATGTGGTTGTTACCGCTAGTGAGGTTTGTATGCGGGAAGTCGATACCCGCTGCAACATTTCTGAAGAAGTCCCTTTAACTCGGAAGCGTACGCCGACGTTATCCTTACTGATGACGAGGAGTACCTCAAATATTTGGAGTATGAGGACGGCGCCGGTTACGATATCGAAATCGAGCATAGTCAACCAAAAAGGTTTATCAGGTTATCTCGAAGAGGAGGGTTTTATCTCGGACGAGGCTCTGTATCGGGCTATAGATATTGCTTTCGGACAAGGATTACAAGGTTCTCCAAGAGAGCTTCGATAAAAGCATGCACAGAGTCATCAGGTATCTGTGTGACTATGCTCAAAACGCCCCTTACGAAGAACTTTCACCCTTCAAGAGAGAGAGAGGCGCCTAGTTATATATGACATGACTGTCACCGATACTATTGGCTGTCATATCTACTGATATTGCCTATGTATAACCCTTGGCCGAGCGAAGAATGGATTATACATTGCCGGCAATATGAGAGCCCGCCTTTGGTATACAGCTTATCAAGCTCTCAACTTATCGTAAAGTCTTGAAAGTCAGATTTTCTGGCTACCGGTCTTTACATACTCGAGGAGTAGTGATGTTAAGATGGAAACCTTTCTCCAATCCAACTTAAGTCTTGTGGGCAAACAAATACAGCTGTTTCATTGCGAAACAGCAACGCAAACTTATGCCGGGGGAATTATAACAATCGAAACGGCTGACACTGAGTTATGATCATTACGCCATTAATCCCACACTTTCCGCAGACCGCGTTCTTTCCAGAGGAGTGCCAGCTCAGCGATGGTAGTCATGCGGATGCAGCGGGTCGAGTGACGGTACCAATTGAATAGGACGAGCCTGTTGAACAGGAAGAGGGAATTGAGTGTATCAAAAAGGGTGGAGAGAATAGGTCTTCTTGCAGAGAATGAGTCCGCCGAGGATGATGACCGCCAATTACAACCGTACTCACGAAGAGGAAGTACGAGGAATTGGAGGAAAAGTTCGAGGGCCTCCGTACGCGACACGACCTCGGGGTCCAAGAACTACAGGCCCAGACAGGGATCATCGAACAGCAGAAACGGGCTATTCGATACCTACGAGATAAAGACGACAAGGGACCACCTCCGAGCTCCCCGACAGCATCCACATCTTCTAAATCCCCATATTACAAGGCCACCTCTCCTTGGGAGGAGTCGTTCCTTGAAAGGAATCAGATTATTGCAAGATCGAAGTTCCCTACCCCCGGACCATCCCACTGACCGCATACCAATTTGCCGAAGTCCAATATTGACCCTGATTCTTGTTTTCTCTCCCCTTTCCTTTATCTTATTTGAAAATGGTTGTAAGAAAATCTGGGTATAACCAGGCCTTTTGTCTTCCGAGGATAATTGCCGCGTATTTGAATGTTTCTTTTGTCAACAACCAGGGAGTATGAATTAGTCTCACATCGCCCGGTTCTTAGTTCAATACAACCATCAGATTGACCTCATTCCAACCCTGATTCATTATAGTACGGCCGCGTACTTGAAGGCTTTTCTCCATCAGCAACTAGTATGAAATCAGTCTTCCATAGCCTAGAACCTAGGGGAATACAACTATCTTCTATCCACAAACTAAGACCCACATTCCGTCCAGATTGACCCTACACTGGTTTGATATCAAATATGAGACAATAATTGGGGGATTTTCAGAGACTGCTCTTGTCTGTCCTACATTGCGGGGCCGAAATAGGAGCCTGGAGAAGGAAGTTAGCAAATTTACTCTCCTAAGATACTGAGCGAAGCATCCGGTATACTAATAGTATACAAAATCCTTGTATACATTGTATATAGCTGGCTCAGTCGGGAAGCCAAACCTTCCTCACTCCCACTCGATCATCCAAAAGAAAGAGAATAGAAAAGAAATCATATCCACCCCTCCTCAACCCCCCTCCTAACAGCCTCCTCCCTCTTCCTCTTCACCTCCTGATCCTCCATATCCTCCCCCTCAAAAGGTCCCACCCAAGCCCACGCCCCAAAATCCTCCTCCACAGGTCCCCTCTCCTCATCCACCCACTCCTCAAACCCCATATTCCCAATATCCAAATTACAAAACATACCCCACGCCCTCGTCCATGGAATCCGACACATTCGATATCCCTTCCCATTCCCCTCCTCACCGTTCTCTTCATCTTCCTCCCGATCCTCAGGAAGCACATACTCCACCAACAAACAAGACTCCATCTCCAGACCCTTCTGGTCAATAATCAACCAATTTGAAGTCGACAGATTCCCATCCTTGAATAGCTCTTGGGCGACTAAATCGTCGAGGTAAGTGTATATCTCATCAGGGGATTTGGAGGCGAATTCATTGGTGGCGTCTGTTAGGGTGATTTCTTCAAAAGGGAGTGGTGGGATGCTGGGGGTTGTTGGTTCCGTTAGGGGGCCGGTGAGTAGTAGGGTCCATTGGGGGGGACAGTTGAATTCGTAGTCTGTGAGTTGGAGGAGAGCTTTGTTTATTGTCTGTTTAAACGTGTTTTGTTACTTTAGTGGGTTGATGGGGAGGGAGGGAATGGTGGTTTTCTTGGGGGATGAGAGCGAGTAGTTAGGGTTATGGTTGGGTTGGGTTGGTTTGGGTTAGGCGTGAGTATCGTATAGGGCATGTCACATACTTTGATTGGGGCCTCTGGGGCAGTGATGAAGATGGGCCAGTTGCTCATTGTTATGGGTTTAATGGATTAGTTGATTAATTAGTTAAAGGATTGAGTGAATTATTAGAGTGGATGAATTTCTTGTGTGAGATTAAAGATCTGGATATACTTATACTTTTATAGCTTATGTTTATTAGGTTAGGCACGGGGCCTTGTGAAGATGAAGGCAGCAATAGGCGGTGCAAGGCAGCAGGGCTGGTGGGGAGAATTTAATTGATCGACATGGTCGTTGCTGCAAGGGGTAACGCCTCTTTTGGACCCACTTTTCGACAACGTGAATGGCAATTATGGAGGAATTGTGTTAGTTGGTGTGGTTGTTGTGAGGTCGCTTCGGTTTGAAGAGGATAGGGTGAGAGGCCCTGGTTGGAGATTTACGTACAATGGTTTTGTTAGGACGGACGTTGCAACTGTAGAATGATATTGTTTGCGTACTAATTGAAGCAATCTTTGCTGTTGAAACAATAATGAGTGACAAAGTATAGAACAGAATACACAGTATGGTCATATCTAAACAGGCAAACGCAACAGCCATGACACGACGTCAGAGTAGACTACACGCACTGGAAAGTACAGTCTTGCGACATTCTACCTACCACGACCCAACAGTCGGGGTAGTGTAACTCCCAGAAACCGTACCCCCCGAACATTGGCTGGGAACCGCATTGGCCGTGGAAGAGCCCCAACTAGCAGGGACAGTGCCACTTCGCCTTCCAACAGCACTCAAGAACGCTGCATATGACCAAGTCAGATCGGACGCCGAAACCGGGGTGCCCTGGTCCCGGCTGTACTGCTCGGCCATAGCACCGCCATCGGGAGTATACTCCTGGACAACGGAGATGAAGCCGTCTGCGTAGGCCTTGACAGCGCTTGTAAGGGACTCGTAGGCTGAGGAAGACTTGGCATAGGATCCGGTGGTGACATTGCCGGAGAGATCCTTGAAGAAGGGAAGGGAAGTTTCGGTGACGTTCACCTGGCCTTGCTTGTCCCACTGATACAAGGCGTCGTAGAGCAATTCCGCAGCAACCAGGGTAGTAAGATACCTATTGTCTATTAGTTTAAGGATTGAAATAAATGTGAGAGAGAGTACCAACCATGGATTGCCTCCCTGGTAGTTGTCCTCTGCGTAACGGCCTACTGCCGCGGCCTTTCCGGCTCCACGTCCATTGTTGATACCGTAGACCGACCGGAAAGAGTCAACCACAAGCTTATGGTTCGACAGAGCGCGAGAGGAGCAGGGTTGGAATGTGGTATCATCACAAGCAGCAGCTGGGTCAAAAGTATGGATGGAGCCCAAAAGTGAGTTGGTATCCAGTCCACTGCGCCCATTGGTAGGTAGATTAGAAAGAACAGCGGACCCATTCCAGAAGTCCTGAAGATGACAGAGGATTTGCGGCGCCACGGAGCACGCCTGACATTCCTCTCCGAGAGCCTTCGCAAACGCGTCGCCCTCCACCAAGGCCTTGTGCTGCACAGCAACGGTAAAGAAGGAGCTGCCCTGGACCTCTTCCCAAAGATCAAACCCGGTCTGGTTCCAGTATTGACCTACGTAAGACAAATCATTCTGGACAATTGGCCAGAGGTTGGCTTTGACAACAGATTGTTTGTCGTTGGCGAGTAGGGAGTTGCCATATGCGATCAAAGCGGAAGCACGTAAAGCTGGTCCATCACGCTGGGGTCGACCCCAAGAATCAGTGAATTGAGAGATATTGACGTAAAACTTGGGCTCAGCAAGACCCGAGCCATCCGACAGACTGCCTGATGGGTTGGAGACTGCCTGCTGCTTCGCTTGAGAGTCAACATAATTCTGGACCGTCGACTCGAGAGTCGCATCTCCCCCAATAAACTGCTCTATCACTTCTGCCATAGTCAGGCCAGCATCACGCGTCCAGGTATAGAAGTCTAGGGAAGATCAGTTCTGTGGTCATATGAAGCGGTCTTGAGGATAACATTGTACGAACAGTCAGGATCACTTTTGGATGGGGAGGCCACAACGATACCCGCGGCAGCCCCCTCAACAAGCTTGCCGTCGGCACCGATATTATTGAGGACGCCCTGTTTGGCAATGGGGGTCTGTTTCTCAATGAAGGCGTTGACATCCGACTGCCTCTTGTGGACAGGGAACGACGGATGCGCGACAGCGCCTGCAATGGCATTGAGGGAGAAAAGGAAGCTGTTCCGCATGATGAAGATGGCTTCTAGGAAACAGGAAATAATCGTAGGCGTTTGTTGGCTGCCTCATTCAGTGTGAGAACTTCTGCTGCTTTTATAGCGCGACCTGGACACAATGTAGATAAAGCCGTGAACCGATCAGCAATGGGTTACATTACATTAACTAGCAGGCAACGGGCCGATCAGTCGGAGATTACTTGTCTCGCAACGGTTCTCGCAGGGCAAGGATCCATCATGAAGCAGGTCCGGTATTAATTTCCGGGATTCAGCGCGGCGGATCCAATTGAAATCGATATTGCGTCGGAGCGACTAAAAGTGATCATCCCGACATCTGCCCGTGCCGCCATTCTCTTGGATGTCACTGGTAGAAACCCCATCGGGCTGAACCCCCGAGTCTTAGTTGAGTCTAAATATTCTTATCCAGCGGAGTGTTATTCTTGACTGTGGTTTAAGTTAAGCCAGGATCGGGGCCGAGTGGAGTGATGTACATACGGGTAGTATCTGGACCGTGCCTCAAGCATTCTTCAAACTTAGCAATATTTCTCATGTCAAGTAAATGTCTCACCGTTTGAATTAGATGCCCCAAGTTCGGTGAATGGCCGATTCGCCGCCATTAGGCCGACACGATGTCTTAAGCTCGCGATATGCATATATGCATCGGCATATGCCTCCCTCTTGGGTTAGCTTAGCTTTGAATTAAAACGGATGCCCTGGCACTCGTACGGGTAGTAGTTATGGAGATCCTTGGATTATCCTCGGGTGCCTGGATTGAGATGTGTAAACGTTTTCGAAGTAAGCAAAGTTCATGACGTTATTCATCTCATGGACGTCATCACATGGCCTCCACCGCGACTTCGACTGATGATTCGGTTTCCACCGGAGACCCTTGCAATACGACTAATTGACTGTACTCCAAGAATGCCTCTAGGGGTGAATTTAGCTAGACCGACCAGGGACGGTTACATACCAGTGTGGAAGACCTCCTCTTGGCATGGGAGGCGTAGTTCTGGCTGCCACCCAATGGGCGGAGGCATAGTTTCCATGTTGAAGTCCAATTACAGACAGTGCGTTTCTATACTGCCATATCTTTACTGTAACAGGTAGCCGTTGCGCAGGGGCATAGTGTCCGATGAATAACTACCCGCATGCTGGCTTTGATCAGCCTTTCTTCATGGTTACTTGGGTTGGAACTGGCTTGGCTGTGGTTCTACTGTCTGCTAGATGCTTCACAGCCTGGAAAAATTGTCCAATACACTGGACCTGACCTAATTCTGTCGATAATTACTTTTGTAGGTCCCCCTGTTAAGCAGATAGCCAGACGACTGACGAGAGCCAGACTCTTGGCATTGCAAGCATGGCCATGGTCATAGTGGGAGCAGCATACAGCCTCGGAACTCCCTCAGCTACCCTAAAAACCAATGACGATAAGGATGCTCTGTTGTTTGGTTGGACGAATCAGTTCTTGGCTCTCGTTGCTATTGGTCTTGGGAAGGTTGCCCTTGTCGTTTTTATAAACCATCTCCAGAAACACGAAGTAAAGTACAAGAGGGTGTTCCTTTGGTTTATTGCCGGAAGCAATTTCATCGTCAATATGATTGCTGCTGTTTTGGTCTCTGTTCAGTGTTCCCCTGCAAAGAAGCTATGGGATGAACGGATACCCGGACATTGTCCTGGGCGGAAAGGAGTTCAGGTCTTCGGATATATTCAGGGACGTGAGTAGCTTACGCCAAGGAAAATGAATCTGGGGTTAATCAGCTGTTGTTATAACCTACTCGGCGTTTTGTGACTTTGCTTTAGCGGTTTACCCCGTGCTCATATTCCGGAAAGTCCAGGCGTTTTCACTCGCAACCAAAATTGGACTTTCTGTCCTTATGGGGCTTGGTGTAATGTAGGGAGCCCTCCAGCAAAGCAACGGTGTTTATTGACTTAAAACAGGGCAGGGGCCTGTACGATAGTCAAGACAGTTAAACCGAAACTTTTGACCAAACTTGAAGATACTACGCACGTACTCACGGAGGCTCTGATCTTAGAAGTGAAGTAACTCATACTAACTATCACTCCAGGGACATTAGCTGAATTGATTCTGTGGAATCAGTACGTACGATATATGACCGGGCTAGTTAGAATATGGAGGATTGACGCGATTCAGGACCGAAATGTGGGTTATTTTCATTGTCAGCTGCATTCCACCGCCCACAGCCTTTTTCAGGTTTGCATATCGAGAAAGTGCCAGCAGGGTTAGCTCGATCTTCCACCGGGTACGATCTGGTGATGAGATATAAAGGTTTGTCTGTCATGATGTACTGTGTATTCTCATCTGACGCCCTACTAAGACAGTGGACAGAGCTAACACTAGAACCTTGCCTCTAGACGTGTCTATATTACAAAGATCTCGATTATAATTATAGACGTCCTTGTCTCACTAACCGGTAACCATTTCTTTCTCTGTTCCTTCACTTTGTCGCACAATGTAAGCTCGGCAATATCCGATGAAACAGGCAATATGTTCCAGAAAGTCCGACAATGTGGCGTCATAAATCAAGGTCACGATGCGTGGACCCTAATAGTGCATCTAAGTGTTCCGGCCTGAACCTAGAATCCATTTAAATTGATATACGTAACAGCATGGCATGCGTGGAAAACATGCATGGCTACATATTCATGCTGGGCTATTGCCAATGTGGTGTATCCAGCCGGGTGGCCGCCACACATATTCTAATGCGTAAGTGTCTGAAGCCTTTCCTACCATATTGAGAAAATGAATCCTCAATTAGAGATATTCAAGAGCGTCATTCGATCATTCCAGCCCTCCACACCGGTTGCTTGGGCACTGACTCTTTATCACAACCCAAATCCAATGTAACGGATGAGAGGATAATTACGTTGAAGACCCGAAATCCAGTTCCAATTTACAGATCAGCACGCCACATTCGGCAAACGCTTCGATTGCATATGCTCCACTAATCAGCAGGCATGTCTGATGACGAGGCGTTTCTAGAATGCTACGCCGAACAGCGTCGCGTGAACACTCAAACTTTTTCGAATAGAAGTAGAAGTGGAGGGGCTACAATGGGAATAGCAACAGTTACTGCCCAAAGAAGAATGATACCTCTTGGCTTTACTAGTAGTGATCTGTCCCGTGGTTGCAGTGAATATCGCGGTCTCGGGTATGTACACCACGGATGACTGGATGGCCTACCCCAGAGATTGACAACATATGCACGACAAGCTTCGAGATCACACCCGGGACAATTGCAAAGTGACCAATGTCTGAATCGTCAACGCACTTATGTGACTGGGCTAGCAAATCGCCGATAGTTGCGCACTTTCTTGATGTATAATCTAGGTTTAGTCCGAACCCAATTGCGCGAGGTTGTTCCCGCCTCCTAGCCATGTGCAGAACTCACCAGACCGCGTGCATCCTGTTCTTGCCTCAAGCTGGTAGCAGTGGGTTACACCCATTGAGGCTTGGCTGCGGATAGCGCAGGTGATGTGCTCGAGTTGCACTGCATTGGTGTACTGGCGGGATGCGGGTTATTGGTGGGGGATGTCGTCCATGTACTCGGGTCACGCCGGCAATGAACATAGGACAAACGCATTCGGATCCTGTTGGTATTGTGAGCTGGATGTGGATACAGATACATGCAGAGGCTCCAGCTGGTATTCGGCAGCGAAATTTTATGCGGCATTTAAGGACCATGAGGAGGAGACAGGTAGGAGAGCCGTGTACCGCATGCGTTTTATGGTACAACAATATGATTCCAAACGTATCATACTCTCAGACTGATACCGATGATCTGCAGTACTGTTGATCTTTTTATTTTATTTAATTTCATTCAATCGAGTTACTGCTTTCCAACACATGTCCTTGGCTTATTATGTCTGTTACTGATACGATGTGATATGTCAACCCTAAGCCGATGTCCCACAACAGCACCTCAACCTTCAGTCTTTCGACATAAAATGAAAGTCACACTTAATCTTCCCTGTGAAACGTTGTTTTTTCGATTTTTCTTTATACCCCGCAACTTTGAAACACTTTGAGCTACCTTTCATAGGGTGCCTACTGTGCACTAGTCATTTAGCGCCCAAGATTAAACGATTAGGCTTTAGGTGTCTATCCAACCATCCCCTCCAGTTGCAGACCAGCGGCTAATTGAAGCATATAGAACTGCCCAATCTAATTTTGACCTCGCTCCTTCACTGACCTCGTTATACCGGTTGTGCGGCCTGATGCCTCGAATAGTCTCCACCCGTGGTCATGTCGAAGGCGAAGATTGTCTTACAGGTTCTCTTATCCACTAGTCCTGTCGGAGATTATGCCACTCTTTGTTCAAAGCTGACCATGTCTGGGTTCCGTTCCCTTTTTACACCCCCGTCTTTCAGGAAATATCCTTTATACCTTATTCAAGGTTACAGTCATTATGGTTGCATCTGTGGAGGCCTCCGTGACTTTTAGAGAAGCATATAAGAGAGGATGTGGGCATACGAAACTCTCATCATCGTAGACCTTCTTTCTTTACCTTATCCAGACAAGGCTTGACCACTATCCAACATGAAGCTCAAGCTCTTTGTTCTAGGTATGGCCTCCGTGCTCAGCTCCCTGGTGGACGCACTACCAAGCGCAGGCAATGAGACCAGCCAGCCACAAGCCTCTGACCGAATGGTCTTTGCACATTTCATGGTAGGCCATCTCCGCATAATCAAGCACCAAACAGAAAGCCCCTAACAGCCTGGTAGATCGGAATCGTCAGCAACCGCAAGTCGGCTGCCGATTTCGACAGTGATATGAAACGCGCGAAAGAACTAGGGATCGACGCCTTTGCTCTCAACATTGGCGTGGATCGCGTGGATCCCTTCACAGATACACAGTTAGAGTTTGCGTACCAGTCGGCCGCGAACAATGGCATGAAAGTGTTCATATCCTTTGACTTCAACTGGTGGAAGGAAGATTCGGAGGCCTCTCAAGTTGGGCAAAAGATTGCCAAGTTTGGGGGAAAGCCTGCACAGCTCATGATGGACGGCAAGATTTTCGTCTCATCTTTTGCTGGTGACCGAGTGGATGTGAACGCCATCCGTTCTGCTGCTGGCCGGCCGATCTACTGGGCTCCTAATTACCATAGACCGGAGAGTGCTGATATCTCCAAAGTCGATGCTTTGCTGAACTGGATGGCCTGGCCCAATGATGGTAACAACAAGGCACCTAAGCCAGGTCACCTCGTCACCGTTCAGGACGGTGATAGGAAGTATATGAATGCGTTGGGAGGCAAACCCTATATCGCTCGTGAGTAACTTCCTCTACCCTAAGTTATGCCGTTCTAGTCGAGAGCTAATACTATCGTTCAGCCGTCTCGCCTTGGTTCTCCACGCACTTTGGTCCCGAAGTTCCATATAGCAAAAACTGGGTCTTTCCATCGGACAATCTCTGGTATGAGCGATGGATCGAGATGTTGAACCTCAAGCCACGCTTCATTGAAATTGTCACCTGGAATGACTACGGTGAATCCCATTACATTGCCCCTCTGGCCTCCCCTCATACAGATGATGGATGCTCCAAATATGTCAATGACATGTAAGCTCCAGACCAGCGTCTCCACCATCACCACTCTACTACTACTACTAACTAACAACGATAGGCCACACAACGGCTGGATGGAACTGGCCCGGCCTTTCATAGCCGCCTACAAGGCGGGTGCCTCATCCGTCAACGAATATATCAAGGACGAACAGTTGATCTACTGGTATCGGCCCGCTCCCCGCGGCGTAAACTGCGACGCTACCGACACCTGTATGGTTCCTGCAGACAACAGCAGCGGCAATTACTTCATGGGTCGGCCCAACGGCTGGGAGACCATGGAAGACGTGGTCTTCGTCGTCTCCATGTTGAAATCCCCCGCCAATATCCAAATCTCCTCGGGCAACAGCCAACAAGTCTTCGAGGCCAAAGCCGGAGCCACAGCCTTCAAAGCCCCCATGGGCGTCGGGAAGCAGAGCTTCGCTGTGGTCCGTGACAACAAGATGGTCCTGGCCGGGACGAGCCCCAAGGATATCATCGACGGATGTGTCTGTGGTATCTATAACTTCAACGCCTTCGGTAAGTTCTATATCATCGCCAAACATATAACTCACCTTGATATGCTCCCTCAGTCCCACTGACAACCAACCCTCACTCCTACTTCTAGTCGGAATGCTCCCCCCAGAGCCCATGGACAATCTCCAACCAGACAGTCTCTCTCGCTTCGCCCAGGGCCTCAAGGTGCAATGTGAAGCCAGACCTTCCCTAAAACCACCACCTCCTCCTCCATCAACCATCAATCCCAATCCACCGACCAACCCTCCAACAAACCCTCCTCCAACGGACAATCCACCAACAAACCCTCCTCCAACAAACAATCCTCCTCCCCAAAATCCACCCCCTACAACCACCCAAAACCCACCACCACAACCACCACCACCAACCAATAACCCTCCCCCAAACCAACCTCCACCGAACCAACCCCCAGGAACCGTCTGCACCGGTGGCACAGGCCAAGACAACCACAAAGGCCTCTGCGACTTCTGCTGCCAATACGGCTACTGCCCCCCGGGGCCCTGCACCTGCAATGCCTATGGCGCCCCAGTCCCGACGCCACCGACAACCGGCCAGAGAGGTGTCCCTGCAGATGGACTAGACGATTCATATAAGGGCCTGTGCAGTTTCGCCTGCGATCATGGATATTGTCCGCCGGGGGCGTGTAAACTCGTCTGATGAATATATTCGAGGGACAAGGTTCTGGGAGTGGATTTAGGTCGGGCCGTGCTCAATCAATCAGTCGTTCTCTATCTTCTTGAACTGACGTATACGGGACTGAGTTCAAATTGTTAGCAGGTGGTAACGTTCATTATTTGTTTTTGTGTTCCGGGAGCGTTGGAAATTGTTCGGAAATCTGTTTGGTGTTTTTCCGTTGGTTTGGTAGTTCTCGCTGGTCGTGTGCTGCGGAAATCGGAATCCAGGGGTCCTTTTTGTTTTCCCCCTTTCTCTATCTGTGTGTAGTTTTGACCTTCATTTATAAAGTCTGATTTCTTTCTGCTATCGCTGTTATGTGAGTTGTGCATAACTGTGGCTATGAGTGGAATGGTCATGTTCAACTCTACAAGTTGATGCTGTGATTTTTATATTCTCTTCGGACTAGCATAACGAACGTAAGTTTCTGAGCGAGTTAACACGGTGAAACTCATTTACCAACGGTGCATAAAGCAGAGTCGTCATCTATGGGGTATCTGTCGGTACACGCAAACCAAAATGCACGTCGAACATAGAGTTATATCATCTGATACGGAAAGTATCTGTAAGAATGTCATGCCTGCGAGCGGCACTCGAGCACTGCAAAACAGGCCGCCCAATTTTTATCCAAACAGAACTTATGCCTACGCAGTGGCTTTGTCATCCACCTTTTCCCATTCACTATCCGTGCTCACATATCCGGAGCTCTCTCCGCTCATGCTGGGCCGTTTCCGAATTCCTCCTTGCTGCTCCGGGGGTTGAAGAGTAGCCGCAGTAGTGGCGGTAGTGGTGGTGGACGGCGGAGCTGCAGCGGACACCGCAGAGATTTTACGCTCCATCAGACTCTCGGTCTCAGTGTCACTGTCCGTGCTGTCAAGAGCTCCCGGTGTTCTCCGACTAACTTCCGATTTCCTCTTGTCATCGTTGTCTTCCTCCGTGAGCAGTTCCTTCGACTGCGTCTTTTCCTTCTCAGCCTCTTGTTTCTGCACCGCTGCCAATTCCTGAGCAAACCAGTTGATCGACCACCATAGTGACGCGGAGAGGACGGAGAGGACGACGAAGTGGATACTGTAGGTAGCGAGAAGGAGCAGGAACAGGACCAGTTGGAGTGCGGCGAAGGTGGCGTTGGCAGCGACGAGCAAGGTGGGAGTGGGACCCGGGGTAAAGATGCTAGCCCAAAGATCCTCCACAAACGATACCATAATTTCTGGTTATGCTTCGGGCCGGGTTACTCGCGGGGAAGACGAAGGGAGATGGATTCCGTGTCTGAGACAGGGGTTTACGCTGTGGAATGACGTTGGATCGGAAAATGGAATCCGTGGAGGGTTTTCGACTGCGCTACTGCACGACTGTTAGTGATGCAAATGCAAACGCGCGGTCCGGGTCGGGATGCCATCTGCCAAGCTGGGACGGGTTTCACAGACCAGGTTCCAAGTCGGACACGCTGAATCAAGGCACAGTCTGGGTTGGGTGAAAAGAAGCGACGACGTTGAGGACGCTTGGGTCTCCGAAAAGTCGGCGGGTAACCGAAGCTGAGCGGTCGGCCTTTGAAATGCGAGGTGTGGAGAAGGTCAAGTCCGGAAAACTGGAGCCAGCCCCAAGTTTGTGCAGGGGGGAAGCTAGGCCTGAGTTAAAAATCTATGGTCCTTCCCCGTGGGGATTACTGACTAGAGGGTGGAGGAGGAAAGACGGTAAGTAAAATCACGTATGGATATTAATTATTGTTGGCGAAGTTGGAGGTTTTGTAAGGGAAAAGAAAACGAAGAAGCGAAGAAGAAGGAGAAAAGGCACGTCATACCAACAGAGGGGCAGAACAAACAACAAACCTCAGGCAGTCAGGCCGTCAGGTAGGATGATCCGGACGCTATTCCACGTCCGGTCATCTTCAGGCATCACCCGTGATCGATGTGATACGAAACATCGACAAATCTCATGATAAGGCCAAATGATTCGATTCTTCCGACTCGGGCACCCAAAAGATTGATTCGTGTTTCTAGCTCTTTGGTGGGAGTTCCAATTTTTCGGCTACCTTGAAGAGCAGCTCGGGAATTCTCGGTTTCCCTATTCTCCCTATACGCATTGATGCCTATGCTTGCTCCTCAGCCTAGAATAAATCAACCTTTGCCCTAAGTACGTCGTGTTACCATCCATAGTAAAAGGGCGTATACGGAGAACATCCGGTCGGCTTTCGAAAGGCCCTCATTCAGTTGCCGTCTCGCAATGCAACTCTAAACACGATCACCCGCCAATCCTTTCCCCCGCAACCCCGTAGTAAGCCGCCTGCCATGATTTGATAAGATCCCGAGGTCTACATTGGTGACCCCCACGAAAGGGACGATCGGACCCCATGGGTTTCTCCTCCTGGCCGTGAATGATGACATCTTGAACAAATTTGGCGACTCCTATACGCTGCATGTCCTCGTCTTGGGTTTCACTAGCTACCGGGAGGATCCATGTCGGCGCATATTCCACGTTGCGGTGGAGGAGGAGGGGATTCTGGACATGCTCGCGGAAGATTCCTTTCGCGGTGCTCGTGATTTGCTGTTTACCTAAACCGGTTGAAGGCCGGTCTTCGGCACGTGCCCAGCGTAGTATCACGGGACGGTCGTATCAAAGAAGGGAGGGTTAAACAGCTTATCCGACTGCAAACATGACCTCTGCCCTGCACAAACTCATGTAGAAAGTTCTACATGATCGATGTTCGAGGGGATACTCGAACAACGATTCTAGGGCCGACAATGGTTTTCTATCCTCTTCTATCTCCATGTCTGCCAACTGTGATTGAATTTCTAGTGGCTTCCAACCATGCAGGCCCACTATCAAAGTCTCCCCAAAAGCTTCCCGGGAACTTTCTAAATGTAGTTTAGCCCAAGTCTGTCCAGGCTCTCCAATCGACGGCCCACTCTCGTAACCGCTTCCTATTCGGCCATCCGGCGGATCGACCATCAATCCAGACAGCTAAGACGGGGTAGGGTTATTTTTTTCTTTGCTTTTCTGTCTCATGGATCTAGAAGCTATCCGGCCGTCCTGCGAATCAGGACTGCAGCTCGGCTTTTCACTTTGTTTAATCCCTGGTTGGCTCCTGGGTCTCCAGTTGGTATGGGTGGGTAACCCTACCATGTTATCTATATAAGTCATACAGTAGCTCCTGGTTTTCCCGTCCTCTCTTGCGTTACAGTAAAGTGAATTGTACACTTCACCGGGTCAAATCCCTGCCATTGCCTACCCATACTTCTATATACTCATTCCACACCTACCTCCCTTTCCTATAGCCGGTAGGCATGGCGTCGTCCGACGAACCTGTGCAGACGAAGGACACCCTGGATGGGAAGTCCGATATCCAGGGATTCTCTCACCATGCAGAGGACATCCTGAATGATAGGGAACCCTATGGTCCTCCAGGCCTTGCGGGTCTAGTTGCCAACCCATTCGTCTTGATGTGTGCTGCTTGTTCGACCCTCGGAGGTCTGCTGTTCGGTTACGATCAGGGCGTCGTGTCAGTCATCCTAGTCATGGACCAATTCCTGGAGCGATTCCCTGAAGTGTCCCCTGACTCATCGGGTTCGGGTTTCTGGAAGGGTTTGATGACAGCAATGATCGAGTTAGGTGCCTTGTTGGGAGCTCTAAACCAGGGTTGGATTGCGGATAAGATCTCAAGACGTTACTCTATCATCGTTGCGGTCATTATTTTTACCATTGGCTCCGCGCTCCAAACCGGTGCAGTTGACTACGCGATGTTGACAGTGGCGCGGTTGATCGGAGGTGTGGGTATTGGTATGCTGTCGATGGTTGCCCCATTGTATATTTCTGAAATCAGTATGTCCAGAACATGGATCCTAAGTCAAAGGGAGCGCGGTGCTAATCTGTACTCATCTTAGGTCCTCCCGAGTGTCGAGGTACTCTCTTGGTGCTGGAAGAATTCTGTATTGTCCTCGGAATCGTGATCGCTTATTGGATCACCTACGGTACCAGATTCATGGCTGGAGAGTGGTCCTGGAGACTTCCCTTCCTGCTGCAAATGGTTCCTGGCTTTGTTCTCATTGGAGGTGTCATGATTCTCCCATTCTCCCCCAGATGGCTAGCTTCTAAGGACCGGTATGAGGAAGCGCTCCAGAGTCTCGCGAAATTGAGGCGGCTGCCTACTACCGATAAGCGTGTACGTCAGGAATTCCTGGACATCCAGGCAGAAGTTCGCTTCCACCAAGAAATGAATGCCGAAAAGCACCCTAATCTCCAGGGGGGTGGACTCAAGGACGCTTTCCTTCTCGAGATGGCCTCCTGGGCGGATTGTTTCAAGCCCGGTTGCTGGAAGAGAACTCATATCGGTGTTGGACTCATGTTTTTCCAACAGGTTAGTACCCAAACCTCGCTCCTCCTTTACAACCTCTAGGACTAATTTTCAAACTGTAGTTTGTCGGCATCAATGCGTTGATCTACTACTCTCCCACTCTATTCGAGACCATGGGCTTAGACTACGACATGCAGCTTTTAATGTCCGGAATCCTCAACGTCACACAATTAGTTGGCGTTATCACCACCATTTGGACCATGGACACCTTGGGTCGACGATCCCTACTGCTCTCTGGTGCATTGTTGATGACAATCAGCCATGTGATCATCGCAGTCCTCGTCGGTCTATACTGGGACAACTGGCCCGCACACCGGTCGCAGGGTTGGGCTTGCGTCGCTTTGCTGTTGGTGTATATGATTGCGTTCGGCGCCAGCTGGGGTCCAGTAGGCTGGGCTATGCCTTCTGGTGAGTTTACGCTGTTTCCCCACCAAAAAGAAAACCATCTTTTAACCGATTTATAGAGGTATTCCCATCATCCCTCCGTGCCAAGGGTGTTGCGCTCTCGACATGCTCCAACTGGCTCAACAACTTCATTATTGTAAGTATCCGCCACTGGACCCAATCAGGGTAACATACTAACAATAACATCCAGGGTCTTATCACTCCACCCCTAGTGCAAAACACAGGATTCGGCGCCTACACATTCTTCGCAGTATTTTGTCTCCTCGCATTCGTCTGGACGTTCTTCTTCGTCCCTGAAACCAAGGGACGGACACTCGAGCAGATGGACCATGTGTTTAAGGATAATTCAAGCGAAGCTGAAGAGGCTCGCCGTCATGCTATCGAGGTGGAGCTGCTTCGAGCTGAGGCGGAGAGATACGCAATGGAAGCTTGAACTTGAGTTTTTAAGACTCGAATTTTGAGTCCTTGTGTGTTGGAATCTCCGCTCGATGTTGACTTTGACATGTTGGGTCCCAGGTGGGCCTTTCACTTCGATTCATATTATTGTATATCAGATGTTTTGTAGATAGGCCTTTAACGAGCTAATGATTTATGGATTATTGTGTCTATTGTAGTGACTATTTGCCAGAAATGTATCTTGAGCTCTAATGGGATATGGATTTGCCGGTGGCAGAGTTTCTATGCTCATCCTGACTCAAAGATGCTTGGTACAGCCTATCAATATCCATATCACGTCGTCCAAAAGATTAAGAGTCAACATTAGGCGATTTACTCCAGTTATCAGGTCACAATATAGTTAATGATTCGGTGACTTAACGTGGTAAATTATATGAAGGATGCTATGAAGAGGCCGTGGAAAATAGGCGACCAACTTCACAATTCACTTCTTGCCATGTTCGAGAGGGCCGTCATATATATTAAGATCTGGTATAGGTATGTTGGTTTATATTCTCATTTGTGCGGTAATCACTCCACCAAATTATATATATCGAGGGTAATAAGAAGCTCAACGGCGGGAATAACCATAAATTGCTGTGGGACTATTTCGCGTGTTACAAAAATTGTATATCTAGATATTAAAGTAAGATAATTGCTATTTTCGAGTATTCTGTTATTCTCTCCTAAAATGTAAAACCCAGTTGCACTTAGGGTAAGTGCTTCTATTCTACAGACACTTGGAGCAGCTTAGCTCTTACCTAAACAAGGCTAGTGGACTCCCTTATCGATAAGATCTACCCCGCTGAGTCATCAACGCGTGAACGCAGGCGCGAAAAGTAGCAAATTGAAGGAAGCCAAACAAGCCCATTTATCGACAAACAACGGCAATGCCTTAAAAAGTGAGGGGCGGAGGAAACGACATGGCCACTACAGAACCGAACCGGCGACGTATATTCGCGTCTGTATTCCCACCCGTTCAGCTTGACGATCCGAAACCCAAAACAAAGTCCCGAGACCCGGAGCAAGCGACGTGGGATCGGGCATGGTTGGCAGCGACGAAATTCTTATCAATTCCGGACCAGGGATTCCGCGGTATTGAAGATTATGTGCCTAAGTCGCCTGGGAGGGAGGTGAATGATGCGTTGGCCTATTTGGCGGCGGATAAGGGGGTTGCGGATCGAGAGGAATGGAGTATATTTGAATGGTATGGGAGTGAGATGCGGAGGCACTTTTATAAGAATTTCAAGGCTGGGCTTGTGAAGGTGGGTATTTCCTTGGATGTGTGCGGGATGATGACTTTGCTAAGAGAGAATACTGTATCTAGCTGCTGGACCAGCCGAATGGGCTACGGAAAATCGTTTATTGTCTGCAGTTGATACGGAAGATTTACTTTGCGCCACTGATGGAGTACCTCCTCCCACTGCTGGGTGCTGTGGAGCAGGAAAAGGTCTTTGTCCAGCGGCGGCGGGGCTTTCACTTGATGATCGCTTACACTCTACCTTGGCAGCGTGTCTCGCCATTGCTTACGAGAGAATTGATGACACATGCTGTTACGATACTGGGGATTGTTACGCTGGAGGATGAGGCTGTTGAAGATGATGAGGATAGCATGGAGATCGACCAACGGCACTCCGTTTCATATCGAGATTGGCGGGACGAGTCCTCTGCAGAGGTTCGGATGCAGATGATGACCGAAGGCGAGGATACGCGTGTTACTACTGCTCGTGAACGATTACTGTCGCTCTTCAATGACCTTGAGCTTGTTGGGCTGGGTGGTGTCAGAGCTCAGAAGGTCTTCGCCAGTGTGATGAACACCATGATGACGGAGTTTATCAGGGCTGCGTACTCAGGGCAGTGGGAGGGGCCGTCGAAAGTCTCACAACACCTTCGGCACTGGATAGAAAATGTCTATGCTCGATTGGCTGTGCAGGTCTTATCCATCATCAATGTCCCCGAGTCTGGAACCAGAGAGGCTGACCGTCTGGACGTGAAGCTCAGCGACGTGGAGAAGTGGCAGGAAGTTGGCCTCTCTCGACTGGGCGCACTTCGAACTGGGGAACTGTTTGATATAATAGTCGAGTGGCCGGCGAGCAGTGGTGCGATTGAGGATTTGCGTCATTTCACGGCATACCCAGCAGGACGATTCCAGGTGACGCACTCTTTCTCTGCTGTGTTGGACCATCGTCTTCTGCACCCGGGCGCTTCAACTGTTGAGATATTGCAGGTCTATATATCGATTATCCGCGCGTTCAACCTGTTAGACCCGAAGGGTGTCCTTCTGGATCGAATCGCTCGGCCCATTCGCAGGTATCTTCGAGATCGACCTGATACCGTGAAGGTTATTGTCGGGGGTCTTATGGCCGATCCTGCCGATGCCCATGATCAGACTAGTTCTGGAGACACATTGGCTGAACTATCCGCAGAATTGACCAAGGCGCACCAAAATTCCATGAGGAGTGACAGAGGAGAGCTGGATTGGGATGATATGAACTGGATACCTGATCCGGTCGACGCTGCGCCCGACTATCGGAAATCGAAGACTTCGGACGTCATTGGTAGCTTAATCAGTTTGTTCGATTCGAAGGAGGCCTTTGTGAAAGAAATGCAGAGAATGCTTGCAGACCGGCTGCTCCAGAAGCGGACGGACTTTGATCAGGAGATGTCGGTGCTGGAACTTCTCAAGCTTCGCTTTGGTGATAATGCTCTGCAGGCTTGCGAGGTCATGATGCGGGATATCTTCGATTCGCGGCGAGTCGATGCGGTTGTGAGAAATGACCAGGACCTGACCAGAAAACCTGCAGCATCTACGCCTAGCTCGGACAATGAAGACATCCCCGAGCTGCATGCCAAGATCTTGTCCCACTTTTTCTGGCCCGAGATCCAAGAGCAGGATTTCCACGTACCCGAGGAGATTGCAGAATTGCAGCAGCGTTATGCGGCAGGATTCGCGTCGCTCAAACAGTCTCGGAAGCTCACCTGGCTGAATGGCTTGGGACAAGTCACGGTCGAGCTGGATCTCGAGGACCGAGTGTTTGTGGACGAAGTATCTACGTGGCAGGCGACCGTCATCTATGCGTTCAACTCGCCGTCCGGTGATTCCGTTAGCAGAACCGCCAATGAATTGGCGGAGGAACTAGACATGTCGGTGGCTTTGGTGCGCAGCGCATGTTTGTTCTGGGTCAGCAAACGCATTCTGGCCGAGGTGCAGCGAGATACCTTCCGTGTGCTGGAGGTTCTACCGAATGAAGAGGACGAGGCTGTCGGAGGTACTGGCGTATCAGGCGCGGACGATAATGCAGGCGATGCATCGGAGGACACGGCAGCCGCCGCCGAAGCAGCAGCGGCCGCAGCAGCGAAGGAATCTGCAGAGGCGGCGGCGATGGAGAAGATGAATCTGTACTGGCAGTTTATCATGGGAATGTTGACCAACCAAGGCGCAATGCCGCTGCAACGTATTGTGATGATGTTGAAGATCGCCGTACCGGGCGGATTTCCGTTCAGCAACGAAGAACTGCGGGAGTTTCTGGCGGGGATGGTGGCCAAGGGAAAGCTCGAGATCATCAGCGGAGGCAACTACAAGATCGTCCAATAATTCGATTGTACACGACTTATGACTAATGATGTATAGATTAATGGTTGTTACTAATTAAACATGGTATTGAGCTAAACAAATCGCAAGGCTAAAGCGCACAGACATTACGTTAAAACAACACACATCAAACATCATTGGCATGTAACCCAAGGACGGAATTACTCCGCATCCAACGGGGCTACTGGAGCCTGATCGTCGACCTGAATGCCACCCCTCTTTTTCTCGTTACTATCCCAGAAGGGCAGCTTCCAGCCACCTTCGTGCTCGGGCGTCGCCAACCACAGACGCATCAGATGTCTGCGAGGGGTTGGAGGCGCATGATCAGTGTACGCGGTGCGTGCGTGCAGAACATGCGAGTTGGCCAGGAATTGGATGTCGCCGACCTCCAGAATCATGTGCAGTGACAAGCGGTTGCAGGTTGCCTCGAGGACTTCCAGAGCCTCGACCTGGGCGGCGGAGAGAGGAGGGACGATGCCTGCTTCGGAGAAGCGGGAAAGAGAGCGGACGTAATACGGATCCCACCTGCGCCCGTTAGCATCAGTTACAGTGGGAGAAGGACAAGGGGAGAGCATACTTGGTGTAAACCCGGGCGTTTTCGCCCCGCTCAAGGTACATCACGCTGGTGCGAATGTACTCCTCCTGTCCTTTGCTGGTCTCGCCCTTGCGGTCGAAGTACCAGATGGGCTCTGTGAGAGTCTTAAGGACGTCTGGACGCTCCTTGGCGAGGGTGTTGTATACATGGTGGGAAGAAACAATGTCGGACTCGCCTCCTTCGAGTGCACGGGCAATGCACAACAGACCGACGATATCCGAGTCGTCAGCGTGGAAGAATTGTCTGCTCTCTGTCAGCACCGCCATCCCTACCAGCACATGGAAGCCTAACATACCTGGCATTGGTCCGGTAGATGCGCACGGAATCAATCTGGGTCGGATCCTCACCTAGATCCTTCACATGACCCAAGACATGGCCACGGCTGTTCTGACTAACAAAGTAACCCAGGTACGTGCCCAGACCCATATATGCGACGGCACACTTGTGGTTACCCCATTCCTGGACGGGGAAACCCTTGAAGAGAATGAAGCCCTTGCCATCGATGAGGTCCGCACGCAGTTCAACGAGGCGCTTGGAGAGGTTCGGAAGGGGGAAGTTGCTCTATACAGGATCAGCCCGATGTACTGTAGCATGTATGATAATCCCCAAACCCACCTTAGAAATACCAGTCAAGGGAATCTTGTTCGCCAGGAATTGATCCGCGGTCGCACTCAATTCGGTGATCTCCTCAGGCGTAAACCGATGAGTCCACTTCTCCGGCGCATCGCGATACTCCTCGGCCTTCCAAACGGTCGGACCGGAGATTTCCTTGGGGAATTGCTCAAAGGTCTTAATATGATCGTACAGCGGCGCATGCTGGCCGGTAGTCTTCAAGCCATCGGGAAAGACATCAAGGGGAATAGCAACAGGAGCTTGGGTAAGGGCGGCCATATTTGTATTTCACTTCAATTGAATCGCGGGGAAAACTAATACAAATAAAAAAAGAAGTAACAATCCCAAACCAATGCACTGATAATTCTCAATTGATTGATTGGAAACCCTATACGCTTCCTATAACTAACACGTACCACCGACCCCCCTTATATACTTCCCCCCCTCACCCCTCCATGCAAGTTCCTTTACCCCTCCTCCCCAAGATAATCTCGCATACAAAGTTATCCCGATAAGTAACGTAACCTTTCCATGCAGAATCCGACCATGCAAGAGGTGGATCACATGGCGTGCTGGACAAGTTGAAACCTCCTATAGGACGTTGGCGCCGATGAACAAGTGCCGTGATTGGGGAGCGGATGGCGCAATCAATGGCCCCGGATGTTGTGATGCGGATCTTCTGCTTGGCTTGTCGGAAAATCGGCTCTGGTGCTTCAATAGGTCCAGGTACGTGGACTACTAGGTATACCTGGTCTAGTTTTTGAGTTATGGAATTTCTTATTTGTTCTCATGTGTTGGGGTTGGGTTGCATTCGGTGTTTGTCAGTTTTTGTTCCTGGTTGGGTGTCTTTGGGTCTTTCTGGGTGGTGGTTTTAGTAGTGAGGTTGGGGCAGATGAGCTTGTGAATGTTTTTTTGATATTTTTTTATCTTTGATCTTTTGTTTCTGTTATTAATTGGGATTTTTACTACAGTTGAGATTATGTATAGATCTATTTTTTAAAAAAGATAAAAGGTGTGATGCATGATTGTGTACTCCGTATACTAATACTAATGCTGACAGTCGATATCGTAGAGGAGAGGCATTACTATACCACTGTACCAAGCTAGAAGGAAGATAGAATGGGTTTGGAAGATTCGGAACTGATGTTCTAGCCTTGTAGATATTAATATAAATTAGCACAGCCCTGGTATCTTTATATTGTATAGTTACTTTGTACTATTCGCTAATAACGTCTACCCCTCTCTATTTATAATTGTTGGATACGTGAGCACCAATGCCCTAACCTACGGCGGACTAAATCTTCCCATACAAATTTATATGTAATGTAACCTATTTTCAATTCTTCATTTCTAACACAGCGAAAGAGACAAGCATTTGATCTCATCTGTGACCAAAAAGAGCATTGTCCTCTTCTTCAATTGCTTTGCATATGTAAGTGAAGACAGCTTCATGATCAGTCATGTCACCATCGGGTTCTTCTTGATCTTGCAGGTCGCCCAATTGGCCCTCGCTAGCCTCGCTGTGTTTGAATCCTGCTGTTTCCTCTTTGTAGTCTGATAAAACTCTTTTACCGCCATTGTGTCCCCGACCACGATCCTTTTGTCAACAGCCTCGGGATACTCGTCTTCCTGAAGCTTCTCCTCTTGCTATCGATGCCTGGATATTTCCCAAGGCTCGCGAAGGTTTTTTTTTTTTTTTTTTTCCCTCTTGAAAAGCAAGTGGGTGAAAAGTATATGAATGATTGTGGTATACTAATAATGTTGACAATCGAGATAGCAAAAGAGATGTACTAGTAGTATGTACGAAGGGTCTTAGGTAGGCTAGAAGGAAGATAGAATATGTTCAGAAGATTAATGTATGGCCTTGGGGTATTAATTTCAGATGACGTAACCCTAGTATTTTATATGGGACTCTGTCAGCTATGATATGACCAGGGGGCATGTATTGCTGGATACGTGAACACCAAAGCCCTAACGTCAGTACTGCTCAACAGTGAACGACGGAAATCTATTAACTTTACGAAGAAGGGCCAGGATAATAGGAACTATGGAAAGTTTATAAATTAGCGTGTGATCTAAAAGTATTTCTTACTCGACTTACTAGATTAATTCCCAATCCAGTTATTAACTGTCGCGAATCGCGAATTCCCGTCGAGTCAAGACTTAGCGCAACTTCCCCCACCTGGTGCAGTGACACTTCAACCAGATCTGAAGCCTGAATCGATCATTCAATCTATTTTTAATATACAGATATGGCTAGAATTGTGCTTTATTCGTTGGAAGTTGTTGCGTCGTCTCGTTCCTTGGGGATGACTCATTTCTCGTCATTTCGGATCATCCCCAATCATGATACCAATGAAGTCTAGCTTCAGATCCGAGCCGCGGGTCCGCCGGGTTTGGGGAGATAAAAGAAGAGACAGCAGCCGCTATTGAGAACCATTGGCATCAGTACAATTAAGATCATCAACAATCATGGATTCACCGACACGACTGTTCCCCGCGTCTCATACCCACCAGCCGACATCTATTCCACTCTCCATTCTCGATGCCACCGTCGTTCGGTTTGCCCCCACCGGCGCAATTTGGCTCTTCGATGATTTCCCTTCGGATGAAAAAACGTTTCTACACAACCTCCAAGCTTCTCTGATCCAAGCACTAGATCATTTTCCCCAATGGGCCGGCCAATTGCAATGGGTCCCATTTCAGCCAGGCCGAACCCACCGGCCCATGATCACATACAACACGGCGTCTGATCCAGGTGTAGAATGGTCTGTCGTGCGACTTGCTCAATCTATCACCAGTTTTGCTCCAACAGCTTCCGAACGTGCCAGCAATGGGTTTTGGGTCGGGGATGCTTTTACGCAAAACACTTTCCTCTCCCAAACCCGGTTAGCCCTTGGCAATCTCCGCGACTACGAAGGCCTCCCCGCCATGACGATACAAATCACTCTGTTCGAGGGGGGAGGGTACGCTATCGGAATTAAAATGGCCCATTGCCTAGCAGACGCGCAAGCCCTAATGGTCTTCGTGCAACAGTGGGCAGCAGCCTGTCGCATCCTCCACGGCTATTCCAATTCAGTCCCACTCATGGAGGACCCGGTCTTTGAGCCATCAACGCTCGATTCCAAAGCCAGTGGCGACATCAACACCAAAACCCCCGATCAATCTCTCATCACAACAGCCCGCAATCTCCCCCTCCACCGCTACGACTGGTGGAAAGCATCCGACCCAGACTACCCACCTATCATGATCCCAAACACCGAGAACTCCAAACCCTCCCCGGAATACCTCACCAACACCACCCTCTCCCCATCCACCCCAGCCCCCTGGGCCACCTGGGACTTCTCAAAGCCAGTCAGCTACACCCAGATCCATTTCACAGGCACCGAGCTCGACCACCTCCGCCAACTGGCCCGCACCCAACTCGGACCCAATCATGGCCCCCCCATCTCCCGCTTAGACGCCCTCCTCGCCCACATCTGGTCCCTCATCAATCAAGCCCGCGGATACGACCAGTCCTCGGACCAAGTCTATCTGAATCTCAGCCTAGGCGCTCGCACCCGCGTCTCACCACCCCTCCCGGGTACCTTCATTGGGTCACCGATCTTCATCACGCATGCCTGCGCTTCTGGTGAAGAGGTATGTAGGTCTAGCGTTGGTGAGAATGCATCTCGCATTCGAGAAACGATACAGCAATTCACACCTGATAAGCTAGGTGCGATGCTATATGATGCGGGGCTGGAGGTTGCGCCGCAGCGCTTGTGGCAGGGGTTTATAGGGCAGAAGCATACGCTGATCACGTCGTGGTTGCGGTTAGGGATGTATGAGGTGGATTTCGATGGACGCGGTCGGAAACCGAGATATGTACATGCGATCATGCCGAAGATGGATGGATGTATACAGGTGATGGATGCCGGGGCGGAGGATGGGGGAGTGGATTTGGCGGTTTATTTGGATGCTGAGGTAGTGGGAAGGGTGTTGGAGAAGAGGTTTCGTATGAGAAATGAGTAGAAGTAGATTAGGTAGTATATCATGTACAGATATAATGACAGTTATGATTTGAGTTAAATGAATATCCATGGATGCAGTACTGTAGAAGATATCCGGGACTAAGATTAGGCCAGCATTTGTAAACAAGTTCTTGTGTAGGAAACTTTGCAACTTTCCCTTGGACTAGCCCAGGACTGCATTTTTGCTCAGTAATTAATCCGGAGTATAGAAAAAGAAAGTAGAAGCATACACACTAAGCACTTCTTGAGTACTTGGAGAGTATTGAGACAAAGAGTTAGAGTAATCCAAAGTAATTTTAGTGTCTCAAATTCGATGAGGACTGTGTATGATGAGTTCTGAATTCGGTGAATTCGTACAGTATTAGATGATTAGAGCTTAGAGTAAAGATTAATTATATATAAGATATGGAATGTTGTCGAACTATATACAGTGAGGACCGACTACTGCCTTCCGTCTCATGCACATCGAGAGTTGTTTCCGAGCCCTAAGCAGCCAAGATATCTACTGAACCAGATTAGTTCGGTGAGACTGAGAAAGAAATATTCAGCCGGCATGCGCAGAAAGACATCGGAACTTAGCAAATTGTTAGACCAAACTACTCTAGGCCCTAATTTAGAGATGATATAGAAAGACTATGCCCGATTAGAATGGTTCCAGCTGTCATGGGTTAATGTAGTTATACAACAAGTCATACATTATACGCTGCCCAGTCCTCCCACTCTGCGAGATCGACGCTCCCTCAAAGCCCTCAAATCCATTGACATAGAATAACCTCGGAGCCAACTCAATGCGTCGATCCCATTTCGCATCATGATTCACTATGGGAACACCATTCGGCCAATACCGGCGATGGATCCATCGAATAGTAGGCGCGTTGACGCAGCCTATATTCCTCAAATACCATCCATCATTTCCCTCGCCTTCAAGCTCGTGCCACTCGATTTCCGCCGCCTTGGCCTCAAATTCTGCGTACATATGGTCCGGCTCAGGCGAGTCCACTCCGAACGGCATGGCCCAGTCCTGCCTGACTGGGTAGCACGCTTGATGAGGGAATGTAACATCTTCCGGGGCTTGTCTACTAGCATTTATCAAGTTAGCGATGTCGCTGTCGGAGATTGGGTTCAGCGAAATAATTCTATATTGGCTTTCCATGTCAACGATGCATCCAGCCGCGTAGCTTGAATCTTCTCGAGTGATGGCTAGAAACGAAGGGAGGGAAGACGGTCGTGTCGCGTGTGGTGCTTTGTCACCATTCAGATTCAAGATTGTATCAGGGATTTCATTACTTTGAGATCTATTGAACGCCCTGGGATCCAGCCGATGGCGGGTTATGAAGTGCGTTACATGGAGAGGAGTATAGTTAACTTCCACCGGGGTGGATGGCAGGGGAGGCTCAATAGTAATGCCGGTTTGATGGAAAGGGGCTGCAATGACTACAGCGTCAACCTGATCGACATGCGCTTCGGTCTGACCATCCGGGAATTCTTTGGTCCAATGGATATCGAATGTAAGATCTTCATGCCTCACAATCCGACTCACGGTGGAATTCAAATTCAACTCTGCCTCAGACAGCCTCACTGCTCTCTTTAGTAACCTCGCATTTCCCCCTCTCCGTGGATATGTTTTCTTGTGTCGCCAGATATCAATACCCCACAACTCCGCAAATTTCCGCATAGCGTCTGATACTCCCTTATTCACTTGAGTTATTGGCTTTGGGACTGCCCAAGCCCAATCCTCCTCGCATCCCTTGGTGTCACCCCAGCGCCTTTCGCAGATGTACATAGCGATTTGACTTGGGAGCTTCTTCAGATACGTCCGCAGGGTCGGCGCCGGCTCATACCGGCTTTCAATCAACTCCTCGCCGTTCCAAGCTCCTACCCTCACCAAGATGTCGTTGGACGTTTCCCCGGGATATATTTCTTGAAGAGGCACACCCACATCTTCCGCAATACTTGCTGCGGATCCCCCGTATGTTCTCCAGTCAAACGTGTGTCCTCCCGCCTCGGCCACATCGCAGTCGGCCTCGTCGTATTTGGGGACGGAATGGATCCGACCTCCCAGGCGATCTTCTTTCTCGAAGATAGTCACCTGCGGAGAATTGACACGGCAGCTTTCCGGCCCGAACGAATGTGCAACGGAGACACCGCCCATACCACCTCCTGCAGGATGTCAGCACAGTCACATCGCCAATTTTAAAGAGACAAAATATAAAAAAAAGGAGACTATACCAATGACAGCTATACTTTTGGGTGGATAAACTTTGACGCTTGCATTGGCCTTGATGTATAACGGTTCATTAAACATTTCTTTAATCCCGGATAGGTCATCGTAATACACCGCGTTCCCTCTGCGGTAGCCTTGACGGTACCTATCAATAGATACACCTTCAGATGTGCACAGTTGCGCCAGGAGAATGAGATTGCAAAGAACAGTAAGAAGGAGTGGGAGTCGATAGGGCTGCCGACCACCACCGGCGCGTTTGATAGCGCTTGACATTTTGATCCGACGGCAATTTCAAGATCGAGTGTTACAAAACTCGATGCAGTAGGCTTCTTCTGGATATTCAATAAGACCATACAACATTGTTCTTCAGAGGCTCATTTTATCGTTGGTGAGTCAGATCTTAACACCGTGGCCTGGGATCGTCACAGCCTTGTTTGGACCACGTGGGGCATCCGAGGATTTATTGGGATATATATCAAGCGGCTTATTCCTTAGCTTTTGGTAGATAGGCCTTTCTAACCCACAAACTAGAATTTTGTAATTTAAAAGTCTATTCTGAAATCTTCAGAGTTAAAAGAAAGTCTAAGAGGGCTACGTCCCAAGACTAGGAGAATAGATGTATGGAGGTCCAGACATAATGTCTGTATTACGGTAAAGTCTCTTGAACTATTTCTCGGGTCTGAGATATTCGAACTTCGTTTCCTAGAAATACATAGAGTAATCTCCGATCGTGCAAACGGTTGTCTCACTTACGCAGGCATCCTTGCCGGCCGTGCACGCTTTGAATTTGAATATCTGATCATTGTCGCAGAGCATGGATTCGTGTATGCCTTCGTCCTGGCTCCTTGAATCAAGAGGGATATGAAGGTCTAACCTGGCCAAATATATTGGTAACGAACGACTAAACACATCCAGAAAAGGAGTCAAACTAAACTCAAATAAGCAAGTACATGATCATGTGAATTGATCTGAATAACTAAGCTGACGAGCAGGTGCGGATTAAATCAGACCATTCAGGTAGCTTAACGTAAACTTAAAGCCTCGTACCGATATAGTCGACACAAGGTTATGAGCTTACTTACTCGATAGCCTCAGGGTGCCCCGACTCCCACCCCTACCCGGATGGGGCCGCTTATGCAGAATACGACCCGAAGTCGTGGCATGTATGGCGGGGTGCTATTTAGAAATTATAAAGAGATTGACATCGCTTACAAGAACCTGAGTGGAGATCTAGTAGGTTTTACGGTGGACAGAAGTGTCGGGGATAGAATGGACGGTGGTGAAGGTGCAGCGGGAACCGGAAGTTTGGAGGGTGGATGATGGTGCTAAAGTGACTAGGAAGGTGTTGAGTAAGAGTGTCTATGGGTTTGGGTCTGGTTGATGTCTTTATTCTTCATAAAGTAACTTAGAGGCATGGGAGGGTATGTGTTTACTACTTATGCAGCTGGGAGAGGGATTAGGATGCGTCTCGAAATTGAGCACCGAATCGAAAGCAGACACTATGATTAGGCATAGAATGGTTTGCTAATTATTGAGGCGAAGGGCCAGAGTCTCCGGCGTAATTCAGTAGCTATCAACTAAGCTATACAGAGATAATATCCTTGAGGTAAAACCTCTTTGCATATAGAAGGTTTCTGTTGTTGTACGTCTGGTGGTTGAATGCAAAAGTAGAGATGCGGAATGACTGCCCAGATAATCTCAAATGCACAACCCCATTAATGTTCACAGAGCGAAAATTCACCAGTTTCAAATTTCTGGTTCTGCTCACTGGTCGTCGCACTCCTCTCTTGCATGAGCTCCTTTCGGTACCCTTTCGCCTCTTCAAGACTGATGGACGGATAAAGGATATCCTCGCTCACGATATCCTGAAGCTCTACCGGTAATCTTCGAGACAGCATATCAGTAACAAGCTCTCGCTTCTCTTTTCCCCAATCCTCCTGCTGGGGCGGAATGTTGGCCGAGGATATGATACGCATATGAGGATCCACAAGGAACAGGGCTAAGATTTTGCGGTGGCCTGGTTTGGATCGATCTGTCAATGAGAACGGAGAGACTCGGTGCTGGAGGATGTTGGGGAACGTAAGGAGTCGGCCTTCCTGGCAAACCACGCTGCCAAGATCCTGGGTGATCTGCGTCTCGTCACGGGAACTGACCTCGGGATCGAAGCCATAGACCTGGTGTATGAATTCATGGCGGTCCTGCTCATAGGAAATTTCTGATAGCTCCTCCCTATCTGCGCGCTGGCGGAAAGCAAGTGTACTCTGGGTGATATTCTCACTGTCATAGTAGTAGATGGCCGTTGCGCAGATGCGTTCATTCTGACGAGTGTTAGCATTGAAACGGTAACATGGAATGGGATGCTGAGCGTACTAATTGTCCTTCAACATGCCAGGTGCCGCCTTCATACTCTGGCTTCTCCGGGGTCAGTTCAATGTTAGCCAGCTTCACGATGATCTGCAGCCCTGATTCATGGAATTGTTCCCGTAAGTCTGTCTTCTCGGACATGTTAGGAGGGGTGAACTCCCCTGGTTCGGGGAGTACTATTTGTTGTGAGCTTTGCCACTCCTGATACTTCCGGTCAAATTCTTCGTCATCATTATAATCATCATAATTCGGCTCTTGCGTAGAACCTGGGTGATAATCAACGCTATCGTAGACTATACGTGCATGCCGCCGTTCCTGCACGTGAGTCAAAGTCCTGTTCCAAAGAGGAATTGTCCGCGCGATGACCTTCTCCACTGCATGGTAGAGATCTCGATGTTCAGAAGGGTGGACATTATTTATGTATGAAACAATGCGACAGTCATCATTCTGGCCAGTAAACTTCACGTCGCACGGAAGCCATTGAAACTTTCGGCTGAATGGTCTCAGAGCTTCAACCTCCCACCTGCGCCACCCGTATGCATTCGCGCTATACCCCTCAATTTGGGCTTCTTCTTCTGGGGGACCTGGAAGCAAGTCTCCCTGTCCTACACTTCCCAGGCAGTCATCAAGGCCGATGACTCTGTCCGGAAGGATCCGCGTACGGCCATAAACAACAGGGAAGAGAGAGGGGTGCACCAAATCAACCACCTTCATATCGGAACCAGGGTGATAGTCTTTCTGATCCTCCGGAACCTGTTCAAAAGGGGCCACTGAATCTTTCAACGCCTGTTTCAGGTCCTCGGGAATGGTAGTGTCGGATTTCACCACACCCGCATCATATGCGCTGAGTAGGCCCGTTTTCTGGAAATCCTCCGTTTTCCACTGCAGCTCTTTGATGATATAATCCATCATTTTGGGGGTTACATCCTGGCCGCTCTGGGCGATCTCTTCCCGCCATTTGGCAGTAATTGTTTCATCGAAGACCTGGATCGTGTGAGTGGTAGGTGGCAATTGCGGAACGAGATACATACTTTTTTGTCCCATTCAGGTTTGTCGGTGATGGTGTTCATTACACGCATCATCAATATCTCCCTGTGTACATTGATACGGCTAAACATGCGTCAGTAAACCTTGCCCGTTGCAATTGATACATAGCGGAGACTTACTCAACCGAGCCATACTCAATGTCGCCATAATCCAAGGCATTTGGGAAAAGTGTACGCCCGAATCTCTGGCCACTCTATAAACGGAATCTCGGTGAGTTATACTTCCAACTCGCATTGCTCGGATCCAGATAGTGTTGGTGATACTAACATCCGGTCTATAATTCAGTGGTAGGTTATAGCCTGGTAACTGAATACGATTCGGCTGCTCGGCTGACATTGTATAGCGCTTAATTGATCGATATAGTAGACTGGGATAAGAAGTATAAACAATCTTCCTCATCTGGTATGTGATGTAGGTTTATAGCGCATGGTGGAGATCGACAGCGGGGTCACGTTCAGCGTGGCAAAACCGAAATTACAGGCAGACGCCAGGCACCCACTCAACGCTAGTCCTTTTACGGTGTGGGACCCACAGCTTTCTCACCTGCCTGGTGGATGCCTGAATCTATTCAGCGTGACCCTACTATGCTACCATAATTCCTTATTTGGTCAAACTTGTCCACTCCACTGGTAATACAGCGCATGGCAACCGAAAATCGCCATATCATCCAAGGGGGATGTCCAGTGTCGGACATTCCTTAGCTATGTCATTGTTGGCCCGTCCCCCGTCTTGTTTTCTGTCTCTCGCAGACAGAACTCACTCAAGTAGGAATGAGTGCTAGATATGCTGGGGTGAAAAGTTCGTGGCATACTCCGTAGAATATGTCGAAATAGTGAGCCTGAAGTAGTTGGGGGTGGGTGGAGGGGGTTCTGAGCATTTAACAAATAGATTATTGCAGATCATAGTTCAACGCATCACAAGTCATCCGCAGTGCGTTAGCATTCGTGCCTATAGATACAAAGAAAACTCGCTACACAAAGCCAACCAGGAAGCCAACAAAACTTGAACAAAGAATTCCACACTAAAGAAAGAGCCACTCTTTAGGCCAGAACTCCTTTCTCGGCGTCAGAGGGGAGATATTCGTTGCAACTTGGTTGAGAGCCTTGTCGGTAGTGGTGTTGAGTCCTAAAAGACCTTGCGACAGTGAGGACAGCAATAATCAAAAGAACTACTACTGCGAGAATGCCACAACAATATAGAAGGGCTCCACTAAGAGATTTTTGCAGTTCAAAGACCCCTCGTGAACTTGGTTCTGCGACAAAATAGCCGTGGGACAGGTGTACTGGGTGGGAGTGTGCATTATTCGAGTCTATGGAGCTATCGGGCTTCTGCAGTAAAAGCTCCTGGCTACCATGAAGAGGTAGGATATCTTCGTTGGTGCTCGGAATAGGTGGATGGTACTGTGTGCATCACCGGTGGGCTGGTGGTCTGGAGCTTGGTCCTCAAGCCATCGCTCGTAATCGGTCCTGGGCCTTGCACTTCCCGCGCTCTGCGCGTGGAGTTGATGCATGTTAAGGTCAACCGGGGAATGACGGTGTAATATGTAAATTTTAGTTACATTGGTTTTCGAAGATGATGTTACGTATGAAGGAGATAAAGGCCCAACAAGAGGGGTTGAAGGCCATTTCAGAGGGCCTGGGCCTACATAGCGAAGCTATATAATTACATTCAATAGCCAGCAATAAATACTCTAAGTGTTTGTAAAGTTGGAGAAATAAGTTTCCATTTACCGAACTCAAAGCACGTCTATTCAGTAAATTATCTTGGTACAGGATGGAGCAAACTGTATCGACTTGCAAAGCGTGTAGGAATATGCCCTAACCGATATTATTCCCATCATGTCCAGAGCGCACCAGTAGCTTCAACCTGATGGCTCTGTATCCAAGGAATGTCTATTGGCCTCGTACTGTCTGCCCCATAGAGGGCGTATAAAGCCCTAGGATAGAATGACACGAATTGCAACTGCCAATTGGTTTCATCTGGATACATCCTGCCAAGCTCACCATTTTGTTGAAAAAAGCGTTTCGAATTGGTGACATTGATATGATTCCCGTTCTCTGACGCTACACCTTTGTATCTGTTGCTAAGACATGCAGTTATAAGATCCCTTCACTTTTACCTAAGATTCAAATTCACGTATGAGTCATATACCAAATCCATTACTCGTCCGAGAGAGCCAAAAAAAGGTGGGCCGTTGGGAATCAATTACCCGATCTGGCAACCGGATCCGAAGCATAAAACGATTCAACATCCTTGGAGTTTGTAGCGTCAACCACCTTTATATATCCCACTTCCGACTTCAAGATGTCCTTCCACATCGCTGTCCTGGACACTGACGTCCCAGTTCCAGCCGTCTACAGTGCCCGCGGCCTGTACTCGTCTCAATTTCGCCATCTTCTGCAATCCGCCGCAGCACGACTATCCGAAGCTGGCCGTAAAATCAGCATCTTCACCTCTGCATACGATGTCGTAGGAGGAACCTTCCCACCACTGGAAAGCCTGCGCACCACCCAGCGCTCAGAAGCCTGTAGCAATGAAAACGGGATGCCAAACCCACTAGCCCAACCAATCGACGGCATCCTCATCACCGGCGCCGCAGCAGGAGCCTATGACACCTCAATCTACCCATGGATTAAACCCCTAGAGTCCTGGATCCAACAGGTGTACACCCAATACCCGCATGTAAAATTCTTCGGATCCTGCTTCGGCCACCAGATTATCGCACAGGCGCTGCTCTCCACATCAGCCCCGCAATGTGCGCCGGGCCCCGCAATGAAAGTTGAGCTTTGTCCGGATGGACGTGAAACTGGTCTCGTTCCCATCGACTTGACGCCGGAATTTGTGGCGTCGTTTCCGGAGGCGGTAGGGAAGCTACCAGGTGCACGGAAGCAGATGCGGCTGCAGGTGATTCATGGGGATTGGGTGGTCCCTGTTGCTGGACCGACGGCGGAGTTGCCCGCGGGGTGGGTGAATGTTGGGTCCACGGAGCTGTGTCCTGTTCAGGGGTTGTATTGTCCTGGGAGGGTTTTGACGTATCAGGGGCATTTTGAGTTCGATGTCTTTGTCAACCGGGAGACGTGTTTGGCGTTTGGGAGGAGGCTAAAGTGGACTGAGGAGGAGACTGCGCGTTATGTGGGGTTGATTGAGGGCGGAGAGGATGATGATTCGAAAGTTGCTGCTGAGGTGGTTGCTACGTTCTTTTGTGGGTTGAATGAATGAGTTTGATAGGATAGGTATCTCCCTTGCCTCAAGGTTTCGTGTTGAGCAAGAGGGATACAGGTTTAATTGGAAAAGATTGGGTAGTGGCGTACAGAATGTGAAGATCCAAGTTGGTATAGTCCATATCGAGCTATGAGCAACATCTTGTAAATACGAGTATAGTCATTGGGATGTATTTTCTGGGTCTTATTGGCTCAATTATCATAATTGGCCCTACCACGGATATCACTTTTTAAGGCTATAACCACTAAATCCAACTTTAGTACCGTGGCACAGCTTCAACCCCACTTCTCTCGCAGCAGGTCTAGCTAGAATGGGTTGTAGGGCTGAAGCACCGACTCTATGGTAACATTAGAGAGGCCCGCTGTTGCAGATGCCTCATGATGAGTCGTAGCCCCTCTGGGTATTCGACCCCTACATACATAGTATCACTAGCAGCATACCACGGTAAGGCATGTTGGGAGTGCTCTATGTGTGTGTGTGTGTGTTGAGTGACAACTTATATTCAGTCATCTTCCGCCCTCTCATCAGCTGTTACAAACCCAGTTGAGCTATTCTCATAAGTCCCGTTGCTAAAGATCCTTTCCATTGATTCTCTGACCAAGAGACCCATAAGCCCTCTATTCTCATTATCATTAGCGATAGTTTTTGCTCGAAGTTCTACCTCCTTCCTGTCCAGTTCTTCTCGTTGCCGCTGGATGGCTTCCAACTCACGGCTAAGATGCTCTTCAAGAGCGTTCTTGTTAAACTCCATCGCCTCGATCTTAGCTTGAATATCGAGGTGAAGATCTTCCAATTGTGACGTGCGTAATGTATCCCGCAAAGCTTCCGTCAGTCTCATAGCCGAAACGACTAACGTGTCGATTCCTCGGGCTGTTGTTGGGATTCGATGAACTGCAGTGTGTCGGATTCCAGAAACGTTAGCAAGACGTTCGCGAAACTCCGAGCCATTCGATTGTAATGAGCCATCAGGAAGCTGTGGTGACCACTCCATTAACAGTCTTGTCCATTTTGTGAGCTCTACCGCTGCAGCGCAATCCCATCCATGGCTTTCAAGTTCCAACGGCAGCCATTTCTTTGTAAAGTCAAAACAGCATTCTTCCAGTACTTGCTGGACTTGTGACAAGATAGAATGTTGAGCATGGTATGGGAAGTACAATGGGTATAATGATGGAATTCGCAGCTCTGGTTCTGCTGATAATGGGGGCGAAGGCACTGCTGGGAGATGAGCAATGAACGATCGAAAGAGTAAGATAATGTACGTACGGCAAGTAATTGCTCGGTCGATACAAGTCCTTTCTTCCGCAGAAGCCTCTACTTCCACGGACACCGACACAGGAGGAATTTGTGTGGTTTCACATTCCTGTCTGTCGCTTACTGGCTCGCTCTCCCTGACAGTCTCCGCTACCATACGGGTTGCCTCGTCTCCAAAGGAATCCTGTTCGCTCTTCTTGGTCGTTGATGACGCAGGAAGATCGGGGAATATGAGGCGTGCCTTGATATCTGACTCAAATACCCTATCTTTCAGGAGTTCCTGAGCGATAAGAGAGACTCTATTGATGTTGAAATCGGGAATTAAAGTGCAGAGTGAGGATTTATGCTTCGTAACAAGTTTGGTAATGATCTTTAACTTTCGAAATAGGGCATGAGGGCCAGAGAAGATCGCCTTGCATGCTAAAAAGACTTGGCGTCGTTCAGCTGCAGTGAAGGACATTATGTGAGAGTCGCTCTGCTTTGTACTTCTTTTACTTTGTATCAGTAGCTCGTGTGAACCTTGATTATATCTTGACATGAACAAGTGGCGGCTATCACTGTTTGGCAGAGATAATCTCTCTTATCTCATGTTGTACGTCGTGGCGCCTAGCAGCTGTGGCTGTGATGTGTTGTTCTCTGCGGCACAGACACCTTGCATTCAGCTGTGGAGTACAGATGAGGGGCAAGGGTTACGCTCTGCCCTCGAAGCTGAAAAAAAAGGGTGCTCCATCATGTCCCTGTCTTTGTGGGGTTATGTGGCGTACGTTGATTTATCGATCATTTTCAAAATACCGGTCTGCGCGACATATTCAACACCCGGCACTTTTTTATTTGAGAGCTCTACAGGCTAAGCCACACAGCCTTATATCAGTGTAGCCTAGCGCGAAGGTCCTTAGGGGTATCCAGGTGGACCTAGCTTCTAGCGATTGTCGCCTACCAAAGAGAGGGAGTCAATGCCCAACCTGATGACATGTATTGTGTTGTCCATGACTCACGTCTGAACAGACCAGTGTGTATCCGAGTGTTGAAAATCGAAAACCACTATGCTGCCCTGCCTGCAAATATATTTTATGCCTATATACAACCATACAAGCCGATCTGGGAAGTCTATTTTGCTTGGCTCTGGACGCTATCCACTAAATCATAGAACTAAGACCTCACCAGTGGTACTCATTAGTCCCGCGGCGATCGTCATATGTAAACGAAGATGGTGTGTCGTGTTTTCGAAGTGAAAAATTCAAAAATTCAAAAATTCAAAAAGAAAAATAATTTAAAATAAAAAAAAAGAACACAGCTTATCCAGCGAATAATCCGCAGCCGCGTCACAACTGTGGCAGTACCATAAACATGGCTGGAAGCAGCTGAAGTTGTGAGACACATAGACTCCGAACCTTGCAGCAAAGTAATTGTAAAGCATTTAATCTCCTTGTATCTTCCTGGAACAAAATGCGCCTATTAAACGTCTATACTTTGCGATTAGAGGAATTTAACGAGAGCAAGGCACCTCCATATGCCATTCTTTCGCATACGTGGGGCGAAGGTGAAGTCAGTTTTGATGACATCCAAGATACCTCGGGCAAATACACAAACAAAGCAGGCTATGAGAAGATTCATAAAACCTGCGAACAGGCCATTAATGATGAATTTAACTACGTCTGGATTGACACCTGCTGCATCGACAAAAGCAGCAGCGCCGAACTCTCGGAATCGATCAATTCCATGTTTCGTTGGTATCAAAGGCCGCAACCTGCTACGTTTTCTTGGCTAATATACCGAATAAATCATTACGATAGAGTCACTGGTTCACTAGAGGATGGACACCGCAAGAGCTGCTGGCACTGCGAAAGGTAAAGTTTTTCGGATCCGACTGGTCGCTCTTTGGAAACCGGGCAGAACTGAGGGAGGAGATCAGTAAAGCCACGGGAATCGACAGGATGGTTCTTTGTAACGGCGAAGTCAGTAACCCGAATGCTTTTGGCCATGGTGACGGTGAACAGCTCCCATCGCTTTCCATCGATAAAGCAAGTATTGCGGCAGGGATGAGTTGGGCATCGTCCTGAGAAAGTACAAGGCTGGAGGATATGGCGTACTGTCTTTTTGGCCTGTTTGACGTCAACATGCCCTTAATATACGGAGAAAGCCAGAAGGCCTTTGTCAGGCGACAAGAGGAAATTATGAAACGCTACAACGATCATTCGATTTTTGCCTGGAATATCCAAACGCAATCTGGATCTGTCAATGAATCCGAAAGCAATGTGTCAGGGATCGGGGTTCTAGCCCATTTCACCAGCTGCTTTCAAAGGTTGCGGATCTATTATATCCTTTCCATTCTGTAGTCGCAGCTCGCCTTTCAGCGCCACGAACCAAGGGGTGACAGGAACCAAGGGGTGCATATTAGACTCCTAATATCTGATAGTGATAAAGGTAGTGCTCTGTTAGAATGCCAACATAGAAGCGAGCCGATTACTTTATTAGCCATTCCAGTCAGATAGTCCAGGAAAGGCTGTATGAGAAGACAAACGAAAGTCCAATGTCGTTCGACCACAGAACGTGGGGACGATGGCCCGAGAAAGATGTAGATGACAGCATTGCAGAGCGTGCTATCACCCGTTGCACTAGAGAGATGTCTGATCAAGAGATCTAATAGAGCGGGTCACAGCGTGTCTAAAGAGATCGAGTATATACTCGATATGAGATATGCTTCCAACTTTATCTTTTTAGACGATCCTGTTCTGTTCACCAAGGTTCAGCTTCAAACTGTCGGTGAAAAGCCAGTGTTCATTCTAGAGATTGTCTTTTCATCTCAGAGAAGACATATTGTATGGTTTTCCCTGTAACGGATTATGTCGAAGTCGGTACTCCCAATTCAGCGAGCTTTTGAAATTTTTACATTGTGTTATTTCAAAGCCATGGCCTTACACCCTTTTCTCTCTCTCCTATATAGGAGTCATCGTCTCCTTTGTCTCATATCGTCTTTATTGGCATCCCGAAGTGGCGGCTACGCTCTTAGTGCCGTCTGGTGGTTTACTACTTGGGTGTTTCTGGAATTTGTTGCCTCTTGCTGTCCAGGGAAAACACCGTCTGCTTTTGCTAACAGTTCTGCATGTAGTGAGCTATTCATACCTCTTTGCTACAGTTTACATCTTGTTTGATAAGAGTTCGAAGACTGTTATCTGCGCGCTACCCTTCCTGCTGTCATCATCTTATAGGTACTGGAACTGGCGGAAAACAAACCCTTACCAAGAGAAAATGCCAATCACCACATTTCTTACGGAAGTTGCTTTGGATAACTCCCCGACAGGACTGATTCTATGTACCTCATTTGCTCTGTGCTACAACTGGATGTTATCTATCTACATTAATTGGTAATTGGGAACTGCTGGATCCATCATCACTGCAATATTGTGATAGACAATATTATAATATAACCTGGCTAAGCGGCTCTACATAAGTCGATTATAGATTATAAGCAAGGCAACTCCCCTGCAGTGTCTCATGGATATTGGGAGGAAATCAGCATGGTAAGATAAGTCAGTCCAACCATTTACTGTCGACAGCGACGCCATAAGAATACCTCAATATTTTGTCATGCAAATGCCAGAGATCAAGCTGCTTTGCCTATTCTGTGGGGTGCTCAGTCTATCTACATGCTATGGAGTTGGCTACCGTAGTTGAAACCACCTGTTCACACAAGTATAATTGATACTTCATTGGATAATATCAGGTACGGTTCACCTATGCGTGACATAAATCAAACCAAGGTAGGAAGTCTCAACACTCCAAGTGGTGACGTTGTCCAAGAGCGTCCTACCCATCGTATGACTACAAACCCACGGGGTATAGATGCCCCCAAATCTAACCAATTCCATCCTGAGAACCGTCGTATATTACGGTCAACAAGCGCTTTTGATTCACATCATCATTTCCAGCTTAGAAGCAACATGCCGCTGGTCAATTACGGCGTCTGGAAGGCCTATCCCAAAGATTACAATGTTGAACGTCGTGGGACCAGAAAACCTCATCTAACTCTTAATTTTCACAATAATGGAGGGCCAGACTTTCACGCCGCCATAAACATCAGGTCTGGAGACCGACAAGAGTCGCGACTTGTCTATTGGGTAAATGAGGATATGAGCGGCCATCCGCTCGTTGGGGGTCTGTCGGAGCTCGAGCCCGGCTTCGAGCAATTGGACGATAAAGAGCCAGAACGGGGCGGCCTACGGCTTGATTACATCCGGGGTAATCTCTTTGATGTAAATACCGGTCGGGTTCTTGAGCACGACATTACTGGTCCAAACAATGACATTATCGATGTCCTGGTGCCTAAAGTCCAGCAAGCAATCGACGAGAGGGCTGTCGTTTACATCTTCGGCGAGCAATTCAACAGAAAGGATGGAATACACAATGTCCACATGAACCAGGGCAACATCCGAAGGTACTCGGGTGACGATGGCGTGTTCCAGGACGGCGCGCTTCTCTTCCAATTCCGAGGGGCCGTCCCAGAGGCCGATAGATGGGTTGGTATTTTCCTCGCCTTTGCATCGCAGGCCGTGCATACAAGTGAGAATAGTGGCCATGCCATATCACGAGTCACCTGGAAAGACCTCCTGCCTGGGGACCTTGTCGAAAATTCAGTTGCTATCCGCAAGGCCGTTGTGGATTCTTTTGGCCAAGGAGAAGACAAGAAGCAGTTTGTTACCCTGGCGAACCTCACAAACCGCAAGATATCGCTCGCAGGTTGGAGGATCCGCAATTCGCGCTGGGCACAACAGTTTCTCCCTATGGATGCGGCTTTAGGTGCAAAGGCCACCGAGGCCTTTGAGGTTCCAAATTACCCCTTATCTACAGACGGTGACACTATCACGCTTCTCGATCGCGATGGGCTCAAGGTCGCTGGCGTCAGCTATACCTCTCAGCATGTGAAAAATGGGGAAATCGATTTTGCAGGCTAAAGTCAATAGTTCACTTCCTACTGATGTTTATACTGTGAATCTGTCTGTCCTTTGTCAAAAGCAACGCCAACGCGGAGTCGATAGTAATTATTGCCGTGCTTTGCTATAACGTTTCACCCCAAGGACTGTGTCATGGGGCAGAAGAGCCTAGCCCCATCCAGAGGTATTGATCTAGAGCCATCTAACAAATTAATTAAATAAAAGCAGCCGAAAAGAAGGGTAGAACGGATTAGGACAACAGAAGGTCATACCACGTCCAGATGTTTCCGCTTTCAGATAATTTCGAAGCTTAAACAATGTCTAGAACCTACATTACATCACCTATATTTGATCTCATGATTCTGCGAACTCATGATGCATGAATAGAAAACCATTGTTCTACTCTCTTGTAATGACAACATTGATTGCCTTAGAGAATCCTAGCAAGATCTCAAGTACAGATGAAACGGCTATTTGTCACTTTCTGTAGAAATCCTCATAATACGCAGCAATGGCGTCGAATAGTGAACCCCCACCACAGGGAACTGACGAACCAGGTATTCCATAACTCTTTCCAAGTGTGATTTGTGGTAAGCTGTCAAAACGTCTAAGAGCAGTATGGTCTCGCGCAGTCTCTCCACCTGCCGTACCAGCACGGCCCAGCAACTTCCCGACACAATGGCGGCAATTGCTTGCTAATTTCGATCCAAACGTTCTTGCCGACCTGCGACGACGTGAGCCCTCGGCCCATTCGCTCTATCAGATCGAAACAATTATCAATGGGCTTTGCAGAAGTGTTCAGAGGGGTCACCACTTGAACAGCCAACTGGGACACGCTCTCATCGATGTCGATGCGACTCAAGAACGTGTGAGACAGTTTGTGACCAACACTTCCGAGACAACTAGGGAGATGAGAAGGGAACTTGGTTGGAATGTGCGAGAATTCGACATTTCTCTTCTTCGCCAGATACGCCGCTCCTCGGCGCTGTCGCTCGTGCTTGGGGCTGGCGTGTCGATGGCGGCCCCTTGCAATGCTCCAAGCTGGCCAGCACTAGTGGAGGGTCTGCTGCGCCAGACAATTGGCAGAGTCATGGAGCTTTGGCTTCCCAAGCCTCAGGACTTGGAGCAGCTGCCTCCTGATGCTCCACAAGGGCTTGTCAATGAGAGGTTCATCTCCAGGAACCCAGTAAAGATCGCAGGTACCGACTGGACACCTACCTTTGACTACAGTCATACCGGTGAGAATGGCGTTCAGCGGAACTTTACGATTGGCTATTACAGAGAATCAGCAAGAAGATACAACGCTGATGAAGAGAGGACCGCGGTCGAAGTTCTGCAGCGTATTGAACAGGCCCAGAGGAATGGTCAATCAGTTGATGCTGATGTCTTGATGCGCGGCGCTGATGTTTGTCACGACCTTTGCGGACAGCGACTGTTTACCCTGATGACAGCCATGCTCTACGAGGGGAATAGGATGCCGAGCGAGACACATCGCGCGATTGCAAAATTAGCACGGAATCAGTTTGTTCCCGAAAGAGGGGACCATTTTATGGGCTGGGACGCCATCATCACATACAACTACGATGATTTCATGGAGCAAGCACTTTCAGATCTGCAGATTCCCAGCGCGGCAATTGCGATGCGTGGAGACGAAATAGCAGGTGATCCGAACCGTTTTGCGATATCAATCGGGCCCGGTGGGCTATACCTCCCAGTGTACCATCCGCATGGATATACGCCGAGAAAACCGTTCATTATAACAACAGTACCATACGTCTTCGCCACAAGTGGCTATCAGTCGCAATATGGGCAGTCCGTCTCAAAGGTCCTGGAATGCTTCAAGTCTGACTACCTGGAGAACCCTGTTCACGTGGCCTTGTATGTTGGGTGTTCATTCTCAGACAGGTACATGAATCAGTTGCTTCAAGATGCCTTTGAAAGGTGGCCTGGCAGATATCATTATGCGCTGTTGCCGTGGCCTGGTGGTTTGGCCGACGATCGGGTGCCCTCTGGTCAAGAGATTGAGCAGCGGTCTGAACACTACCTCGCTATGGGGATCCGCCCCATCTGGTTGAGGAATTTTGGAGAGATACCGCGCATTATCTCGCAGCTCGAGTAGCAGCATGGCTAAAGCTCAGGCCAAGTGTTGAATTGGCACCTTTGTCGACAGCACGGCTTACTAAATAACGATGCCAATTAGCACCTGAGTGCTCTTGAACCGAGTCAGCTGGGGTAACCGCCCATGCAATCAAGAGACATAGTAACTGGTGCATTGTTTGGTCCCCGCTTTCTAGTTCTTACTGTAGTTTAGTGTTTATCTTCCTGTTATAGCTTGTATATCAAGTGATTTTGCTAGTCCCCAGAAACCCAAGCCACTTGTGACGGTCCTATCCCGCTGCATTGGTAGAGTTAACCGCAAGACCAAAAAGGCACTGTAGACCCGCGAGGTTCTCCAGCAGTGAAACTACCACGATATAGTAAGAGCACAGGACATTACACCGCTCGTTTTCTTTTGAACGATTCCCGTACAATCTCGGCGAACAAAAATAATTGGCTTCCAAGACTAGGTCATCTCCAAGTTTACCTTGTTCCTCTATGGCTCGTCTGCCAAAGCCGGAGACCTCACAGGGTCAATGCCTACAGTTGGCCCTGGGGAATGACATACAGAAAGGCTAAATATGGGAGGTAAGAAGGACCACTTGAGCGGATACCCCAGGACTATTATCCTGGTAAATGAGCTTTCGGGCCAAACATCAGGCCTGATCCACAAGGACTGTAGATTCGACAGAATAGGCCAAGGGGCAACGTTCATAGTATTGGTAAGCATTCTACTTGGCTTGTTAGAGGTACAGGCATCAAATAAGATCTCGCATGCGCACCCACCTGTCTACGTTGATGTGCTTGTCGATGCAAATTCCAGCCAGGTAGCTCTCGCCTTTCCCGGGATCGAGCTCGACGATCCAATTAACTCGACCTGACCCAACCTATACAGATTCCCTAGGGTCAGGATAGGTTTGGTCCTAGGACCCGAACCCAGAGCCGGGTTCTAGAAAATCACCGGGTCGGGTTCAACGCGTTACCCGCTCAGTTCTAGGCCTAGCACACAGTTTGGTTATAAGAAATCAATAATATAGACAATCGAGATAGAAAGAATATGATTGACCTAGTCTTATATATCGCTTCAACCTTTGGGGGGATTAAGGCCGATAAAATCATCCATCCACCTAATGTACTCCATCCTATAGAGTACTAATTCAGTAATGAACAAGATGAACACATTGACCTTCAGGTCAACTACAACTCTTCTCTTTAAAGAGGCTCAACCTAGCCTTTATTTAAATGTCATCCTACCAGACAAGAGGGCGAGCTTGCGATAAATCCAAAATTGAGTCAGCGACTAGTTGAAGACGTGATCGGAGCGAGAAGCACACAATCACGACCCACCGCGAATCATTCTACAGCAACCCGCTCTTATTGCACTCCAAACAATAACCTTATCACCTTATCCATTTAGTCCAGAAATCATATGCCGAATATTAGGCCTCCAGAGAGTAACGGAGAGTCGATCATGATCACGAATTATCGATAAAATGCGCATCAGAAATGGCATCATCGGCAGGTATTTCGGACGAACGCATGTACGCATTTGAACAATGTGACTCGCGGCTATATAAACTGACGCTTGACCCTGCACAATCTTCCTATAAACTTGTACTGCATACATCGCTGAACCATAGCCAAGTATTAGTTCAAGACATCATGTCACAATCCAACCCGACAGTTCTAACTCTTCAAAACCACCCTGCACCAAATCCAGCACCCCCTGCATCAGACCCCTCTGTCTACCAAGTCCACCACGACGCTTTCGCAGCGGAGGGTCAGCCAACCACAACGGCTGGATGGCTAGAGCGAGCGCGTAAAGTGTCCGACATTCTTGCTCCAGATGCATCGGCGAGGAGCAAAGACCAAAAGACACCCAGAGCTGAGATCTCTTTGCTGAAGAGCTCCGGTCTAACCAAGGTACTTGGTGACGTCAAGTACGGTGGTGGTGGGGAGAGCTGGGAGACAGGATACAAGGTCATCCGCGAGGTAGCTGCAGGAGACGGGTAAGTCTATATTACGAAATGAAAGTGAGTGACTCGATATTTGCTAATTGACTGTTTAGATCAATTGGTATGCTGTTGGGGTACCATTTGCTTTGGTCAGTTACTGCACATATTGTGGGTACGGATGAACAAAAGGAACGATATGAGAAACTGATCATTGAGAACAACTACTTCATCGGAGGTAACATACATCGAGTTGCTAGCATGAAAACGGCCGGCTAACTCTCCCAAGGAGCTGTAAACCCTCGCGATAATGATAGCCGAGTTACTCGTGCTCCATCGGGTGATGGTCTTGTATTCAACGGATTCAAGAACTTCAACACGGGAGGTGTAGTCTCCGATCTCACCGTCCTGGAAGGTGTCTATGAAGACACAGAAGGCCACATATTCGCCTTTGTACCGACCAACCAGCCAGGTATCGTCTTCTCACATAACTGGAACAATATTGGTCTACGTCTCACGGAGTCTGGCTCGGTTAAGATTGAAAATGTTCCCATCGCTTGGGAGGACGCTTTGGGATGGTCAAGCGAAACAAAAGCACCGATCCCCGAAGTCCTCCAAGTCCCCTTTACCGCCCTTCTGTTGCCTACTATCCAGCTCGTGTTCTCTAATTTCTATATTGGGATCGCGCAAGGTGCTCTGCGCACGGCGAGGCATTATACTCTCACTCAAACTCGTGCCTGGCCATTTGCCCATGACCCCAAGCCAAACCCAGCGGATGAGCACTACGTTCTGTCCCGCTACGGAAGGTTCTTTGCCTCCTTACGGGCTGCGGATGCTCTAGCTGATCGTGCAGGTAAAGAGATTGCCGATGCTTTCACTGATAATGGGCCGAAGAGGGATCTGTCTGCACGTAAACGTGGTGAGGTGGCTGAATGGGTTGCCAGTGTGAAGGTGGTAGCGACTCATACATCCCTGGAGGTTACTAGCGGCGTGTTTGAAGTTACCGGAGCAAGATCTACAGCAGAGAAGTATGGGTTTGATCGCTTCTGGAAGGATGTGCGGACTCATACATTGCATGATCCTGTGGCTTACAAGGAGTCAGAGCTGGGACGGTTTTGGTTGTTGAATGAAGTCCCCAATCCTACCTGGTACACCTAGATGGTAGTACGTATCATACAGCTTAGCTATAACCATAGCTTCTAGGTATGGATGAATCTGTATTTGCGTGAATTATCCGATATCGGTATTCGTGTAAGAACTACTAGTGCTTACGAACTTACTGCTCATACGTCCTATCCACAAGGGTTGCCTTGCTGCCCTTCAATCCAGGCAACACATTTTTGCGGGGAAACCTCCTCTTACTAAGCGGAATTTACTGACCAGTCACAACTTCCGAGAAAACCTTCAGGTTTCAATCAAAATCCATTACTTGCAGAAGTAATGCGTTGGCAAAAAAAAAAAAAAGAAAGAAAGAAAAAAAAAATGCTAATCTCAAGGCCTGTTCCCATTGAAAGGGGTTGTCCATGATTTGAATGATGGGCTCTACCAAGAATACCCCGGTTTTCTCTTGCGATGTTTGTCGCGAAACTTTCCGTCGCCAGGAACACCTTGACCGCCATCTCAGGGGTCATTTAGGGGTGCGCCCTTTTAGCTGTTCCTTGTGCTCAAAATCGTTCTCACGAAGGTATGAGCTCTTGCATATGGAGTCAGGCCATCTAGCTTATTGGTACATAGAGACACATTGCAACGGCATATCAGCACGCATGGCGATCAGCAGAATCAACCTCTTCTGACATCCAGGGCTAAAAGGCCTCGAAGCAATCATGCTTGTCAAAGCTGCGCACGGGAGAAACAGCGCTGTAGTGGGCACCCGCCTTGCACTCGCTGCATTAACAAGAATCGCACTTGTGTATTTGATCATCACTCTCGTGGTGGTGGTGATGATGACGATCGGAACAAATCATGCACAGTGCATGTATCATGTCAAGATGGCATAGACCAAGCAGAAATGAGCTTCAATGGAGACATAGGGAAGTCTAGGCTGTTACCGGATGACCAGCAGCTAGTGGGAAACGCTAGCGTTCAACCGCCGCCGGAGGTAATGCCCCTTTTCGGTGCGTTGGGCTATTCGAACTATGCTCCTAACTTGGGCAATTTGTTCACATGGGGTCCATTCGACTGCCTTGATGATCCGCAATATAATGCTTCCCTCAACAGCGGCGCTGGATTCAATGGTTTGGACTCGCTCTGTCATCAAATTCCACTCCCACTTGAACCTCCTTCGATTTTACAAACGCCCAGGTCGAGCACACCTATTGAACCAGCTACGCTACGGTCACTGCCTACTCCCGCGGAAGAAATTCATCAATCTTCCCAAACCGCAGCGCATGTACCAAATGATCCCACAGTATCTAGCTCTACATCTTCTAGAGGGGATCTGGATTCCCATTCTGAGGATGATTTACTGATCGCAGAAAACTTCTTCCATGTTGGTGCCATACGTAATGAAACGTATGAAAAGATTCAGAGCTTCTATCTGTCTCAGACGGACATCTGTTTCAAGGAGTTGGCTTTTCCCGACGTCAACCGCCTCAATTGTCTTGTTCAGCTGTATTTTGAGTATTTCCATGCACAGATGCCATTTATACATCCAATAATGCTCGAAAGCGACGGCTCGTGGGTTCTAGTGCTTGCCGTGGCGGTTATTGGGAGCCAATATACTAGAATGGCTATGGGTAGACAGTACATCATCGTTCTCTCCGAACTCTTACGTCGTGCGATCCCTCTTGATGTACGCCCAACGTCTCAATACAACGCGATTTGGTCATGCTAACCGCTCCAGGCTATGAAAGCGCTGCAATTCGATGCAGTGACCCTGGCGCAATCAACTTTGCTGCTCAATGTTAACCTTGTGTTCAATGGTTTCCGAGACAATATCATCAATTTGCAGTTTCTACGGACCTGGCTGGCTACACTCATCCGCCCTTTTCTTAAACCCCACAGCAAAAGAGATTCTGCCTTGCTGGATGTCTCCCGAACTGTGAATATCCACGGCCGATGGCATGCATGGCTCCAAGCAGAAGCCCACACCCGGCTAGTATATGCGTTTTTCCGTGCGTTATATCTTGCTCTTGAACTTAATAGCAGAATAACCGGCTTACTATTGGACCCAGTGCTCGACTCGTTCTGTGTCATATTTCATGATATGCAACCAAGCTATACGATAGATGATTTTGAGCACAGACTCCCATATCCAGATGAACTCTGGAGCAGCCAGGATGCTCACTCCTGGGCGTCGCATCTCCAATCCTGCCAGGGTAAGTTAGAATCTGATTCTTGACCTTTTCAGTACTAACCTCCACCAGAGACACCAGCGATCACTATAAGAGAATTTCTGTCGCCTAGCTGTAGTAATGACCTCTCTCTTGAACAACTACCCTGGTTCAACAGATTAACAGTACTACTTGGTCTTTTTGTCGGAGAGAAGCAAGCTGTCAATGCGTCTCAGTGTTCTGCTCGCTTTCTAGTGCCTAGCGGTAATCCCTGCACGTTGCCGTACTTGCAGGAGACGCCCAACTCATACTCAAGCCTGGATTCCAGATACCAACTCTTAGAGCCGAACTGCACACTAGCAAAGTCAGTGCCCGCTTTCGCTGACTGCTTCAATATCTGCTATCATTTAATTTCCATCTTTAGATACACTTCTATACGGGATATACTTGCTTACACCGGGTGGCTTGTTACTACTGTGGAGAGTATCGCTGCCGGGAATCGCATCGCTCAAATGATGGAGAAAGACACGGAACGTGCGCGTAAATGTGTAGTACATGCTGGTGCAATAATTAGGGAGCTTCGTGGTGTCTCAGCTCCTGCCTGTTACCATTGTTTCAGTCTCCTATTTGCGTTCCTATATTTATGGGTCTATGAGCGGTTCCAAGCCGGCACTACTACAGAAATGCGTCATTCAGACCGGTCTTCGCCATATAGGCTGTTAAGGATCGACCGTGACCCCGATCCAGTGCTGGAGAAACAGTGGATTGCTGGCGATGCCGACTGTCGACCTTACTAAACTGGTGTTGGAGTCCTCTTGGAACCAGGGGCTTCCACACGTCTCCTCAGGGAATGTCAACGTATTCTTAGATCGTATAATGCGTGGCCACATCTTCGAACAGGATTTATATCTTCTCTCGAAGAGCTTGTTGAGGAGGTGAAACCGTTGACCGATCCCCCGTACTCATGGGCCTCGTGATATTTTATCGCCTGGCTCCAGGTACCATTTCAATACTTCACGCGTTCACAATGGACACACCTATCATAGCAATCTGTATAATGCCTAAAGCGTATCTGTCTATGTTGTACAGCCAGGCTATTCCTATATAACGACCAGGGTATTGACATGTATCATTCATAAGATGGTCAACCCACGAGAGGGGTTAAGCAACTTGACATTACCGACCTGCGCTATCCTTGAATTATTACATTACTATACTAGTGCTTTTGGTAGGACGACAATGGTTGTTGCTTATGCGTTATCCACCCGCTTAGTCCGTTGCGGAGCCGATACATAAACGATCCACTACCCGGCGGAGATGCAGCCAGCCAGAACAGGTTCCGCATGTACTACAGAAGATAGAAGACAAGCCTCCGAGCAGGTATTCGGGTCAAATCGAGACTTCGATGTGTATGCATCCCAGCTCGGTGATCGAGCGTCGGTGGAGATTCCCACAGCAAGTGCAGGGGGATCAAAGCTATAAATACGCCGGTGAGGTCCAGCACTTGAGAGGAAATTGCTCTGTAGTAATCCTTCATCAGATCAGGACCAGTGTGAAATAGTGTGTATGCAGACCGCCATGTCAAACATAGCCAATATGGCAGACAACTTGGGCGTGCCCTTCCTAAAGACACAGGGGGCCAGCATTCTGGTAGCGCTCATCATTGGAATGGGGACTTTACATATCGTCCGAAGCATCTATCGTCGCCATTTCCATCCACTGTCCCAATTCTCAGGCCCACCTGATGCATCTTTATCCACGAACTGGCTCTATAAAACCAACCAGGCAGGCTTTCCAGAGCATGAATTTGAAAGACTGCACGAGAAATACCGTACGCCCTCCCCAAGGGAGCTTTAACATTGTGTATGTTGCTAATGACGCGTCCATCTCAAAAATCTAGAAACCAAGGCCCTTCGCATTGCCCCTAATGAACTTCACCTTTCTGACGTTCACCAATACAAAGTCATCTACAGCCAATCCAAGCCCTTCCTCAAGCATCCCCCGTTCTACAGCTCATTCAACATTGACCACTCGCTGTTTGGTGAGACAGATCCGGCGCTGCATAAAGAAAGACGCAAAATGCTGAATCCTCTTTTTTCTCGAATGGGTGTATTCAAGCTTGAAGGGGTTATTCATACCAAGGCGGGCATCATGATGAAAAAGATCGACAGATTGAGGGAGAAGCACTTGATAAACGTTTATGATGCCTTTCGGTAATCTCTCTCTGATTCGGTTCCGTCAAAAGGTGTTGAGCGTGTGGCTAACAGCGTAAAGATGTCTCACCACAGAGGTTATCATGGAGTTTGCTTTTGCGCGCTCCGCCAATATGCTCGAAGAGGAAGAGTCGACATTTGACTCATGGTTCTTGAGAGCGTTTGATTCGGTCGCCAGCGACCTGTGGACAGCCCACGAATGGCCCATACTGCGGAAGATTGGGTCATGTTTGCCAAAGAGTATTGTTAAGATCTTGAACAAAAAGGTTGCATCCTTTGTTGAAGTAATTAATGTAAGACATACCATGTCATTACAACCTTCGTGCTCAGATTCACTGTCTGACCTATCTTATTAGTTCGCCGAGAGCTGCATGAATCACTACGAGAAACACGGCAATACCACCCCCCATCCAGTTGTCTTCGACCACCTTACTTCAGTGTCCTACCCTCAGAAAGTCACTGAGGCCATGGATATCTTGATTGCTGGAGCGGATACCACTGCATCTACCCTGACAGCAGCCCTGCTCCATATTCTCCCGGACAAAAAGGTCCAAACCAAATTGGTCCAGGCGTTACAATCGGTGCAACCAAACGAGCAGGGAGTTTTGCCACTTATAGAACTTGAAAAGATCGATTATCTGGTATATCCTCTTGATCGTCTCTATCGCAACCCCTTTTGCCACGGAACAGTTCCGAGTACTGACAGAGATCTTAGACGGCTTGCGTGAAAGAGTCCCTGAGGATCGGAATGCCCGTCCCTGGCCGGTTACCTCGCATTGTCCCCGATGACCTAGCTCAGCCCTTTACTGTTGATGGAAAGGTCATACCCCCCGGAGTATGTATCTACCCAATTTCTTTCCATGTAGTGTCCAACTCAAATGGATGAACTAACCTTTCTAGACCGTCATCTCAATCTCCGCCTACACGATGCACTACAGCGAAGAGCTCTGGGGCCCTGATGCCCGAACCTTCAACCCCGAGCGCTGGCTGCAGCCCGACTCCAAAAATCTGGACCAGTACCTCTGTACCTTCTCCAAGGGTGCTAGGATGTGCATTGGTCAGAAGTGAGTTCAAACCCCCTATCTGCTGAATATCTGCGCCTAGCAAAGAATGTTTTGATTTCCTCCTGGTTGAGACTGGATACTGATGGTCCTCGTCATTTTTAGCGTCGCATTCGCGGAACTCACGATTGTGATGGCATATATATTCCGGAACTATCGGCCCAGTCTTCCGCCGGATTTCCAGCGACCGAAGCAGAAGGACTTTTTCACGATGGAGTATGGGAAGCCTGGCTTGCCGGTGAAGTTCGAAGCTGTCGATTAGTTTCCGTATAGCTTCTTTCAGAGTAACAACATACTATATACATGTTTGTACTGGGGTTAGGTAGTTTAGGTTTTAGGACGTGCAATATGACCCATGTTGTGCATGGAATATTTGTTTTGAATTATGTATCACATCGTGGGCCGGTCCATTATGAATAATCATGCTGTTGAGGTCCACAGATTTCCTTCATAGTTTGCCTAGATAAATCTATGAATACCCTGGATGATATGACTTTCTTTTCCTTTTATTTTCTCTCTTCTTTTCTTTTTCTTATTTTTTCACCACCTATAACTATAAATCCACTTTCCCAGTCCTCTATAAGACTATAAACTCACTTAACACTTCAACAAACCAAGAAATCCAAAATTTACGGAAACTATATGAACAAGCATAATCCCTAATACAGTCATCATCACTGGTCCACGATTCTATCCGGTGAAACAGTAAAACTTCTTCCCGAAACTAAGATCGACAGTTTAAAAAGAGAAAACCGGGAGTAAGCGACTCGGCCCCGTCGGCCCCGCAATTTAATTTAATGCTACATTATCGGGATCGGCATTGGATTTGTGTCGAGGGATCGGGATTTCCTGTCCATCGGAGTTTTGTAAGTTACATGGGCATATTTCATGTAGGACTGTATGTGACATCGATTTATTGTGGTGGTATTGGCTCAGTAACTACTATTTAGTAGCAAGTGGCACTGTTTTTCTGGAATTGAGTTTATATATCTAGCCACATTTAGGACTTTATAATATCCCGAACTGTACCTTCAACCGTAAGTATTGCATAAATAGAATGTCATCTTTGTTATTCCACAGTGAATAGTATCTCCCTTTGAGTATGACTTGGTTTACGTGAGTATTCGGTTGCTCTACAAGCACAATTTATTTTTCCAGGTTTGAGAAAAATACAAAGCTTCAACTCTTTCGATGTCTGCTCAGCCTAGCGGCGGCAATAATAGGGCTTGTAAGGATTGTTACGGGTGAGGCATCTCCGAGATTACATTAAGTCCACGCTGGACAAGACTCTTGGTTGGGAGATCAACGTGCTCTAGAAAGACTTGAACGTTAGTTATGCTTGTCCATAACATGGAAATCACATACCACACGCTGGATACACATGTAGTTGGTCATTATCAAGGAGCGGAGACAGTTCTTATTGACATGAATGTAGATAGTCGAGCCGCTGGGGAAATCATGCGTAGATAGGAGGTAGCATATATTTATAATTTTCGACAAAATCACAAAGTCCCGACTCCCCACCAGGCTTTGTTTGCTGGGGATTTAATCCTACTAGAGAGAGACCACAGTGGCCATTTGAAAGCTTAGGCCAAGACATTCTGTGGAAGGATGCAGTTCTGTAGCATAGCTGTATAAGTGAGATACCCCCTAGCCGAACTAAATACTGGAAAGATCCTTAAGCTCCCTACAACACTAGGCGCGATGGACGCTCTCCGGGACCTCGGGAGAACTCTAGTTCAAAATACACTCTTCTCTAGTCCGGATGTGGTATCTATAGAGCTTCGGGGCTGGACCACTTACTGAATCTAACGTTGACATTGTCTCAGCTCGGATGCGGTTTCCTGGTACCCTAATCAGGTCTACTTTTATAGTGAGAACATGTATATTCTATTTTTAATTCTATTATATAATATTATACATGTATAACTAACAGATTTTTCTAAACGGGAATAGCCTTCCTAAAAGGTCTGGATCTTAGCACCGTCACCGCATTTGCCAGTCAAGTTCCAAAAAAAAAAAAAAAGAAAAAGAAAAAGGAAAAGAGGATATCACGCCAGATTGATAAGTCTATATTCTGGACCTGGCTCTGCATCCTTCCAGGCTCTAGGATGCATCATGCCTGTCGCGACACGCTCTGCTACCTCCCCATGAAACCTGACTAACATGACATGTAGGATGCACATGCACTTTTCTTCATCGATACCCATAAAGCCATAGGACCTGTCAATAAGTTCCTTATAAGGAAGGCACACTGCAGGGGAAACACTCATAGCTATGATAGCAAATTGCTGGGACTCGTCAGACGTAAGGGTGGGAATCGCAGGATTGAAAAAGCCACCGCACTGCCGTCTCTGAATGTCGTAGATCGGTAAGACGTCCATCTCGTTGCATTTATCAGTCATCCAAGATTTATATTGACACTCTCCAAAGTAGTAGCCTCGGGCCATGACTGTGGAAGCACGGAATTGGAGAATCGATAGATTAATGAACTTTTCTGGAAGGTGTTGCGGGCTTCCAGGTCCCATGAGGTGTTCATTTGGGCTTCTCTCCGCGAGGTTCCTATAGGGTACATCTTCGACCTTTATGTGTGGAGTCCTGCCCGTGCCCACTAGTGTGGTCTGGCAATTGTAACGGCCGCATCTCACTTCCTTTTCCTCCCGTTTGATTGTTTTGGTGTCGGAGGTCTCTATTTTCTGGAACGCTGTTGACATGGCTGGCTTCCAAAAAAGCGATGCCTGGGGTAGGAGGCCACGCATACATGTCTCATTCCGTAACTTCCCAAAGTTTGCGATATAATAGGTGACCGGCCCCTTCCACCCTAGCCATGACCAGCTCGGGAAATAAGGAGTAGAGTCAGCACATGGGTTGGTGACGGAGGAACGCCTTTCGGGAGAAGTTTCACAAGTTGGGCACCAAAGCAGAGCGCGCACGATATTCAGATTGGGAATCGCATCATGGAATGTAACTGAGAATATGAGCGACAACTCCTGTAGGATGGCGGTAAAGGCATTGAGGATATCATTGTCATATGTCAACTGTCGGCGCGTGTAAACCTCCACGTATCGCTCATAGCCTTCAATGAGTATTTCAGCATCCTCAGACCTGACTGAAGTAGGCCATACCAGGGTAGTAATCGGGTTAAGTGAGTAGGGATCTGTAAACTGAACCGAGACTCCGTTGGTGCAGCGGAAGTAAACCTGATACCGCGAGATAAATAGACATCTGGGAGAAAGGAGAACTTCTTGATAGGTCCAGCCACGGGTGGAATGAAGCGATCTCTTCAACTCGAATTCGAAAGATGGTGGCCCGGCTTGCAACGTGTATCCATCAATTACCGCAGTTGGGGGCCCAATATGAGTTCCCTGCATGATGCCTGGGAGACCACTGTCAGCGTTCTCGCCCACCATCGCCACAATGGTCAACCTGGCTCGCCTGTATATCAAGTTCATCACTTGTATTTGATCACTCTTGTTTGGGGCGTCTTGAACAATGCATAATGCATCCACCCATAGGAACCGATACCCCAGGTCCTTAACCAGAGCCATCGCATCTCGTACGGTCCGTGGCAGGGTCACGTTCTGTGTACTGAATGCCCCTGGCATACGCATTTTTGGGAGGTTCTCCGTGGTCGTTTGAAGCATTGGGGTCTGCCCCCATACATAACTCAAGGCGATATATGGTATTTCTGGTGTTTCTGACACAGAATGCTCAACTAGCCGCTCCTCGAGGACATCGACGAGCATTAGATGCAGTATCCTTCGGGTCATCCCGCGCGCCAAATATGTGGGTAACTCTCCCATACAGGTCCGGACCTTCCTCATGGTAGGTGGACAACAGTATTGTCCATGATCACGTATACAGCAGTCGATCCATGAACAGATCAGGGCGGCATCAACCCGGCCTTGCCTAACCGCACAGTGGTCTCCTGGGTCATCATTCAGATCACTCAGACTACTTCCGACGCCAGGGTAGGCCAACTCTGATTTCGCTTGGATGGCGTCTTGGCGAGAAAGGTCTATTATACCACCTAGCCCCCTACTAGTGAACAGAAAGAGGTAAGTAGTGTTGGTGCTATGCTTGCAATATACCTCTGCTGTATCTGGCTTTTCATCATCCTTGTGGCTGCTCAATTCCATTGCCTGGACAAACAATTGGCAAAAAGAACAGTCCAAGTTCCGCCTCAGGTCACCTATGGTTCCGAGGCATACTATTTCTCTGGGATAAGATTTTGTGCCGGTAAGTAAACCGATAGGATCCAAGTCTTTGCATTTACATGTAAAGACATGGTTGCTCAGTTGCTTTCGATTCTCACCCCAGAAAACCATCTGCCGGGTTGAGTCCTGTTTTCAACGTTCGTCTTAGCGCAAAGATCCACAGTGACCTTAAAAGATAGATAGCCAGCGTGAATACCCACTCTGACTCCCGACTGTCGTGAATGGTAAACAAAAAAATAAAAAAAAAATAAATAAAAATAAACCGCAGCCGGTACAGAAGATAAAATGATATGTGACACTCTAGTTATGGCTTCATGAAATCCTGCATTTATGTGTGCGGGGCAGAGCAATAATAAGGCGCCACTAGACCGTCACTTAGCCATAACTTAACCTAACTGACCTCGGTTAGATTAAGATATAAAATTCCTTACCCAACCTAGATATAATATACTAATAGTCTTGGAGAAACATAACTAGAAGTTGGTGCGATGATTGGATCCAAAACTTCTTAATATACCCCTATCGTAGTAGGGCATAGTATTTGTTAATTCTTAATGTAGACGCCATGCCTAAGAATATCGCTGACCCACCAGGCCAATCCTCATTGGCGCGCAACATCAACCCCTACATTTTAGCTTTCTTGCCTGATTAGGATATGAACCCATCACGGACTTACACCGTAGACAAGCTATAAATTCCCCCCTGCCTGTCCCAGAATGCAAAAGTTTTCACAGACCCTGTTCCCTGCGTAACCTTCTTCTCTTCCATTATTTACTCCGACTCACTCTTTCTGGCAAAAATGACCCCTAAAATCGGCCTCATCATCTGCAGCCAGCGCACTCCCCGCGCCGGTCGCCATATCGGAACTACCATTCTAAAGGATCTCCAAGCTACCGACAGCGTCCGCACAAATGCAGTCACACTATCCCTGATTGATCTGGCAGAGTGGAATCTTCCCCTGTATAACGAACCCGGCATCCCGTCCCAGATCCATTCATCAGACCAATATCTCCATCCGCATACGCGGAAATGGTCCAAAGAGATCGCTTCCCATGCAGCGTTTGTGTTCGTGACTCCACAGTACAACTGGGGGTATCCCGCTAGTATTAAAAATGCGATTGACTACCTGTATCACGAATGGAATGGGAAGCCCGCCATGATTGTCAGTTATGGCGGACATGGGGGCGGGAAGGCGGCGGAGCAGTTGAAGCAGGTTTTGTGTGGGATTCGGATGAGGCCTCTTGAGCGGACGGTGGGGTTGACCTTTCCCAGTAGAGAGATCTTGATGGATGCTGCGGAGGGGCGGGAGTTGGATTGGTCTTTCTGGGAAGAGGAGAGGAAGGAGGTGGTGGAGGGTTTTCGGGAGATAGTGAAGTTGTTGTTAGCCGAAGCTTGAAAGGCTTATAGTCCGATGTATAAGGGTTAATTTCGATAGTGTGTTTGAGTGTTAGTGTTATCATTCTGTTTGGTAAAGTCTTCGTTCAATAGATGCCTTTTTGATCTGCTCTGAGTGATCGTAGCTGCTGTAAACCGAATTCTAGGGGCTTGGCAGCCACTGGGGAGTATCCCCGGACATATTCAAGAGCATTGAAGATAGTCTGCTGTCGTTTCCAAATTGTGTTAGAGTAGTCGATGGGTTTATGGGAACCATCCGACTCGGATAACAGGGACACGGCGGTGGAGATGGCATCTTCCAGGGCAATGAGCGTAGAGTTTACCACACAATCCAGTACACCCATGAGGGGCTGCGAATACTCAGCCGACGGGCAAAGTGGTGCACTATTGTCCCCGTGTTGTTGAACATACGGAACAGCCGGCACCACTTCGGTGAGGTACCATCCTTCTATTTGGCCATGTATGATCATGACTCGTTGCACAAGTCTCTCCAGCTTCGCCCCGTAGCCTCCACTATGCTGGATACCCGAAACTTTCTCAAGAAGCAGAGGAACATCCACTAGCCAGTCGCAAAGCTGCGATCGTAGAACAGACGCCCGACTTGCAGGTGCCGATGTAGTATCTTCCGTATCCCGCAGGAACTCCCGCCAAGCAGGCTGTGCCAGAAAGCACGGCTGTCGCAAGTTCATATCCTGAACGATCTACCACTTGTCAGCATGTAAGCTCCAATGATGCATCGATAGCCATACGAAAAACGCCCGTTGTGATTCTAACATCGCGCGCTCAAACGGCTCCTGAAACCGACGTATGCCACAATTCTGAATGAGAGCCTTAGTCCCATGCGTCAACTGGTTCCACCGACCATTATCGGCATTTGTCAAGAGCTGTCACATATTAGTCTAGCTCAGCGAAAGGGTCCAAGATCATACCTCGCACATCTGCAATACAATCGAAGCACAGATAGTCTCCGATTGGAAGCAACGATCGGGATCATCCAGGCACAAGCGTAGCGCCCCAATGCTCCGGGCATATTTGCGCCAAGCATCTTTCGAAATAGTCCCTTTAGCCGCCACGAGATTCGCATACACAGTACAAAGACAAGCAACGGCAGAGTCCAGAGCTATATTTCGCCCCAATCGACTTGGAATATACTGATAAAAACCCCCATGTGATCTCAAGGGGAAGACCATCTGACTCGTGGGATCCTGCAGAATATAAACTAAATTGGCGCTATCATGATCCCGGTCAGAAACCAAGGGCCAGCGTATCCAGTTGGAAGAGTAAACGGTGTGGTAAATGTGATTCCTCGTGGATCTCGATAAAGCCACAGTCTCATCCGGGTCAGCACCAATTTCTTCTAGGAGGTACTTCTTCTTGCGATAATGAGCCAGGAGAGATGCGTTTTCATTGATAAATTTATACTTTTTTTGATATCCTGGGCAAATGCGCCCCGAGGCGACACAGGCCGTGCATGCGGGTGCCCTGTTGTCGCACTAGCGGAAGGTTAATCACTGCTTTTCCTTTTCTCCAGTGTCCTATCAGTGGCCCTTACTTTCTTCTTGCGCTTCCGACAGCTTTCACAGCCGGTGCTGTGGGGAACTCCCACCATGGCTTGAAACAGGAGGCCCAACCGAGCCGGTGGATGGCTGGCCTTAATCTGAGTTATCGATCAATCACTTTGCAAGGCTGGGGTCCCTTTGTGCTGACTAAGATCAGTTCAAGCCATATGGTGTCAGCCGAGTGTACCAAGCCAGACTGCTCATATCCCTATTTTAGAATGGCGGGGGCGGAGTCATTGTGTCTTCCTTTGGAAACAGCCTGCCTTAGGGCTATGGATGGATGAGGATTGAAGGGGATGGGGAGATGTTGTGAATTTATTTATACCTCAGGCATCAAACTGATGAGACCCTTTCGGCGGCTAAAAGTGGATCCTTGAAATTGTAGGTAAATCTTTCATCACCCTTTCAATTCCCTTTATTAATGCTCGAACAATACCCGTCAAAGCGTAAAAGAATGAGATTAAAGGCATTGGGGCAATGGCCAGTTGCTCGTTCTATACGACCCAAGACCCTAGAGGTGTTTCAAGTCCACCACCGGACAATGCAGATCCATGCCGGACAAAGCGCCAGTCGCTCCACCTCTACTTGTTCCTGTGCAACGCTGGACAAATCAAAGCCACAGGGTGAACCAACCGTGAGAGAGGGCTGAGGCTTCCTGCACTTCTGCAAGGCTGAGCAAGTAGTATTTATGTCGCTTCGCGCCCGTGCAGATCAGTCAATGTTTTCCCCATACCCTTCGAAATTTTTTCAAAGTCGCAAGCAACAAAACACACTCTCTTGCATCTTCGATTCTACCCAGCTGAGACCGGTCTGGACTGGTCGATTGACGTTCATTTGGAAAATGTTCTTGCAGTCTGCCTTAGCGCTCTCCCTGGCGCTGCCCTCTCTTTCCACCGCTGCAAGACTCTTTGCAACCCACTACGATGGCAACGTCTACGCTCTCAACTTGGAGGGGGAAGGCGATACGTTCTCGCTCACGAAGAGCTACAACGAGACTACATGCGGCGGTGCCGGCTCAACGAGTGCACTGACAGTCGACTCTGCCCGCGGGCTCCTATGGTGCGTTGGTGAAGGAACGCCCGGAGCATTGACCGCCTTGCAGGTCGAGAAGGACGGGAGGTTCGTCAAGTCCGTGACGGTAGAGACACCTCCGGGCGGTGTCGATAGTGTCCTGTACGGAAAGGACAACCAGTTCCTCGCGATAGCGCATTAGTATGTTCGATCCTGTGATGCTGCATTCAATACTGACCACGGAACATAGTGGCAACTCCTCCATCTCACTCTTCAACATCCCCTTCGCAGACAAAGGAAAACCGGCACCCTTCGACGTGGTGAAGTTGCCCCAGCCCACAAATGTCACCGAAAAACAGCCCAAGTCGCAACCGCATCAGGTGCTTCTCGACCCCACTGGATCGTTCCTCCTGTCACCAGATTTGGGATCCGATGTGATGCACGTGTTTGCCATTGACCAGGAGTCGGGGAAACTGAACAAGTGCGGATCCAATTCGACGATCTACTATGATAAGGGAAGCGGGCCGCGTCATGGAGTGTTTGTGACCTCGAGTGAAGGTCACCACGCACGGCTGGCCAGAAGCCCGCATAGGGAGCGGCCCACGAGGCGCCACGGAGAAAAGACGACGTTGTATACCGTGGAAGAACTCCGCGGCGATGTGTGTTCGTTCGATGTGTCATATGTGAAGAACGGGTGCCCCGTGTTCAAGCCCTTGTCGGCGTGCTTCCGCCCTTACCCCGGCTCAAACTTTCCCTCGAATCAAACGACATTAGGTGAAATCCGGGCAGCGGGGCCGACTCTACATATCTCGGTCCGCAAGGATGGTCAATTTGATGGAAATGACTCCCTGGTGACGTTGAAACCCGGCCAGAAGACGGTAACCGACGACGACCTGTTTTCGTCCGGTGGCAAGACCCCGCGCAGCTTCGTGATCAACAAGAAGGGGGATCTGGTCGCGGTGGGTAATCAAGATTCGTCCACGGTAGTCATCATCAAGAGGGACCCACAGACTGGAAAGCTGCTCAATGAAGTCGCCTCTCTGCTGGTTGGCGAGGCGCCTGCCGAGGGATCCTGGGGTGGCTTGAGTAGCATCGTGTGGTACGAGTAGATGCCTGTAATTGGATACGTGTATGGTATACATGATATCTTGACCATTCGTACTTCCGGATAGAAAACGCGCCTGTCAGCCTCATATGTCTTGATGTATGTCTTTGAATATCATTCCAAATGCAGATCTTGCGACTCATTCAAATACAGAGTGTAACAGAACACCAAAATGCCACCGTAAGTGTATATAGACCGCCCAGCGATGTTATAAACACAACCACACCAAATTTGCAAATTCAAACAAAAACGAAACTGAAAAAAGAAAAAAAGCCCAGCTTTTCAATCATCCTATCGTGCGTGGCATGTACGGTAAGTCCAGCCCTGGAAAAGTTCGTCCTCAGATAGACGGGGGCTCGTGGACGCGTGTATTGTCGCCAGCGTAGATGTCATCATTGAAGCGTAATCCTTTTGAGTAACCGTGACCCTCAACATTAATCGTAACATCCGTAAAACATGATTCTGCAGCGTAAATTTCAACCCGTTGAAAACCTCGGCCCTGATGGCTCACTTAAATTCAAGTTGGAACGCCTTCCACTTGCTTCCCATGGTACGACACCGCGGACAACCCCGGGGAGGATAGCTCGTCGGACCGTGTGACATGGCGCTACCTGGACTCGACGTCACATTCCGAAAGGATGCAGTGGGGCTGCTGATGTACATTCCTACACACTCCCGGCATACCCCGCAAATGCATTCTGTGCAGGCATAACATTCGCTTAGCGCCCAGGGCCGATGACAGCTAGCGCAATAGACCTGGACCTCCTTTTGCCGAAACGATGCTGGAGTTGGGTTGGAGAAGCGATGGTGCTGGCGAGGGAAGAGGCTCAAACCAGGGCTGGAATCGGGTCTCGCCAACGGTCCAAGATGGCCCGAGAATGCAAAATTCTTCCCGGATGCAGTCGATGCCGAGTCTAAAGAAGACTCAATGGACGGGAAAGGCTCCAAGTCACTGTCACGGTTGCGGGCTGTTTCATACGGCGGGGGAGTCAAGGACTGATGCAAGGAGGAAGCACCAAAAGAATGTGGTGGAAATGGGCGATGGGAATTGGGTGGGGGCAGTGCGCCCCCCGACTGGAAAGCAGGAGGGAGTGATGACCGATTCCCGGGGGCAGAAGGAGCAGAGGTGATGTTCGAAATCAGAGGTGCAAGGGTCGGTGACCGACCGACCTGGGACGGAACAGTTAAAAGCTGTTCGCGAAGAGACAACGGGTGAACTCGTCGTTCCTCGGTATCTGATAGCGAACTCACCTCTGACTGTCGGTCATCATCTGCCTCCGTAGCCGACGTAGCCGCCTCAATCAGATCCTCCCAGCGCTTGCCTTGAGCCCACGCTGCCGTCTGCGGTTCCGCAGATAGTGCTTTGCGATCGCCCAGGCTAGGGCGCCGGCCATATTCCTTTGACTTGACCCGCTCATGTTTAGGTTTCCGTGCCGCTGATATGGAGGACTTGCGTGGACGAGGCAACTTGTCCCTTCTCTGGATGGGGGGAAGGGTTGATGAGCGACCAGGAGGCGAGTGATTGAGGATCGATGGTAGAAGCTCTCGTGGACGTGGGGAAAAGGGCGGTAATGATTCCTGTTTGAAATGGTCGCGCAGGGAGGGCAACTCGATAGAAGAACGCATGCGATCTCGTCCGATATCGTTATCAGAGTGGGTTTCCTTGAAAGATTATTAGCCTATCTCCCGCGGAAGAAAAGATGCAGGGAGAGAAAAAAAAATAAATCATTGAGGAACAAAACAATTCGGCCTACATACCATATCGGTATCCCAGTCCGAGGCTAATCGATTATGATGCAATTGGGCCAATGCGACAGCAGCAGTTGCGGCAGCAGGGTGAGCTTCATCGATGCCCCGTGGGGTTGCGGGTGAGCTGGCGTCCGCGACATATATATCTCGATCGGCTACATCTAAGCGAGTTAGCTTCTCTACCCAGGCTTTTAGAAGTCATTACCCCCGGGCCACTAACCATTGCGACGGCGAGATTGCACCTGATTTGGCGGAGATATGTGAGCTCGTTGTTCCGGAGGGGTTGTAACCATTAAGATAAAGCTCTCTTCGGTGGCCGGAAGCTTCGGAATGTAGTTATTCGGATGCGCCCGACGGATATGCTCCTGCATGGAGCGATAGCGTTTCTCCTGTAGGGGCGCATAGCAACGTTAGATATGAACTTATACATTTCAAAACGGGCGGATAGGGTAATAAGCTCAGATAAACATGGAATGCTGGTCTTTTCGCACGATAAAAGCGTCGTACAGCTGCGATAGCGGGTGTTGCTAGTAGAAGTGGGGCTCCGATCGATCGGCCGACACACAAAGAAAAGATGGGGGAAATACTCACTCCGAGGCATCTTTTCCGACAATTGGAGCCGTCATTATTCTTCAAGGGACAGACGACCTCATTATTGGCGTCGGTGACAGAAAAAGAACTAGTCAAAGACGCTCGAGGCGGCATGGTCTGCATGAATCCGTCTTTGGCGGCGGGGTGAGTGGACGGGGGGGGAAGGGAGGCGAACAACTCAGGTGCTAATGTATGAAAGGGAGATAATCCCATAAATCGATCAAATGAGACGTTTCAATTCAACCAGCAGAGCCCAACCGACTAGCACATGCTCCATCAAAGGAAATCAAAATGATCCGCGATGGTTAAAAAAAAATGGCATGCAATCTATGGAGGGGTAGAGGGGTTATGGAGACTCGGTGGAGGAAAGTGATCAAAGTGGTGGAATGAATTGAAGTTGAGGAGAGAGAAAAGAAGGAAAAGATACAAAGAGATCTATAGGGCTTGTGGGGATAGAGGAATGAGTAATAGTGCAATTCTCCAGTGCCTTGCGAAGAGACCGTAGGTAGTCGTAGGTCGTCGAGTACTAAGTTAAAGGTCGCTGCAGCAGTCAAGGGAGAGGGGAAAGGGAAGCTAAGGTCAGTTAGTGGTAGTCACTAACGTACTGTTAGTGGGTAACTCAATACTCTCTCTGGAGCTTAGTGAGTGCCGGTACGGAGTTGTAAAGACGGAGAATGTAATTTATAGCCCACGGTGACAGCCCGTAGATGGGGGATGACAAACAAAAAAATAGGACTATGAAGAAGAACAATAAGAGAAGACGCAAGGACAAACCAAGCAAGGAAATCGAAGAGGGACAAAAAAAAGAAGAAAAGCGAGAGAGAAGAAGGGAAAGAAAAGGAGAAATTCCAAGACAAATATAGGACGCAAAACAGACAAAAAGTCTCGAGTATCTCGTGTGGGTGGGCAAAAGCAGCAGCAGATACCGCAACTTAGCTCCTTTGCTTTCAATGGTCCCTCAGTGGTATTGTGTGTAAATTTGATTAATTACTGGGTATGGATACCTCACTAAACCCCTAAGGGATGAGGGCCCTCAGCCCCCGGGAACCGCCGACCGCGTGGCCTCACAACCGGTTATGCAGGAGGCAAATGGGTTGAAAGCCTGAAAGGTTCAACCCCGAGAAAGGACCAAGAACGAACAAAGGAATGATCGTTCATAGTGAATCGACGATGCGGTGCGGTTTTTCCATCAAAAGACTTGCCTGTCGCATACAGATACATCAAGGGAAACATAATATAGAAAGGCTTCCGGGTCATAAAACATAAAAAGCTCCATTCATGGGGAATAAAACCCAGACTGCACAACCAAGGTTTGTGACATGGTAAATACCACATCGTACCAGGGAAAGTGACAAAAAGTTACTACTACCTAGTTGTTCTTCCTATGTTGGTTCGTCGTCCGATTGCGAACACCTATTGTACGTTGGTATTGATACATCATGTACGGAGTACATGATTCGGTGGGTGTTAAAACCTAAGCTTATAATATCGCATCTGAGTAAGAGGAGCAGGGTCGATAGCTACCACCGTAGCACCTGGCCGATAAGCATATCCCTTGACCGATACGATTATCCCTTGGGGGCTTTATCGCGTGGTACAACATGAGCCCTCCTGTACATTGGAACCTTCATCAATAAGAAGTCAACCCGGTATTACGAGTTAGAAACAGAAAAGGGAAAAAATGAAAAAAAGGGAAAAGAAAAAGAAAAAGAAAACGAAAAACAAAAAAAAAAGAAAAAAAAAAGATTTGGATCGCCGGCATAACCGCCAGAGACATGGTTCATTTTTGGTATGCTCTCGTTTTATTGTAAAATAGCCTCCCGAAGCTGCATTCCCCCAATCGAGAAGAGTTTGATAATATGATCGATGATATGATATGATCTCATACATTTTTCAGTCATTCCTGATATGCATAGAAGACACTGTCTACGAGTAGACGTAAGTACAAATCGTAGTACGGCGTAGTACATAGCAATCAAAAAATCAATGACACTCCCACTTGCGACTCAAAACTTTAGTGTAGAATGAATCCATTTTACCTCGGGTGACATGACCGTACGGTAAGAAATGTTCTTGGGAGGGGTGTGCCTCTATCTGAACTCCCCGAGAAATTCATTGCTCCAAACCATTCGGGCAAGTGATGATCATCCTTGTAAAGGGCTCAACTCTACTATACGAGGCAATATTCTGACTTCGGATTATTTCGCACCCAAGGGTATTGCATCCTCCACTCACGTAACTTGAGGTAATTCCGCAACTTGTCCCTGGGACATGGAACATATGGCATGTGGGAGTTGAACAGAGGTCACCATTACCGTATCGTACATACCTCCAGACTTACAGTACCCCCGTACAGTATCAGTGACCAGCCTTTCGGAAACGCCGGTGGGACCGCTTCCCCTCTCTGGAGGTTTGCGACAGCTGCAGGTAAGCATAAGGGGGATTTTTGCCAAGTTTCAATCCCTCGAGAACATGATCACATCTCGAGTAATGGAAATTCTCAGACGATGACCAAACTTATCTAATGAAATGAATTTGAGTATATCGGATGATACTTTATGACTAGTTCAACCAGGGTTTTTAAGGATGGCTTACTACTAGTAAATCGGCCATGATACGAAGTAGCGCTAAAAGCGACCATGTGCAACCTACCCCTCCTGACCCCTCCCACACCTCTCCAGCTCTCCCCAGCTCCGAATGTTGAGCTTCCCATGCAACCCGGCCCAGAGCTCAAAGCTCGAGCTTTCACAAGTTTTCTGGTGCTCCGTCCGACTATCACCGATCAGGTTTAACTCGGTGGCGACATTCCAGCTTAGCCAAAGTAGCGGCGCCGCCACTCCAGTTCCTTATTCCCGTCCGAGTGGGGCCGGTGTTGAAACAGGAGCCCTTAGGGGAAGAAAAAAAAAAAAAAGAAAAGAAAAATAAATAAAAATACAAAATACCAAATAAAAAATAAAACAAGTGAAACATTTTTGCAAAAGTCTTTTATTTTTATCTTTGGCTTCCATTGATGCTTCGAGAACGTGGCGAAGAGTTTTTTTTGCCTTAGAAGGATGAGACGTAGATGATATTCCATGGGTTCGAAGTGGCACAGAAACAGCACAAGGGACCTCGGAGAGGACGTCCACCTTCAAAGTCCTAATCAATCAATAAGTTCTCCATCACCCTCAACGGCTAGTGTCCTCCTGAACGCACACTATTCTTCCACACGGAATAGAGGGGTTGGTGCCCAATTTATTTAAGCGAAGAAGACGCCGTATATTCCCGTCCGTGAGTTTTGGATCTTCAGTAAACTTGGAGGTTGACCCCTACCTGAGAGCATTTCCTTCTTAGTGCACTGAAACATGCGGTGACCTTCAAAAGTGTAGCCTGATTGTTGATTTACATACATACTATGCATTGCCCCGGATAGGAACAAGTACGGAGTACGGACGGTACAGACGTCCTGAAAGGATGCACTAGCCGTACCAATTGAGGTATTCTATTCGGACGACTTCCTCGGAAGGCTGGAGGACATCCATACCACTGTGTACTAGCCTATAGGTACTCTGTACGTCGTACCTTAACTATTGCCCTAAGGGACAAGGATTATGATTGTTCTGGAAAATGTAAAGTTTCATACTATACCCACATGGCTGACCGATTGAAAATTTTTCTCATCAAATGAGAGGTTGACATTCGTACAAGTACCTATCAGGTGGATCCCAAGTCCATAATTAGCAGGCAACCATTCCGCCTAGTTTCGACCTCGAGCATGGAATATCCAGACATCTTTGCTGGATACTACGACTCTCGATATTATACACACAAAGAACGAAATCGAGAAAAACAGACCTTTTTTTTTTTTTTTTCCCCCAAAACATGATCCTTTTTAGCTTCCTTACATTCTGCTCAATGCAAAAAAGAACATCTCGCAGAATGATTTCTTGATTACTCTTCCCACACCAGGAACGACGATTAGTACTGATAATAGTAATGTCTCATCATGCAACCTGCACGGCAGCCAAAGTCCGGGCGAGGACACCTGCATGGGGCGTGAAGCTGCCTGCGTCTCTTCTTCTCTTCTCTCTTTTTTTATTCGTTTTTGGGTTTTTGCAATGGGTCATGGGCCACTGCAGTTAATTTCCCTTTCGAGCACATTGCATGCAATAAAAGCATTATGATTGGTGGATATGGGGGCATGAGTGATACATGGTAACCAATGGAAAGAGAAGTAAAACGCGGCCTGAGTGAAAATTCCCCCACTGAAATTGTGGTTTTTTTCTTTTTCTTCTTTTTTTTTTTTTCTCTTTCTTTTGCTCGGCACTTGTTAGCCGGTTCCAAGATGTAGTACCGATACAGAGGCTTCACACAAAGGGGGGGTTCTTGGGCATTTGATCAGAATAGATCGCAGAATCGCGAACATTGGTACTCATCCTGCAAAAAAACCTGAAGTACATCGTACAGGATGCAGAGTCTTAGATGTGCCCTGTATCTATAGATAGTACAATGGTCCGTTATCGAATCCTGACTAACAAGACTGCTTAGATTGAGACCCCACAGGAGCTACGCTGGATATCACTACATAGTACATACTTATCTACTCTTCTCCAAATTTAGTTCTGTAAGAGGAGTAATTATGAATCCCTACTCCAGATATAGTAACTCGTTCCCTATGACATCGAACTTGGAAACCCCACCATACATCAACACGGACCAATTCACACCGAGAATCAATTGGAGTCGGATAATGTCTTTGCTTGACCGGATGTTCACCGATTGCCTCCTCTCCGGTTTCAACGGTTCCCAATATTTTGCCGACTAGTGTATTCAAGATTCAAGCCTTGCCATTTAGGCATCAATACTCAGCATGAGTCGTGAAAAGCCGGGAACGATTCAGGTAGTGGTGGATTTCGCCGTCGTACTCTTTCCGAACAACATCAGGTATTTCTCAGTATCAGCTTCCCCGCAAAGTTAATCTACCTACGAATGACTTCCCCCATTTCTGGGCATTGCGCAAATGACCTCATTCTATTCTACTCGTCGCTGGAAATTGCACCGAACAAAGTCAGCTGAATATGCGACCAAGTCACATACCTGGAGACTCGACGTGGATCAATGCCAACTCCGGTTTATGTGAAGTCAGGCTGCGTTGTATTGTATAACGACGCTAGGGGTCACTCGTGATGTACCCTATGAATGACCCAAAGTCCATGATCTACGTCAAGTTCACCAAAAGGGACATCACGGTATGAAGTTCACCATGTCGCCTGGTGTCCTTAAAAAGGTAGTTTCACTTAAAGCTCAACGGTGTTGCGTAAATACATCCTTAGTCTCTAAACTTCCATAATAGTTTTCGGTGGATACTTGGATAGTCTTCACTCATTGGCAGAAATAACGGTAAGCTACACTGGAGCTTCTATCAAGACTCAAACGGGCCTTTGTTCCTGATACTGTATCTCGGGAGCCGTTTCTCACTGTACTCCGTAAGCTACATAATCGGGTGGGATCCATTCCACGTCTCCACACTCCACGTCACCTTGGTAGTCAGTGCTGTTCAGCGAGGAGCACAAGGCTGTGCACTATCTACCTTCTAGGAGAGGGGGAGAGGGTGTAAGAGAATGCGCAGAGGGAAGAGGTAGAACCTCAAGTCTTTACACCGACTACATAGCTAAACCGAAGAGTTGGCAGTCTTCCACATCGGTATACACACCTTGTTACAAATGGACTTCCGGTGAGGTATTACATCGCGGAAGACCATATCTATAACCAGCCGACCACAGAGGCCCACGAATTCACGATCCCAATATTGAGCCTCCAGCTAACTCCGATAAACCCGTACTACGAATACTATCTCTAATAACTAAGATTCGCCGGCACGTAACTCGGCAGTTTTATAACCTATAATCCGCACCCCATTGCCAAGCCGATGCCCCACGGGGGTCGATTAGGCGGGTCTCGTCACCATCCGAAGGACCTTACCCCAAAGCCGATGTCGTCGACAAGTTCCGATATGCCTATTCCATATGGAATGCGGTGTGCGCGATGCATAGTAGAAAAGGGGAGGCCTCGCGTCTTTGCAGACTCTTGGCTCAACATCCCCTTCAGAGTGTTTGAGTTCTTGAAGTACACCCTAAGTACATCTTAAATCATAAAAACTTCAAGACACGCAACTCTACCCAATGTCCCCGCAACGGAAGAATTTCCATGTCGCCATCGTCGGCGGCGGCATTGCTGGCCTAACCCTCGCTATCGCCCTGTACCACCGAAATATCTCAGTCACCATCTACGAGCAGGCCGAAGCCTTCGGTGAAGTCGGCGCGGGCGTCTCATTCGGCCCAAATGCCGTTGAGGCAATGAAAGCTTGCCATGCGGGTATCTACGAAGCATTTGAAAAGGTCTGCACGCAGAACCTGTGGCCTTCGAAACAAAAAGTGTGGTTCGATTATCTAGACGGATACAACAAGGGTACCTCGACAACAGCAAAAAATGCCAGCCGCCAGGATATTGCATTCACTATCTCCAACAGCCTAGGCCAAACTGGCGTTCACCGCGCTCACTTCCTTGACGAATTAATTAAACTGATCCCCGGTGACATCGCGCGATTCCACAAACGGCTCGAAAGCATTGTCGAGCGGGAGGCAGACGGGAAACTCCTGTTGAAGTTTGCTGATGGAACGCAAGATGAAGCCGATCTGGTTATTGGTTGTGACGGTATCAAGTCGCAGGTGCGACAGGTGATTGTAGGAGAAGAACACCCCTCCGCTAAGCCGTCGTATACCCACAAATACGCATATCGCGGGCTGGTCCCGATGGAAAAAGCGATCGAGGCGGTTGGAGAGGAATTAGCTTCCAATTCGTGTATGCATGTAAGACATCCTCATTTAGTATGCTTTCTCCCATGTGCGCTCTTATACTGATGGCGTGACAGATGGGCCCCGGTGGTCATATGTTGACCTTCCCTGTAAACCAAGGGAAAACCCTCAACATTGTTGCCTTCCATACGTCTCCGGACGAATGGGCCGATTACCCCAGATTAACGCGACAAGGTACACGAGACGAGGCACTCCGTGACTTTGCCGGATATGGGCCGAACGTTATTAACCTGCTGAAGTTGACAGACGCAGAGCTCAGTGTGGTAGGTTTATACACTACTCGACCCAGAAGCCAGTGGCTGAAATACTAATAACATCTAGTGGGCTATCTTTGATCTTGGAGAAAACCCGGTTCCTACGTTTTACAAAGGCCGAGTCGCGATATCCGGCGATGCTGCACACGCTACATCACCCCACCACGGTGCCGGAGCAGGCTTCTGCATCGAAGACACTGCCGTTCTTGCTACATTGCTGGCGGATGAGCGGGTTCAAACGCACAAGGATCTCGAAGCTGTTCTTGCTGCGTATGATATTAGTCGACGGGAACGGTCCCAATGGCTCGTTCAGAGCAGCAGGTTTATCGGAGATAGCTACGAGTGGCGAGCTGAAGGTGTGGGAAGTGATTTTAAGAAGATCGAGGACGCGATCAATTACCGGAATGGTGTTATTGCCAACGTGGACATTCCCCAGATGTGTGCGGATGCCACGAAGTGTTTAGAGAAGAGACTGTCTAGCGTGACCAAGGCGTCGATATAGAGCTTGGAATCATTTCTGCTAATCCTGCATTTTTGGTGTCTTGTTAGAGCGACTATTTGGTAATGTACCTATCATCCCGTATATAGCTTTCTTTATTCGTAAAATATCCTATGATATATATACAACCATGGCTATATAGTTTTAAAAGAAATTTGAAAGCGCAAGTGACATCAATGTTTTAAGTATAATCAAGATCTTCGGGTTTAGCATATTTTTTTCTTTCAGACCTTGGTTGGTTGTGATTGCTTCGAGCTTAGAAATAAATCCCTTTAATGATTATACAAAACTAAATCGGCATGAACTTTATTCCAGAAGAATCAGAGTCTATACAGACTGTAATATTAGCCAATAGTAAATTAACTACAGTACCAGTCGAGTGACTTACCGATGTACCAATCGATTCCACATTAAGATGCATTGTTCAAACCAGAACTTTATTCCTCTTTCAGTGTTACTGCGATGGGTATCGCGAGAGATGTGGCTGATTCGGTTCCAGTCGTTTCATCACATACACTCTCCGATGAACTTGTAGGATATAGCCAGCGCCATATGGAGGAAAATGGATTTAACAAGGACTCAATCGGGCTATAAGGTAGGAGTGCTGTATCATAGAAGAGCATGATTGATTGTTCTTAATTGAAAGTGCACAAGTGAATTGAGACACAGAGCAAAGGATACTTGAAAAGTCTGCCAGAACAACAATAAAACCATTGCAATGATCATCCTGGTCACCCTCTCTCTTTAAACAGACATTTTTTACTCTGTACCTATCATTAGAACCAGATGATCCCTCACTAATTGCGCAGAACCAAACACTGCAAAGGATGTCGACAAGTCCTGGATGGATCTAATTGGCTCCCCTGCCATTGATCGCCCACCCGCAGTTTCAAAGGCTGCGGCTCGTTGGCCAATCGATCAACCACATTTCTAATGCAAACATGACTGCTGAGGTTTGGCTTGTTTGACATGTTTTGTCGATCGGAAGTCCTGGGGACGGCACTTCCGATCCCCTTTTCCTCCCCGCACCGCTTTTCCGACTGATGGTCTGTAGGTTTGGGCATTTGGTGGTGTATGGCATTTCGAAGAATTGGAAGTGAGATTGACGTCAGCAAATCGTGGTCTCAGCTTTTCATTATTCCTGCATATGCCAGTAGGTATTCTAGATATCTTGTGATAAACTTAATTATATTTTGCATTCTCTCTACTTCAGATGAACTCTGTGGTTGCTTATTTTGCTGAGCTCTGACGAATAAGAAAACTACTTGTAGTGAGTAAAGACCGTACTGCAGTTCATATGAGATTTACTCGGATTTGTATAGCAATCGAAGTGATATGGAATCAAACTAGGCTCTTATGTACTGAAAAGGTGTACTGTGTAGTGGTGTTGTCCCCATCTTTTGTGGATAAAATATACTTCAGGTATTACGAGAGCTGATTCCACTTCACTCTGTATAGGAACATGGATATCTGAATGAAAGGACTAGATCTAATCGAATAGGAATAGATGCCGCAGTTACCAATGTCTTGAACTAAGGGAATCTCTATGAACTATTTAAATTTCTATTCGTTACGCTCCTTTCTATTGTATTCCGATCCCTTTCCTTCCTGACAGTGTTCAAGGCACGTTATGGTATTTTGGTCAAGTGGGATTGACACATTTTCTTGAAAGATTTTACCTTATAGCGAGTTACTCGCAGCAAATATGACAGACTGAAGGTAAGGGAAGAGGTAGCATAAGATACGAGATGTATAGGAAGGTGTACGACCTATTTTTTCTGGAGCTTACCTATCACAGTTGTCGCTGCTTTTATGAGGGCGTTCAAGCTCAGGCTCACTAGTAGATTTTACTGTTCGGTAGGCCTCGCCGGGTTTGGGTATTGGACCCGAAACCTAAGCCTATAAATCAATAGGTTATCTACTAAACATCTATTATAGTATAAAATTCCGAATTAAGTTATAGTACATTGTAATAATTAGTTAACTAAATAGACTCTAAGCAACTAGGTATAAGGAGGTACTCACTACCTGATTAGCTTAGAAGCCCTCTAGAGACCTTACTTGGCCTAATATAAACTATTAAACTCTTACCGTTCTTCCGTTATAATCAATTTGTTAGGGATAGCGCTTCTAGAGTACGCTAAATAACAAGGTAAAAAGACCACAACGTCTGATTGTTCCCTCAATCAGCATTCTTTAGAACCGATATACGTAGTGGCCTATATAGTCGCTAGGCCTTATCAGGTCCGTTCCTTACAACCCAGGAAAGTCCAGCCTTTGGAACCCCGCGGGCCCAGCGGGGGACCCGTATATCCGCACTGTATGGGGAATTTCTCTGCTTTCTCGGTGCGATGATCACTGGACTCTAGCTCAGGTCACTGGGGACTCACCAAGGTCTGAGGCCAACGGTCGAATAAGAGGCACATTACATGTGGGGACCCCGGAAATTCCCTCCTTTGAGGTAACAAAGCTTCTTATGTAGTGGCTCCTTGGCTAGCTTCGCGCGTTTGGACTTCTCTGACTTATTGCGCTATTTTGTGTATAAGGATTATTTTGTGTATGGAAATCAAAGTTCATCGATATCATCGGATTCTTGCGCAAAGTGATCGTCCCACTCAGTATTCCCTTCGGTACATTCTTTTCTTGGATTGCGCTCTGTAATATTTTGCTTGGACTGGGCTATTGGCCTCGCTTGCTGCCTCGCAGCAGCTTTACACTACGACTACCGGGGCAACAGCTCGACCCCAATGCATGACAGAGGATAATGTAGCCCATTCAACTCACCCGACAAGTTCGACGTCTTATGTGGCAGGAAAATTCCGGTATAGCGCATCCGATACCGGGAGGTATGCCACGTCGGTACCCTCGTTTACATCCTCTACTACCTATGCTGCGCCCTCAGACTCCTTGACCACTTTGTTGCCATCTCTCACATATACCACCTGGGGTAAATGGGAACCTAGTGCGAGCTTGAACGCCTCCGACACCTCGAACAAGTACGGTCAAGCCGCTTGGAAGACCCAATGGAAAGAAGCTCGTCCTGTCGATTTCAACCAGACTAGCGTGTATAGCAGTACTGTATCCCCTACATCGATTCCCAGTAGCGAGTTAGTGCTTCCACCTCGCGACTATTTTGGACCCTCTGATTGTTATCAATTCCCTAATGACTTCGTGTTCGGAGTTGCTCCATCTGCTAGCCAGATCGAGGGGACTGCTGCAGACGATGGGAAGGCTCCTTCAATCATGGAACCATTGTCGGTGATGATGAACCCAAAGCCTATGTCACCAATGAGCATTATTACTATTACAAGCAAGATATTGAACGGGTGGCTGCCATGGGTGTGAAGCACTTTTCGTTCACTATTGCCTGGGCTCGCATTCCCCCCTTTGCCATGCCCGGAACACCCGTGAACCAAAAGGCTATTGATCATTATGATGTGGTTAACTTCATCATTGAAAAGAGGATGGTGCCAGTGATCACCCTCACTCATTTCGATCTTCCGTTGCAACTTTTTGACGACCCTCAAGCTCTTGGCAAAGGTCTTTCAAAGACAGGACTTCAAGGCCTTGGCTATCTGACAGCGGGATACTCAAATGATACTTTCAGTGATGCCTTTGTCAACTACGCGAAAATAGTCCTCTCGCACTATGCCGATCGTGTTCCGACGTGGTTTACCTTTTGCCAGCCCCCAGAGATTGGCAACACCACTAAAGCAGTCTATAACATTCTTAAAGCACATGCTGATGTCTATCATTGGTACAAGGACGACCTGAATGGAACTGGCCAGATTTCCATCAAATTCAACGAGCGAAGCCGATATTTTTGCGGCGGATTATTACAAGTCCGTTCAATTAGGCTCATATCTTAACCCGATGGTTCTTGGACAGCAATATCCGGAGTTGTTCAAGAATTTCACCGGAGACAGCTATAATCCCCTCACTGCTGAGGACATCAACCACTCCAAGGGTACAATAGATTTCCTTGGACTGGATGTTTACAGTCCTTTAGTTGTGACCCCTCCAGTTTCGGGCAACACCAGCAATATTCAAGACTGTCTTCAAAGTACCTCTGCAGCCCTCCAGCCGTGGTGCGTTGAGGCCTCATCTCTGAATGATTACGGATGAAATATAGGCTATCGATCGCAGTCGTATGTCTACACGACTACAACCTTCATTCGCGAGCATATAAATTACGTTTACCAGACTTGGCCCGTCCCGATAGCCATCACCGAGTTTGGATTTCCTGTGTATCATGAATCTTCCAAAGAGCTTTCTGATCAGCTTTTCAATTCGCCTCGCGGCCAATATTACCTAGCATACATGTCCGAAGTTCTGAAGGCCACCCACGAGGACCACGTCCCAGTTAAAGGGGTATATGCGTAGTCCTTCATTGACAATTGGGAGTTTGGAAATTATGACCAGCAGTTTGGCATGTAAACGGTTAATCGCACTATATAAGAACGTCACTATAAAAAGAGTTTCTTTGATTTGGTCGACTTTATGAAGGCCAGAGGGGTGTGAATGCCGGCAATTTGGTGGAGCGGTTGTAAAGAGTGATGAGTCACATACTATATATAATACTGTACAAGTGTTCGTATCTAGATAGCACGAATCGTCTCCCATGAATGTCTTGCAGGTTGTCCAGTAGTGTATCACCCCATGGTCCTCAGGAAATTGCAGGAGTGTGAGGGATAGCTGGTTTCGAAATGTTCTATCCACTGAGACCACCTTCTCCAAGATCCAAGATAAACGATGCGCTGAAAGATTTATTATGGTGATTAGACCTATTTATTTACCTGATGTACAGGGTAGTTCTCTCTAAAACATGCGGAAACGCAGGAATATTGTCAGATTTGCTAGCAGCTGGGCAGGCCCACTGAAGGATTGTGCGTTGAATTCGAGTATTTTATATTTTTATATTTTTATTTTTTACTTTTTATTTCTTTTTTCCCGAGATTCACCCTTCACCTAGAAGTCTCCTGCTGCTGGGCTTAAACCCCCGGGCATTGGTGGCTCTGAGGATTCACGACGTTATAGAGACAAAGGCCAAGGATGGCAGGCTCGTCGGAGAAGCACTGACCGGAAAAGCCCAAAGCGGCGGCTAATGAATGTCCAAGGTTCCGAACTTCTGTCTGAACAACAGGGTGCAACACCGTTTTCTATTTACTCAAGAGGTTATTTTGCGCTTGAAATTATAACTATTCGGAATACACGAGAAAATAAACAGTTACCTATAAGTCCACCTACGTGAGCGTACAAAATACCTCGGACATGAAAAGGTAAATCTACCAACAGTAACTTAACCTCCAACGAAAGCTAGAATGGAAAGGGAAAGCTAAGAACCATCATGGATTAGGAGAAGTCCAGTTACATACTCCGTAGGCAAGAATCAGTCTAATTAGGTTCTCATCGATCTCGATAAGAGACCCCGATCGAGTTAGGAAAAGTTCCAGGCAGTCGAAGCCGCTGTGGGGCTGGTGCCTGAGACCTGGGGTCATCGCAGCCAATCAACGTTCCCATCCGTCGACCACAAGGCAGCAGCGGCTATTAGTGGCCTGTTAGCTAAGGCAGCCAGTCCGAGGTAGGACCCCTAGAGATTGAATAAGTATCGGCTCTATTGACATCCCATCCTCTTCACTCTACCATTGTCATCTCTCAATCACGCCAACTTCCCTTTTCTCCTGCGTCCCTTTTATTATTTCTTTGATAACCCAGCCATCTTCCTATCACATTAGATCGTATTCGTCTTTCTCCCTCCCCTGGCAACAATCTCAAAAAGCATCAAGCTACGACCTCACTATCGCTTGATTACCTCAATTGGTTCTATCACCTCGTATTCTACTTTCACACCGCATTGTCCATCATTGGATTGATTTGGAATCATGCCGCCAAAGAAGAATCTATTCAAGGACGTTGTCGTCGTTGTCGCCGGGAGTTTTTCTGGCTATAAGCAAGGCAGGTCCCCTAAATTTGTAGAGCATTGAGAACACCAGAGCTAACCAATGCTATTTTGGGATTGCAGCGGATGTGAAAAAACTCGTGGAAGGTCAGGGTGCAACCTTCTGCACTACTGTGACAGGTGATTGCACACATTTTATCACTTCCCAGAGAGAGGTGGATAACAACAATTCCAAATGTAAGTTTCTCTCAGACCCGTTCATATCCTTGTTTTTTTTTCTGTCGGTTTTGTACCCACTCCACATATGTCTCTTCGTCAATATCCCTGGCACCTCGGCTTATCAGAATCAACACAGACAAACAAGCTTGCAATGTCTACAATTGTAATATTGTCTCTATCGATTGGCTTCTGGAGTCTATAGACGCGAAAAAGCCAATTCCTGAGAAGCCTTACTTGCTCAGCAGGAAGGATGCAAAGTCAGATGATAAGCAAGACGAGGAGAAAAGCGACAAAAAGGAGAAGAAGAAACGTACACTCGAAGAAGCGCTCGAGGTTAGCGAGGAGACTTCCAATAAAAAGGCCAAAGACGCCCAGAAATTGGGTTCTAAGACCTTGAATGTTCCTGTTGATGAGGGCTGTTATCTCTCAGGTAACTATTCCACTGCTGTCTATATGTACCTTAGACTAGGTGCTAACGACGTTGGTGATAGGCTTCGCAGTGTACATTGACCCAGCAGGCCTAATCTGGGATGCTACTCTCAACCAGACTGTTTCCGCCAATAACGCCAACAAATTCTACCGCATCCAACTCTTGGTTGACAGATCCGGGACTAGATTCAAAACTTGGACTCGATGGGGTCGAGTGGGCGAGACTGGCCAGTATGGTCTTTTGGGAAGCGGTGGTCTTTCCGAGGCACAAATTCATTTCCAGAAGAAGTTTAAGGACAAGTCTGGTCTATCATGGGACGACAGACTCGACCCTCCAAAGAAGGGCAAATACACTTTCATCGAACGCAACTACGAAGAAGACTCTGATGAGGAAGAAGAAGATGATGATGATAAGGGCACAGCGAAAAAGAACAACGAAGAGAAGCCAGAAGTGAAGAGCGAATTGCCCGAACAGGTCCAGGATCTTATGTCTTTCATTTTCAATCCGAACCATTTCCTGTCTACAATGGCTTCCATGGATTACGATGCTAAGAAGTTGCCGCTTGGGAAGCTGAGCAAGCGAACTTTGAGGCAGGGTTTCCTGAAGCTGAAGGAACTCTCCGAGCTCATCGCGGATCCGAATCTGGCAGCCACTCAATATGGCACAACCTACAATGCAGCTGCAGAGGACCTCAGCAACCAATACTTTACTACGATCCCTCACGTGTTCGGCCGTAATCGACCTCCCGTGTTGAATTCTGACCAGCATATTAAGAAGGAGATTGAACTTCTCGAGGCCTTGACAGATATGGAAGTTGCAAACGGGATCATGAAAGAGTCGAAGGACGCCGACACAGTCCACCAGCTGGATCGCCAGTTCCAGAGCCTCAAGATGCAAGAGATGACTCCTTGTACGTCCTTTGCTCGCCCTCTCTTCTATATGACCAAATTTTACTAACGCGCAATAGTGGACCATTCTTCTACAGAATTTATTGAGCTGGAAAATTACCTCAACCAGTCGCGCGCTTCTACTCATCATATCCGTTACAACGTGAGTTTGACCTCTTTTCCTCGCAATACCACAGTACTGATTGAATATAGGTCGTCAATATCTTCCGCATCGAGCGTGATGGTGAAACCGATCGGTTTAATTCTTCCCAATACGGGAAGATCAAGAACAGCGACCGCCGCCTGTTGTGGCATGGATCTCGTAGCACCAACTTTGGTGGTATCTTGAGCCAGGGTCTGCGCATTGCGCCACCAGAAGCCCCTGTGAGCGGATACATGTTTGGCAAAGGTGTCTACTTTGCGGACATGTCCAGTAAATCTGCCAACTACTGCTGCTCCTACAACAGCGGTGGTATGGCTTTGCTTCTACTGTGCGATGTTGAACTCGGAGACCCCATGCTGGAGTTGGACCACAGCAACTACAACGCTGGGGAAGATGCCAAAAAGGACGGCAAGATTGCGACTCTCGGTAAGGGTAGGACTGTCCCGGCAGCTTGGAAGGATGCTGGGGCTGTCAATCCACAGCTTCAAGGGGTGACAATGCCTGATGTCTCCGCCTCATCCAAGAGCGCCAACGCGCAGTCACTGATGTACAACGAGTACATCGTGTACGATGTTGCGCAGATCCGCCAGAAATACTTATTCCAAGTGCACATGAGATAACTGCTGGGCCGTGCTTCAATGGTCTCTTTTATTCGCTTTTATGGTGTTCTCAAGCGGGAGTCTGGGAGTTTATACTCTTTAATCTGCCTGTTGGTTCTTAGTAGTGAGCGAAAGCGGGGGGGCGTTCGGGTTAGAAACTTTTTTTTTTCGTTGCCAATGCTCGTGCTTTAAGCTTATCTTCGCCGTCGTATAGACAAACGACTGCTCTTATTTTCCACATATCAGTGGTGTGTACAATAGCCTGATACTTGATGAGAGAAAGCATTCTTATTACCAAATTAGCTCAGAAATCAAAATGCAATATGCAATCTAAAGTTCTGACTCCAATGTCGCCAACGTGCCAAAAGGTCACGCAAGCCAACGCCAAGTTGATCGAATCTTGAGGGAGGATGATGCCATTCCGGCACTGGATCAACCATCTCAAAGTCTTCTCATTGTATGAAAAAGGATATCCTGACGTACAATAACTCTGTATTAATTCTTCAGCTAATTATAAACCATGATAGACCCATCTGTGAATTATTAACAACCAATTACTGACCAGCAGAGAGTATTCCCCCGAATCATCTCCCGATGCCTGCAACATAACCACCTTCCCATCTCATCGAGACATGCATAAACCTCTTGGCATAAGCTAGTATATTTCCCTAACTGAATGGTAACTGGCCACAAAACAAGAAAGATAAAAACAACCGGCAGCAGATCTTATCTACACGCAACAATACCTCCATATGGCGTGCCAAACCACCCCCCTAAGACATGGTTCCCCAGTCTACAACTCCACATATAACAATGTCCTCCGCCGCCCAGAACGACAAGAATGCCCAGAGCACGCCTTGAGAGCTTGGCCCCTATACTATGGCCACCAACAAGGGAGTTACCCAGAAGTTGGTAGACGACCACAACGGGCGCTACTACACCGAACCAGCGACAGATCCTAAGGGCACCTATCAAGTGGAGACACAGCCGTATGAGGAGTCCGTGGATTCTCAGGCGACTAATCCTTTTGCTGATCCGGAGGTCGCGGAACGATATGCGTTAATCTATGAGAAGGCGCAGTATGAATGTCGACATGTTTTCGATCCGACGTTGACTTGGACTCCGGAGGAGGAGAGGGCGTTGGTGAGGAAGCTGGATTGGCGAGTTTGTTTATGGGCTGTAGGTCTTTTTCTGGCTTTATTGCTTGGCTGTGGCTGATGCTTGTGTAGTGTGTGATGTTCTTTGGGTTGCAGGTCGACCGGGGGAATTTGGTTCAGGCTGTGTCTGATAATTTGTTGGACGACTTGAATCTTTCTTCGAATGGTAGGTTTCTCGTGGAGTCTCGAGGAGAATCGCCGTCTAATTGAGACATTATGCAGATTATAACACGGGAAACACTATATTCTATATTTCATTTCTCTTAGCTGAGCTGCCCTCTCAGTTGGTATCCAAGAAGATTGGCCCCGATCGATGGATTCCTATGCAGATTTCCCTGTGGTCTATAGTAGCCACCTGCCAAGCTGGCCTGATGGGGAGGTCTTCATTCTATGCGACACGGGCACTGCTAGGGATACTAGAGGTAAGTTCTACTGCCATACAACGTATCCGGGCTCACACGATGACAGGGTGGATTCATTCCGGACATCGTCCTCTGGTTATCTTATTTCTATACTAGCAAAGAACTCCCGACTCGACTGAGGTACAGCCCTTTTCCTGCTCAACAATGAAGTGTTTAACAAGGGATAGTATCTTCTGGACCGCTCTGTCGGTGACAACGATCGTCACATCATTCATGGCATTCGGCATCCTCCACATGCGGGGAGTACTCGGGTGGGCTGGATGGAGGTCAGTACCGTCCCCTGCATCCATAACGGATCCTAACGTAGATAGATGGCTCTTCCTCATCGAAGGCTTGATAACCCTCCTAATCGGACTGGCCTCATTCTTCCGAATGCCCGCCTCAGCAGTCGAGACAAAGAAATGGTTCCGTCCAAAGGGCTGGTTCACCGACCGTGAAGTCCGCATTGTCGTCAACCGCGTCCTCCGAGATGATCCCTCAAAAGGTAACCCATCCACAAGCAAGTCCTAGACACATAACTCACAATAGAGCAGGAGACATGCATAACCGCCAGGCAATCACCCCAAGGCGTCTCTGGAACGCCCTTTGCGACTACGATCTCTGGCCCATCTACCTCATCGGTCTTATCGCCTATACTCCTATGGTACCCGTGAAATCCTACATCACTCTGACCCTGAAGGATCTCGGGTTTAACACGGTGCGTTCCCTTCCATTTTCTATCGAAGGTAAACTAACACAAGGAAACTAGTTTGTGACAAACCTCCTCACAATCCCCAACAGCGTAGGCCACATCATCCTCCTGCTCGCCTTAACCCGACTCAGCGGCTATCTCAACGAGCGCGCCCTAACCTCCATGCTCCAATGTGTCTGGACCCTGCCCTGCGTCATAGCTTTGCGTTTCTGGCCAGGGACCATGGAGAACGCATGGGGGACTTACGCAGTTGTCACGGTGTTGCTTTCCTATCCGTATTGCCATGCGATAGTAGTGGGTTGGGCATCGAAGAATTCAAACAACGTAGGCACCAGGACTGTTTCAGCGGCGCTATACAATAGTGAGTTTGGTTCACTTTTTATCTTTGACCTTAATCTCTACCAGAAGGTGTAGATATGATACTAATTGAGATACAGTGTGCGTCCAACTAGGCAACATCATCGGCAACAATGTCTACCGAGCAGACGACAAGCCGAAATACCGACGGGGTAACGCCGTCCTCTTCGCCCTGAATATTCTAGGCATTCTGCTCTTCATCGGGACGAAAGTGTACTATGTGTTGAGGAATCGGCATCGGGAGAGGGTGTGGAGTAGCATGACTGAGGAGGTGAGAATCTTTCCATTTTGATTTTCTATATGATTGTTAATAGGTTACTGATAATTATGCTGTAGCAACGACAGGATTATTTGAATAATACGACTGATACGGGGAGTAAGAGGTTGGATTTTCGGTTTGCGCATTGATGGGAGTAGCATCCAACTAGTCACTTGCTTCATCTCTCGGGATTATGCCTGCAGTTTAGTTCAACGACACGGTATTAATTTCTTCGACTTGAACAGCACATCATGGAAACTCATCCCAATTATGGAGTACGCTGAGAACTAATACCTACTCAGCAAAAGAAGACACCGCTTACCCATAAAACGCGTAATACATCCATCCCTCTTAGATCTTCTCGTCTTCATTCCGAGTAGTCTTCTAGTTTGTCGCAACTAGATACCATTGATCATGTTCCTCCAACATCCTCTTGGCAAACCAGGCTCCCCTGCCGATCAGCGAGGACCTTTGGAGAGAGAATTGACTCGTGCTGTTAGATCTGGCGATCCTTGCTAGGGTCATGCGAGCTTAAGTCTTTTGAGACGACATTCTTCCTTTTGTTTTTGATTTCTTGGATGGGAACGAGGGTTTCCAGATAGATGGTTGTGTGTTGTGTGTCTTTTTGTGTGAGGTTTTGGTTTATGGGAGATCTTACTTCTATCATCTTAATTTTGGATTAGACTGTGGTTAGGGATTGTAATTTGTTGGCTAAGAGAATATTGTCTGGTTGGTGGATTGAGTGTAATCCGTAGTCTGGGTTAGTATCGGATGTAATGTAGTATCTACAGACTACAGTTAAAAAGGCTGTAGAGAGTAAGAGAGTAAGTGAGTAACCCACATATGTAACTGGTATAGTTTGAATAACTCCTCATTCGACAATATCTATTCTGTACCTTACTAAAATATACAAATCGATCGGATAAATTAAAAAAAAGAAAAAAGAAAAGAAAATGAAAAAGACCAGTCCAGACCACAGCCAGGATTATACTCACCCTACATACATCCATCCACCCACTCACTCCCCCACAACCATAACCCTAACCCAAACCCAACCCCAAACCCAAAGTACACCCAAGCATCGAGAAAAGAAAAGAAAAGAAACACCAACCTCCTCCCCAAGTAACCTTCATGGTAGATAACCTCCTCACTTCCCCCCCTAACAAAACTACACCAATAAAAACAACCTCCTTCCCGAAACCCCCTCCCACTCTCAAAATAGCAAGGATAGTCGCTCAGCCAAGCCAAGCAATCAACGATGATACTCTGTCCTGTCCATTGACCACCTCATCATCGGCGAAACCCCTCGTATCATATCATATAGTACATCCTCATTTCTTGGCCAGTGCAACCCAAGTCTTTCTCCTCCGCCGTGGACCGTCGGGCAAGCCCCTCAACTTGGCTCGTTCCTGTCCGACTTCTTATCTCCGCCAAGGTCTTGGCTCCTTTGACCCCTCACAAATTACGATCCGAGGCGTGCTTTGCTGGTCAGATGGCGTAGAAACTTGAAGTACAGAACATTGAGGGCGGGGGAGGGAGAGAGGTTGGGACGGGAGAGATGGCAAATTGGCAAATTAAGGAAAAGGGTAGTCGCGATTGGGGTGCGTGTGTTTTCACGGTATTTAAATTGGACGGGGGGACCCCTGGGGAATTTGCATACCTTTTCTTCTTTTGTAGAGGTGCTTGATTCAAATTATCCTTTGGGGTTGGGTTTAGCCTTAGCCTTATTTTTATCTACTTGCCTGGTACTAAACCTAGTATCGTTATGAGGTCGCTTTTGTGGGCTTCGGTGGTTTCGGGCGTGTTGGCTGGGAGGGCGCTTGTTTCGCCGGTTGGTTCTTTTCTTCTTTTCTCTTTTCTTTTGTTTGCTTTTTCTTTTGGGTGTTGCTTGTTGTATATTCGTCGGACTAATGGTTTATTTCTAGGACGAATTCCCGGAAGATATTCAGTTGGAAGATCTGCTGGAAGGATCCCAACAGCTCGAGGACTTTGCTTATGCCTACCCTGAGCGCAATCGCGTCTTTGGTGGTAAGGCCCATGACGACACGGTCAACTACCTCTACGAGGAGTTGAAGAAGACTGGTTACTACGACGTCTACAAGCAGCCCCAGGTCCACCTGTGGAGCAATGCCGACCAGACGCTAAAGGTAGGCGACGAGGACATCGAGGCAAAGACTATGACCTACAGTCCTAGCGTCGAGGTGACCGCCGATGTGGCTGTGGTCAAGAATCTGGGATGTAGCGAGGCGGATTACCCATCGGATGTCGCCGGCAAGGTCGCCCTTATCCAACGTGGAGAATGTCCGTTCGGCGACAAGTCCGTGCTCGCCGCCAAAGCCAAGGCCGCGGCTTCAATTGTCTATAATAATGTGGCAGGATCCATGGCGGGGACTCTTGGTGCGGCGCAGAGTGATAAGGGCCCGTATTCGGCCATCGTCGGGATCAGCTTGGAGGATGGCCAGAAGCTGATCAAGCTTGCTGAGGCTGGATCGGTCTCGGTGGATCTCTGGGTGGATAGCAAGCAGGAGAACCGTACGACGTATAACGTTGTCGCGCAGACGAAGGGAGGCGATCCGAACAATGTCGTCGCGCTGGGTGGCCACACGGACTCGGTCGAGGCGGGCCCTGGGATCAACGACGATGGCTCGGGCATCATCAGCAACCTGGTCGTTGCGAAAGCGCTGACGCAGTACTCCGTGAAGAATGCCGTGCGCTTCCTCTTCTGGACAGCCGAGGAGTTCGGTCTCCTGGGCAGCAACTATTACGTCTCCCATTTGAATGCCACCGAGCTGAACAAGATCCGACTGTACCTGAACTTCGACATGATCGCCTCGCCCAACTATGCCCTCATGATCTATGACGGTGACGGATCGGCGTTCAACCAGAGCGGACCGGCCGGCTCCGCCCAGATCGAGAAATTGTTCGAGGACTACTTCGACTCCAGCGACTTGGCTCATATCCCGACTCAGTTCGACGGACGTTCCGACTACGAAGCCTTTATTCTGAACGGCATCCCGGCTGGTGGACTCTTCACGGGTGCCGAGGGCATCATGTCCGAGGAGAACGCCAGCCACTGGGGAGGCCAAGCCGGCGTGGCCTACGACGCCAACTACCACGCCGTGGGAGACAACATGACCAACCTCAACCATGAAGCCTTCCTGATCAACTCCAAAGCCACCGCTTTTGCCGTAGCCACCTATGCCAACGACCTCTCCTCGATTCCCAAGCGGAATACCACTTCCTCCCTCCACCGACGAGCCCGCACCAGGAGACCCTTCGGCAAGAGAGCGCCTAAGACGCACGCTCACGTATCAGGATCTGGATGCTGGCATTCGCAAGTCGAGGCATAGCCTAGTTCTACACTTTACCCATAGTCAACCAAATTCAGTTTAAAAAACATATAGCCGTAAATAAATAAAAGAAAATAAAAAAAAAGAATATGTTTTATTCTCAGAAATGAACAAAAACCCACACAGTAGACTCCAGTAATCCCCGCCCCCCCCAATATCACCACCACCTCATCAAACCCAACTTACTCCCCTCGCCACCAAAAACACCTTTCTCAGAGAATCGAACAACCGGCTAGTCACGCCTTCTCAGCCTTAGGCGGATACTCCTTTCCATCCCGCTCAACCTTGGGCGTACACGTGCAGCGCTCACTCTCGGGCACGGCATCCAAAACAGAGGGAATATGCGCTCCGCAACCCCACCACGAAGTTTTGTCTAATTTTCTTCGTCAGTCATTACCATTCAATCAATCCAATAAAATACTAGAGATAGAATAATAATAAAAAAAAAAAGAAGAGGGACATACGGCAGGTAGAACAGGTTGCTTTCATGCACATTTTGAAGTTGGAGTTTGGATATTTATATGTATATGTATTGGAGAAGTAGTGTAGTTGTAATATAATATAGCAACTGTACAGAGTAAGGTTCCTCGGTAGTAGTAATTGGTGGTTGAAAAAGCAAGTATTTAAATAGAAAAGAAAAAAAAAAGGTGCCCGTCTTAGTCATAATTAAGTTGTGATTTGATCGCCGATTTTGGTGGGGAAGTTAAGTTGAGTCCCCGAGTGGTTCGGGGTCGGGGTTCTCGGTTTCTTTTAGGTGAGGTGGACTTGGGTATGAATACGGATATAGATATGGATATGGATAGGGATCTACAATAAGAGTCATAGATGTGGTATGTTGGGTTCCATGGTTATAGGGTTATGTTGTGATAGATACCTTAGTAGTTCTTGGAGTATGGGTTTGGGTTGTCACTGTAGACGGTAACTGTATACTACTGTACTGTACTGTACTATAGTACCCTGATTTCATACTGATACTGGTACTGATACATTCCTGATATCGGCCGAGGCCGGGTTTTGAGTATGAGAGAAACGGCGTTTTACGGGGTTCACTGTGCCTTTCTGGAATCTGTTTAGATCAATTTTACATCCAATCAATAATATGCTATTTTCAATAAATAGACTCCATGGACATATACATACATAAGCTAGGATCATAGATTAGTAGATAGATAAATAGGTAAAAGATACATACAACCAGTAAAGTAGCCTGCAGGTATGGTTGTATACTAGATAGAGACTGGAAGTAAATTATTGCTCTAGAATAACTAGTAGGTATTATACTAGGGCGTACCCCTGTTAATCAGAATAGTAGGGGTAGTACTAGAAGGTACTAATAATGTTTGGATTCTAATTTTTATACTATATGATAATAGGAATTAATGTACCCTAGTTTCACTAACTCTGTAGATTACTTGGCTATGTAAAACCCGATTGATCATAAGTCATCAATTCATTGTAAGTCTCTTTAGTATCAAATACATGAAAGGTCTACAGCTTGCCCTTCGCCGGACCACAGCATGCCGCCGGTTCCGGGTGCAACGTCGACTTATTAAATAACTGCGAGGATTGCGGCACGTCCAGCGCCGGGTTCTTCGTGAAGAACCCATCAGGCTTCAGCATGACGCTGATCCGCTCCATCGGCATGACGGGGAAGTCTTCGATGCGGGGGTTGTGAGTCAGGCCGAATGCTACTGGATGTCAGTTATCCATCTCTGCACAAGGGGTGAGGAGTATGACTTACTGTGCCAGAGGACAATGTCTTCGTTTTCGACCGGGTCGTTCCGTTGCACCCACTTCTCAACACCTTGGCTCTCCTTGCTTTGGTTGGTGAATTCGCCTGCGGCAAATAGCTCGTCGTCTTGATACTTGGTTACCCAGATGGGTTTGGTGGCGAAGGCGGCACGCTTGGCGCCGAAGGACTTCGGGCTGGCGAGGAGCATCTGACTGGGTGCGGTTTGTAGCTTATATGCAATTGGTTTATAGGTGATAGGGTTGATTTGAGAGTCGTTGCGGATCTTGAATACGCGGTGACGGTCGACGCTGGTGTTGGCGGTTCCACTTGTCCGGAGCACGGTTTGCTCGGTGGTGTATCCCACGCTCCACGGGTTGTTTTCGTCTTCGGGCATGGGCACGCTGTCTTCATAGTAAAGCGTGTTTTGGAACCCATCCAGGGCGGGGTCCATCCGGAATGAGAACATGTGCTGGTGGTAAGGGGCCATCACGCCGGGGCCCACGTTCGTACCCCAGGGAACGGTCTTGCCAAACTCCTCGTTGTCGAATGGGACAGTGGAGAGGATGCCGGTGGCGCGCACTTCTAACTCGATGTTGGCTGCTTGGTCGAAGATGAACGCGAAGATGTATTCATAGTTGGCCACCGTGCAGATCATCTGCACAACGAGCTGGCGGTTGCGGACGACCGTCGCGGCCCCGGTCCGGTAGTTGGTGTGTTTATGCTGAAGTCCGTTATCCTGCTCGTGGAGACAGATAACGTTGGGCAGATGGATCGGGTTGCCCTTAGAGTCGGAGCGGTAGCCGTCAAAGTACTTGATGTGGCCGAGGCAGTCACATCCCAGGGACAGTTGGTTTGCGGTAATACCGAACCCAACGTCTCCAACGTCAAACGCCTGCTTGCGGTGGTAGGGTGCCCGAGGGTCACCGTAGGGAACGGTCATCTCCGATACGGAAAGACGGTAAAACACATTACGTCCACCGTAGGTCAGGTTGTAGATCACCAAGCCCTCGCGGCTGTTGAAACCCACACGGAACCTCCATTTCTGCCAAGAGACCACATTGCCTTGAACGTCAAAGGATGCCCCTTGAGGCTGCTGGACAATGTACGGTTTCAGGTCAGTGCGCAGGGGCTCCTGGAGGAGGTCATGTGCATATTGGATGGTCTCCACGGGCTTCCACGGCTGGGTCTCCGTGGCTTGAACATCGGTCCCACTAGGAAGGTAGTCCATGCGTACAAGCTGTTTGGTGAGTCCGTCAAATACCGGCGAGAATTTGCAGGGTGTGGAGTATTGGTTGTTCTGCGGGTGGTCGGTGGCGACGATATACATGTAGCATTGGAACAGACGGCGAGTCTCCTTGGGGTCATCTGTCCCATAGATCCAGGGGTCGTTGCACACCGTAACCCCCTCGGGTAATTGCATCTTGGCCACTTCGGCCTGGACCGCCGGATGGTTCAGGCACAGCTGCTCCATCTCGATCATCTCATCGACGTCAACGTTGGCCTGGACATGTTAGCTTCACAGTTGAACATCGTCATAATGTAATACAAAATACCTGAATATCTTTGGGCAATTCCTTGGCCGAGATGACGGACTTTTTCCCCGCATCCAGCAATGCCTTGTAGAATGCGCCATTGTCCAATCGATGGAAGAGAACCTGCAGCAATCGGGTCGGCCGGCGAGGCAATGGCTTTCCTAGTCTCTCTGCTTCGATGAAAGGCACCACTTCCTTCTTAATTGGCTCCTGAATATCAATCTTCTTGTATCGAAGAGAGACCCCGGGAAAAGCGGCCTGAACGATCTTAGTGGCCAACTGGATCTCCCCGGGGGTAATGGGGTCAAACGGATGAGGAAGTGACGCCATTGTTCTTCCACTGAGACAGAATATGAAAAAGGAAAGAATCCGACAATTGATGGGCTAAGAGTCCGGGCTAGGTCCGGTTTATATAGCAGTCACCCCAGACATCCCCTCGTGGGCCTTTGATAATCCCCCAGAGCCAAGCCTGCTCCAAAGGGGATGGATAAACGGCGGTAAATTTGGCTTTAAGCCCCTTCGGGAATTGACATCTACATTAACTGGTGGCTGATTGGTGCATACCCGACTCGGCGTATCTCTTGCCTAACATGGTTTAGCCGATATGTAACCGTTTGCAGCGCTTGGACAAATGCATAGTCTCTTGGCCAATGATCTATTTATTTGGTAAAAATACCCACCATTAAGCACTGATAGGCTAAAGGTGCCGGTTGAGCTCGGCGACATTGTGTTCTTTGCTTTGGAAGGGCCGCCGAGAATGGTTGGACACTCTTGTTATCTGCCCTCCTTATAGTTTAGAAGCTGGTATTATAAATTTATAACTGGGTTTCTAATTGAATACGATCTCTTTTACTCCGTATAACACAAGAGTTTGCTTACAGTTGTATTTAGGGTAATATCACAACCGACTCGGAACATTCGAGCTTTGGCTGAACGGGCGACCACTCTACCGTTTACACAAGTAGGACTCGGCTTAGCACTATAATCATGATTCTGGTTGAAATATTGGGGTTCTGGATAGTGGCGTTCTATTGGGAACAAGGTCGGTTATGTTAAAGTGAAGAGTCAACTTCAGTACATCGAGTATTGTCCTGCAGAGTTCAAATCTGATCTATTGACATATTCTAGTTTCGTCGCAGAGGATATTGGCCGAAACTCGAAAAATTGTATAGCATGGTTAATTATGTACATCATCGTCAGTGAGCAGGAGCCCATCGAGCACCTTACTACTGGCATCTTTATCATCATACGTGACTCCATATCTTTCTCCACGGAGAAGAGTAACCTCATCTTTAGGCGCAAATCCAGCCATCCTTAGCTCCGGCGTGACAGCTCCGAGGCTATTCGGCTCCTCTCGAGAACTGTCTGCTCGAGATATCTCTCCAAACTGAACTTCGAGTTGTTTAAGCTGCGCCGATTCGTTGTGATTCTCCCCTAAGCACCCACCCTTCGCCAGCTGATCTAACTCTGGGCTCCCCCGAGTAGTCATAACCACTTGTAGAAAGCCATTTTCCGTCGCTGGAACGCCATTCTGTCGGAGTGACCAGTACTACCCTACAGCAGCTAGAGGAAGCGCAACCCCAACGGAGAGAAAATACGAGAGCAAAAGATTCAACGGCCGGGAAAAGGCAAACTGGGTGCGTAGATCATGCCGTGGTACATTGGTAGTAGCTCTAGTAAGCTGGAGTTGGTTAATAACACTCAGAGTGATGTTTGCTAACATCGAATTGAGATTGTCTTCAGTTATATCGAACAGACTGTCCCAACCGTAACCCCTGTCACTGTGCCACTGTAAATCGAAATATCGCTATCTAATCTTATCGGTTTATCCGCTCGGCAAATGCCCTAATTCTCATTTTGGTTATTAAACTGCGGGGTTGCTGACTCACCACGTGGATACCATCAACAACGACGAATGGACCGACTGGAGAAGAGATATCAATGCCTTTTATCCTAGCTACAATAACTTAGGCTGATGCCAAGAGTCATTGGTGATCAATATGGATCACCCTGAGCGTCCAAAGCGGACCTCCAACGCGTAAGTCTCCAATCCGCGGTGCCTATCAGTAATTCGGATCTGACTCTCCGCAGGTGCAAGCGATGCCGATCTCGCAAAGTCAAATGCTCCGGCACACATCCTTGCGACAAATGTCGACAGCGTCGTCTAGATTGTGTGTTTGAAGATGATCGAAAGATTGTTGTTTCAGAGGAGTACATATATATCACAATTCTTTATTGTCTTTGCACTATATTGACAATGTTTCAGATTATTTCTATCCCTAAAACGAAGGGTGGAGGAGATCGAGTGCACTCCACCACCAAAACGGATTCGTACTTTGGAGAGCAGTAGTGTGGGTGGAAGCACTTATGGTAAGGCGGATGCAACCATACCACCGGATATATGCTAATTGGCACCAGTACCAACATCCGAGACGCCCCAAGAGCCTACCCCGGAACAATCCGGGGCCATTCGATATGAGGAACGATTCGCTTCCAACCCCTTGGCCTTGGTATCGCCTGGCTACGTCAAACATACTGGCCGCAGGCAGAGAACGTGGTGTATGTCACTTGCTGTCAAAGCCCTCTCAGAAAGCTGACCAGTCTAGTATTCCTCGGACCTACATCTACCTGGTCCTTCAGTCGTCGAATTCTTAACACCATCCAAGCGCGTCTGGGTCCACAAAACTCAACGCCATTGCCCCTCGCTGTGGATGGCGACGCTTACCAACTTCAGTGGAGGCAAGCCAGCTCCGAGGAGCTTCCTGACATCAGTGGTCTGCCATCCCTGGAGCATGCACTCTATATACTGAACACGGTCCAGTTCCATTTTAGTCATTTGTACTTGTTGTTTGATGAAGACGAGTTTCTTCACCATCTGTACGAGTTTTATGATAATGCCGAAGTGAAGGTACAAGAGAGCCGTCTCTGGTACGTCCAATTCTTGATCGTATTGGCGTTCGGAGAGGCTCTCTTAGCGCCGGTACGAAAGGTGTCCAATGCTGCCAGCTGGACGAAATATTTCTTACGGGCCATGTCCTTTCTTCCTGATATTACAGGCTTATGGCAAGATCCTGTTTTAGCTATCGAGGTTCTTACTCTCATCGGGCTTTATTTCCACTCGATCGACATGAGAGATACTGCATATTGCTATGTAAGTCGAGCTCGTTTTCTTCCATATTTCTTTTTCTTCTGAGTATTCAAGCAGCTAAACAATGTAGATCGGCCACGCCATGCGCATGGCATTGGTAGAAGGTCACCACCGCGCCCCGCCAGTTGAACAACTAGGTCAAAAACTAGTGGATCGGTGTCAAAATATATGGTGGACAGTGTATATCCTAGACCGGAAGTTTTCATCGTTGATCGGATCACCCAACGCGGTCAAGGATGATGAGATAACTACTCCCCTCTCAGATCCGAAAACCTGTGACCAAAAGGAGGCCGCATTGAGTCTGCATGTGCGGATAACACAGGTTATCACTCGCGTACTGGACAGTAAGTATGTCCACCCCTTCAATTGTACTTTGATTTAACTAGGCACATTTCAGCTGTATATAGTCCAGACGGAAAGCTAGGTGGTATCTTCCTCCGGAAGGTTCGATCAGTCCTGCAGGAAATGACGGACCTCTCGCGCGAGCTAGAGGATGTCTTCGCGCATCGGTTTTCGAATTCTGTAGAGTCACTATCTAGCGTCACTACACGGCTGACATTATCCTGTCACCAGGTATGTGCTTCTTGGAAATTGCACCGACGGCTCTCCTAACCAGGATTAAGTGTATCATCGTCACTACTCGACCACTAGTCTTAGCTCTCCTCTGGGAGCGACTCAGCTGCTTCGAGCAAGGCGACGTGTTCCGAACATTATCATCACCAGTCCAGACCCTTCTGCACGCATCCACCGACTCCGCGTTAAAATCCTTGAGGATTCTAACTGCACTGCGTGACCAAAACCTCCTCGGTTCGCTTTTCCCACTAACCCTCAACCGACAATACTAACAGTACCAACCAGAAACCTTCCTTCCCTTCGATCTCGAAAACCTCTTCTCATCCTTCTTCATCCTATCCCTGATATCAGCCATCCTCCCGGACATCATCCCAGACCCCAGCTACCGAGACATGGGATTCAGTCTACTAGACGACATGATCGCCCGGGGAAACCGCGTAGCACAGCTCCGGAAATCCGAAATCGTGCAGCTAGAAGAATTAGTCCAGCCGTTGCTCCAGCCTCAACTGCAACCCTTAACACCTGGGAGTAGTGCAAAGAACGTGGGGGAGGGACGACCGTCGGAGCAGGTGAATGATTCTGTGGCTGTTCTCAACGCAGGTATCAGCCCGGCTCTGTCAGTGCCAGAGGCTGCTGATGTTGTTCACGACGATGAGATGCACTTCGATTGGAGAGACTGTGGGTTGTCTTTGGAGCAGATGCTTTCTGTTACGGATCAGTTGAATGCGAATAACTTGGTCCTGGATGCTGAACGAGAGGGATTGCAGACTGATTTGTGGTTGTGGAGTGATGGGTAGAGGATACTGAGGAACTTGAGGTCCTGTGTTTCTTGTTTTCTTACCCTGCATCTATTGCATAACAGACATATATTCTGTGAAGTCATGAAGACAGCGGAAGGCACGAACCAATTCCCTCAGTCATTCCAAAGAATTGCTCTCTCAATATCATACATAAACTAAGAACTTAAGCCGACTAACCCAGCAAACCCCTAATCAAAATCCCTCCCTATTGCTGATTGATATATCTTGATTTTAAGTATAGATGCGTTGAGCTAGGGGGCGGGATATCAGAAGCATTTAGGAGTATGAATACGCGATAATTCTCATTTCTGCTACTGGGTCTCTATATCATCCAAGTTGCAGTTCAAGCCATCATCCTTACCATGATCCCAGCAAAATATGGCCAACAATACCATCCACCTGGAACAGGTCTCATCGATTTTAATGGCCCTGTGACCGCAGAAGAGAGGCTTCGCCTTTACAAGTCAGGTTAGTTAAAAACACCGGTATATGAAGCTTTCCTTTTGTTTTTGCTTTTCTACATACCAGTTGAGAATTGCAAAGTCGGTGCAATATCGTAATCGCCATTGCAGTAATCGTTATTGTTATTCCACTGGCACTCACCGCGGTGGCAAGTACCCTGGTACGACAGGTCGTCAGGCCCACCGCAGAAAAAGAGCGAGTCTCTTTTGGTGTGTGCATTTATAGGCTGTCCAGCAAGTTCCAGTGCATCTTCGATATCTTCCTCATAATTTCCTGGCATTGGGTCAGCAACACATTGGCCCGTATATGCTATGATGGGGCTTTTGCCGTTCGTACCTATTTTAAGGAGATCCCAGCCGCAGTACACCAGGCCGGACCAGCAGTTCCTAGCGTAGGCTCCTGAGAGAGCTGCTAGCAGAAGGAAGCTCTTGAAATTTCTCATGCTGTATGATGGGAGAAAGCCAGAAGGATAAGCAAGATAATTGTGGGTTGGGTGTTCTGAGCAAAGAGAAAGGAGAAGATGATTGTGTTTGATGGTCTGAGGAATGAATACTTGTCAAGCTATTTATAAGACTTTGCGAAGGGCAGGGGCCATCAAGTATGGTCCTACCACCAACGTTACTTGTTGTGCGTATCTCATAATACCTTTAGCGCCTAGTACGCAGTTCGGTACCGATGGTCGCGACTCGCGACCGCACACTTCCATATCATGCATGCTGTTATTGGAATCCATAATAAGCCAGCATAGAGTGGCTGGCTGAGGATACGAAATTCTAGGCTCAGGGTATGCATTAGTCTTTTCAGCCTCTTATCGGCCATGCCGATGAACTGTACAGGATGGCTTCCTACTATACTCCCACCACGATCTTAACACTGAATATCAACAAAGCAGTTTTACTAAACTGACATGCTATCACCTTTCATTCTAATAGCAAACACTACGCGCTTTACACGCAGCTCAGGATCTTGTACATAAATTCAACATCCTATTATTATGGGGTAACAAGGAAATCAAGCCACTACTTCTCTGTTCTCCTAGGATAGACTTCTGTCAGAATAAATGTTAGGCTGACCACACTTTACCCTTTATAGTCATTGGCTTAGGTCTCAGCTGCCAGTGCATACAGCAGTGTCATAATGTGGCATATGATGCCCTAAGAGGCGTAAAGCTGTGCTGTATATGTCTTGGGTTACATGAACGAGTATACAAAAAGTTGGTTATAATATCCGAGACCCTATGGGTTTCAGTCAATAATATCCCTCAGCACTTTTTAGTTTGTTTTAGACTCTTCTCCTTGCAATGCTTAGAATATTATTTCTAGCATGCAGTTCATAATTGGTATAGCAAACAATAAGGCTCAACAGCCCTTGTGACCTTGTGCAAGGAAACCAAATAAGCAACTGTTTTGTTGCACCAATAAAAAGCGGCATTGACTAGAAAGAAGAGAAGGTTTTCTCTCCCTGCTGCATGAGGCTAGAGAAACTAATAATAACAGGATTATATGCATCAACCCCATAGTTCATGACAATATCCAAAGCCAAAGGATAAAAGCTCCGGAAGCTCGGATATGCCGGGCGACCGCAATTCCCCGGTGGTAAAGGGCGAAGTGTACAGTGTACACAGACATCTTAGTAGACTTTTAGCCACCTGCAGAAATCATCACTCGTTTATGCAGGTTGATTGAACTTGTTTCTTATAGACCAGAACCCCGTGCCTGGACCGATTGGTTATGGAAAATATAGCGTCGGGAATCTCCGCGCTAGCAAGTACAGCCAAATATTACGCTAAGTCTAATCTGCTCACGTGTATCGATTGCAGTATTCCAATCGCTTCATGTCTCTCTATTGTAAAGCGCTAAGACAAGCCACACTGAGGAGGAGGTAGTATTCTCCCACAATATAGGTCTGCATTCCCCGCTTGACTATTTCCCCCGTGCGGTGTCAAGACATTCATGGCTACAGTCCAGCTGGCAAAAGAAAAGAGGAATTAATAAACGGGCTCGTTTTAAAAAATGTCTAGGTGGGATGTGATCCTAATATGCAGGAAACACTGAACTGTGGGGACTTCCCTACCGACGCATTTACACAGAATGGGTGGATGGAAAAGAAACCGGAGAATTATAACAACCCTGGAGAAGACGGGACACCTCATAGGCGCTAGGGGTATTCTGAGTAGTACGTACTTGGACAGGTATAATATCTTATAACACCTAGTCTGACCTAGCCTAAAAGTGCGACCTCCGAGAAAGCTGAGTTAGTAGTGCCTCTTGTGCTAATTTAACAGGACGCCGACGAGTAACAAATTATGATCTTAGCTAGACCCATTAATCGTAGTAGAGGGGGAAAATCCAAGTTGCGCGTTGTCAGTGCTTTGGTGATTCCGGCATATCTGTCTTCAGATCAGGTGTAGTCGAAGGCTGGCTGAGGCCAACGCTGCTAAGCATGTTGGTGATAATGGGCCAGCATCCTACCTATCTATCATATAGCTCGAACCAGCCAATGAACTAGTGCTGCGCCAGAGCACTTTCCCAGGCTGACTGAATTAGGATTTGTTTTTAGCTAAAGTAGCTGGACTGCAAACCTACAAGAGGGGCGCTGCGGAGAAGAGGAGCTGGGTTATGTACTCTTGCCTGGCTGTAAGAGAACGGGACGAACGTTGAAGAGCGAGATATACTCTCCGGGTGAAGGTCTTTGACATTCTTTCCTGCCAATCTATACATCCATATGCTTCACAGGGTCATGTTTTAAATCCTTCACTCATCCACCATGGAATCCAAAACATTATATCCCTCTGACTCTCGGTGTCAGTGTGACTTTATCGTCGCTACTACTCAGGCGAGCATCCACACTAGTCTACTAGACTTATCTTGAGGAGTAGACCAAACGCATATAGTATATATGCTTTCTGCAAGATGATAAGAGTTACTACCCCACGAAGTCAATCAGCTTGGAAGAGTGGATGGCTAAAGGTCAAGAACCAGCAGCTCAAAGCACTCGACAATCCTTTCTAGCACCACTTTCAGCCTTTTCGCAACTACTATTCGACCTGGATACCACAGTCCTCGAGACTATTCCTGCCTTCTCTGGCGGATCGTGAACCCGCTCAAGAACAGTAATGGCAATCTAGTTACAATCCCCCCCCCCCCTCCGGGAGAGCCAAGAAGCAGTCGCCACGTTGGACTATCTACGTGCGGTCAAGTCAATAATAACCCCCGTCCCTCAAGTTCCTAATCACTACTGTACATACATATACTCTCTCACTACTTCTATCCCTTTATCTTGGATACCCACTCCCCCGACAACAAGTCCCGAAGCACTGGTCTCCTATACCCGAATTCAAAGTCAACTCTCCTCGAAGATCTCAAAGATTAAAACAACACAACAAACATACCATTATACAGAACAGGGTCCCCACGAGACTCTTTAGTAATATCAGTTCGATCCCTAAGATAGGTCAGTATAGATACCTCGATGTTTCTCAAAGTACAATACACAATCCTTACTTGGCTGTCAATGTGATCTCCGAGTCGGTGTCAGAGACTCTCGTTGCACTTGTGCGGTCTGATCTATGGAGGAATGATTGGATCTTCGTCTTGAGATTCTTGGGGCTCGACTTCTCATTCATTATAATATATATTCAAGTGGTAGGGAGGTTCGTAGAGTTTGCTTTGTGGAAGCAGAGGCAAGCTAAAGAAAGGGAGAAAATAGCCCCAAGAGAATAAATATATTATCACAGACCATCGAGTTCTCTCGAGCTTGACAAACGACTATGACGTTGATATATATGTATGTACAACTCATACCATTCTTGATATTTACTCATTAACCTCTTCAACGCCATTTTAGTCAAAAAAAAAAAAAAAAAAAAAAAAAAAAAGAAAGAAAGAAAAAAAAAAAAAAAGAAAGAAAGAAAGAAAGAAAAAGGAAAACCCTCCTCGTGAGAAAGAAAGAAACAAAATCAGAAATAAAAAAAAAAAAAAAAAAAAAAAAATAGGTATACATACATACTGTAGTATGGATCTCGGGCAGGTACACATCAGCTGAGTGGAGAAGGCCCCAACCCTTCGGGGAAATTAGCTTCTCATTGGTCCACGCGTATGTATAGATCTGATGTTCGCCGAAATCCAAGTTAACCAAGACAGTCAGGCAACTATTGACAAGAATAACATAGTCTTATAACAAGAATTGGGAATTAACACCGAGATCGTCATTTCTGGGGGGGTTGGGTGAAATAGGAGACGGTTTGTTGAGACATTAAGTTTTTTTTTTTTTTTTTTGGCCTTTTTAAGCGGTGGGTTTCAGGCTCGAGCACTCTTTGGTATGTATCATTTCGTTTTTTTCGTTCTCCATGTCTGGGCTTGGTGTCTGGTTTGGGAAGTGTTGTGGCTCATTACTGTCTTTGTGTTTCTTTTGGGGGTTTCGTAGCAATCAATGTGAAAATCTTGCGTTTTATATTGGGACCAGTCTTGGATGGCTTCGGTGGAGGATGTATTATAACTTCACTTAGTATCTAGCCATTATTTCCAAGTGTTTAGATCTGAGTGAGTTGGCTAGATCGGAATGTGTACGCAAGGAAATTATGTCTCCATCATTGTAGCATGTGTTAACCACTTCATGAAATTCTAGTCTATATCTATTTCTCTAAAATCTAGTCTTCAAAGCCCACCCCGCACAAACCCCCCTCGCAACGCCAAAAGCAACAGTAGCCGTCAAATAAAGCACACCCCCAAACACAATAAGACCCCAATAATCCCCTCCATTGTGCTGTTGAATAGCACCCGCAATCGGAATCCCCGTGAGAGTGCCAATACTAACGATCGTGAACGTCGTCCCGTTTCTCTTCCCGTAGTCTTCTGTCGCACAGACCTGTGAGATACACACGGGCGTTAGACTGATTGCGGCTCCGCTCCAAAAGCCAAACAGCACGGCGTAGCATATAATGGCGGCTATGTTGTCTCCTGCCTTCAGCCAGAGAGCTAGGGTTAATGCTGCGCATATGAGCGATGTGAGGACCATGACATTGAAGCGGCCTAGTCGGTCGGCGATGAGGCCGGGGAGGAAGCGGCCAGGGACGGCGCCGAGGTTGAGAAAGACGATTAGTGCGTAGGAGATGGTGTCGTTGATTCCGACGTGGACTGCGTATGAGGCAATGTAGGTGATTGGTATGAACACGGCGAATTCTACTAGGAAGACGGCTGCGGTTGTGGTGGCGTATTTGATATCTTTGAGGGCTTTGAAATCAATGGAGGCTCCTGCTCTTTTGTTGCGTGGGAGTCGCGTTTTCATGAGGAGACAGGCTAGTGTGCAGAGAACGGCGCATACGAGTGCGATGATGCGGATGGCCCATGCGAATCCGATTTTGGGAGCTGCGAATAGTATTATCAGGGGGAATATCACGCCGCCTAGTCCGCCAGCTGTGCAGGCGATGCCTGTTGCAAAGCCGCGGCGGACATTGAACCAGTGTCCGACACATGAGACTGCCGGTGTAAACAATGTGCAGGCTGAGAGTCCGCCGAGGACGCTGAAAGATAAGAAAATCTGATAATATTCTGCATTGCGTTAGTATTGTGGTATATGTTGAGGACCATAGAATAGGGATGCCAGCAAGAAGTTGATACAGTCATACATACCTTCACTAAAACTGAAGCATATCAGTGCAGTTACAATTCCAATCGACCCAGGAATAATGACATAGGCTGGTCCATATGCATCGAAGATTGGTCCTGTTGCACACAGTTGAGTAACCTTTCTTGTAACTGAAACAACCTCACTCACCAGCTTGGGCTCCAGCAACGTAAAGGAAGAATCCATAAGCACCATATATCCAACCAATGCTTGATTCGGAGTATCCCTGAAGTTGATGGGTGCTCGTCCAGACGTGTAGGATCCCCAGGCAGTTCAGCAAGCCCATGGATGGGATCATAGCACACCACGCCCCGAAGACTACCAGCCATGCCCTGAGCCCTCCTTCGGGATAGCTTCCATGATCTGCTAGCTCGGGGCTTTCGGACGTCCTTGAAGGAGCCAAGCTTCGATCTTCTTTGCCTGACATATCCAAGTCAATGAGAACGGCAACGAGTAGCGGATTCTCGAGAGAGCAAAGTTGCCAGAGGATACATTAGAGCGATGGATGGTTCCGTACATATATTTATAAATATCTTATGCCTTCTCTGCGGGACCGACAAGTGGACTCGGTATTGGAGCCCCATCCTAAAAAAAACCGACCGCTGAAGCAGCTTTCAGAGCAAACCCGAACAGTGCTGGAGAGACATAAAGAGGAAAAGACTCCATCTAGTTTAGTGGCCGATTAAGGCTAGTATTGGGTGGAGTGAGAAAGGATGCTTCTGATGGGAAGCTCGGGCATCTCGAACGTTTATTGGTTGAATTGAGCCGATAGCCTTGACCGGCGATCTGCCAGGTCCACGCATTACAGATCACGCTTATTACATTTTTTTTTTCGCAATTTCGGCGTAGTAAATAGAATAACCACCGGGTCAATTACTAGGAGGATGCAAAGGACAGGAAGGATTGCCAACTAATCTAGAACGACTTAATGACGTCGATGGTGGTGGCAGGTAGTTCGTCGAGAGTCCGTACTTCTAGACTTCGGCAGGGGCCCGTTCAAGGTTCTGCCGAAGTCGACTTAAGCCTAGAAAGCCAGGCAGGAAGAAAACCAAAAGGACCAACAGCCAGATCAACCATATCTTTCAACCATCATCAATCATATAAAGCTGATTTCGGGAAGCTTTTGCCATGTACCTTTGAAAAATCACCTAGATCTTGAACTAACCCTACCATATATACCGGATAATTCCTACTGTCTATTCATGGCCAGGGATTCATTACTCGGTGCTTACTGGCCCCAATCATGTTGAAATGTTTTCTTGTCTTTAAATTGGGGATGTTGAAGTATTATGAAATGCACGTGACGTAGGGTTGATATGTGGTGTGGAACTAAAGGACTGGGGGTTCTGGGACTTTATATCTCCGATTCCTTGCTGCGAACCTCTATCTGAGTACCAAGAATAATACCTCCAAGTCGGCTGTCTTGGATAGTGACGCTAGCATAAATAAAGAGAACTATAATTGGCTTGACAAGAGAGAGAAGAAAGATGATGCTCGGTCTTTCAATGGCGGAACTTTGAAGGCAAGGGTTCATCGTGATCGTGACTTACGCAATAAGAACTTGTTAATAAAACTCGCTAGGTCACTAGCCGGACTACCGTTCTCGATAAGACCACTGTAACCTTCGCTATTACTTTTGAATAGTGAGTTCTTATCGAAATGTCACGGGTCTTGTGGTCTGGCAGCTGTCGCAAGGGTACCCATAGTTAGCGTCGGTCATTCCTTTCAGAACTTATTGTGATGCTCTTTTGTGTCTAATAAAATTTACAAGCAGTCAATTGCTTGTCGCTTTTGTCGCGATAACTAGTCACTGTTCGTTAGAACGGGTGCGCTTGCGACTGTACTGATACCCAGGCTGTCAAGCTGGGGCCTATAGAGTAGCAAGTGATAGAAGGGAGTGAGAATGCTAAGTAGGTCACTTACCGAGGTATGCTCCCCTAAATTATAGGATGGTCGTCATAACGTCGAACTGTGAAGGACCACTCGAAGATATATCCAAGTAACAATAAGATAACTAGATATATAAAGAACTAAATACATGTGCGAGATCTCATAACGACTACCCAAAAACACCATCAAAAGACAAAATAAAATGTAAGAAAACTGACTGAGAGTATTCTGATCGGCTGTTTATCCAATTCTATATATTCCATGGCTCCTGTGCTTCCGTGTTGCTGTCTGGCGCGGTAATAAGACTGCATTATCACGACACCGTATCTCGCATATGACCCAAGCTTATTCGACATAGCAGTTTCTCGAAATCTGATACATTTAGCTTTGGTAGAACATCAAGCAAGCTCAAAGTCACATATGGTCATCACCACATCAGTCACCGCTATATTTATTCTACGGATTGAATTCTCAGAGTAATTCATCTTGGTTAAATTTGCAATATTAGTTTAACCGCATGGTTCATCTGACTAGGTACGTATTGCTGTGCTTCACCAGCCGGAGTCATCGGAGCCATAGCCATTGTTTGAGAGCTTACGGTAAAAGACAATTAGTAGAGAGTGGTGGTATAAGAGAGTCACAGTCCTGCAAATTTCTTCTCCGGTAGCAATTTTCAGGATGCTTCCCCGTTAAGCAAGATAGATCACCAGAAGCACCTCTCACCCAAGGGGCCACGGTAATGTCTCCGAACACGATGGGCCTTCCTCCCAGGCCACTGCTAGGTAGATATCTCTGCCGTTTAATTTTGTGTGAGTGACAGTGAGTCCATCTGGTTCTAAGCAATCAAACAGTCCCGAAATCCAGACTTTGTGACCGGGGTAATTCTTTACTTGGATATTGCTCCTCTAGGATAAGGCAAGGAGTAACAGTGAATTAATAAAAAGAAACATGATATACCTGCTTCTAGAATATAGTAGAGACTGTTATCTATATCGGAAATATAAAAATATACTTGTATACCCTAGTTATTTTATGACACGCAGTGCACTAAACCTTATCTAAATGACTTAACATGAGTTTGTTTCTACCTGGTAGTAATATCAGTCCACATATAATACTAGTATAAAATGTACAAGGATCGAGAATTAATAGCTCAGAGATTTGGTGCAACCCTAACAAGATGTATGGATTAGATTAATTTGAAAAGTAGTCATTTCGACCAGAAATCTGTCAACACTCTTATACATCTCAGTTGTTCCGCCGCAGATGCCTTGCCGCTTTCCTATCTCTCTAGGGTCAAGGTGATTATCACCATGCTGATACTTAGGCATCCACATGAGAGCCATGGTTGAGGTCTTGAACCATAGCCAGCCTTTCAGCATCTTCATATCATACCAACCGTTAGTGTAAATTCTACACTTATTTATGTATGACACACTGACCATGCGACCCGGAAAGCCCCGAAGAAGATCCTGCAAAGTCTCGACGCTCCAAAGAGCTACCGGTATCTCTTTTCTGCAAACGCTGCAATTTACGTAGCTTCGAGGCGATTGCAAAACGTAGCAACAGTTTCAACCTCTTCTTGTCATCACTCGAGTGTTGGGTGTAGTATTTTACCACCTTCATCTTCCTTTCACGGCGGAGCTCGTCGCCCAGTTTGATGAAATCTGCGTCGAAATTCTTTAACTTCTCATCGAGAAGAGTTCCAGACATTGGAGGCTCTTTTGGATATGGCGTGGTGTAGACACATGGGTAGAACATTGTCTGCTGTTGAGGGAGGTTGGTCTTTTCTATTTGGTGGTTTCTATCAACTAAATCATCTGATTGTGGTTGAGACATCTTGACCTAAGATACTTAGGTATGCACGAGAATGCGGAAAGAATGTATAGCAGAGTTTCAAGAAAGAGGAATCGTAGGCAAATCAGTACCACCTGACCCGTCCTTGAGCAGAAGTCATTAAATTCATGCATGTATACGTGAACAGTCTGTGCGACATCCGATTATCCGGGGAGGATCTACTGCCTCTTAGCACGTATGGGCTCTAGGACTTTCTTTTATTAGCCTAATATCGCTTGCCACTCAAAACTTTCGATACGAATGTTGGTCGTATGTCGAAATTTGGCTATCTAGTCTATTTTTTATGTCCATATTTTCAGGAACTGGTCATCACAGATAAACCAAGCTCTAGGGCAAGCCATAGACTGTGCGAGCACGCTTCAGATGTGCCTCAGATGACTACGCGTTTCTGGCTATAGATAGCCCTGACGCCTCCCCATCGATGAAAGAACCTCAAATACCACGATTGAATACCACTTGCCCATTCTCACCTCCTCTTCCATGGAAATTTTCTTCTAAACGATCGGAATTCATCACCAATCTCTGTGGAAATACGCCCAAAGCGAACGGGAGGGCGAAGGCAGACGTCAAGAAGACCAACCCTACAAAAGGCTTAGTATATGGGCCATGGATCATACTCCTACAGGGGCTAACTGACCTATATTGATAGGCATCGCAAGGTATGGGCGCCTCTTCAGCACCTCTGTCTTCTGGAAGCGCAGAAGAAGGAGAGGTGGGATGACCATAACCGGCGTAGAAGTGACAACGCGACTAATGGCCGTCTCGCCTACCGCGATAGTTGCAGCCTTCTGGCTCTTTCCCAAGCTTGTCACCAGTGCCTTCTCTCCAGTGTCTACTTCTTCACTTGCCACTGATGTGAATGGGTAAGCATCGATTCCTTGTCTGATTTCCTCGCCGCGCATGAGGAACACGTTGAGCGCACCAGCACTGGCAACAGCTGCGAAAGGGACGAGGCGTCCTAGAATCACTTTCGTACTTGGTGAAACCGACTTTAATCTTGGAACGATGGAATTCAGCCCGAGCGCGACCGAGCAAGAAGCAGATACCGCCATGAGATACGATTTAATCATTCCCGCTGTGGAAAGAGGGGTGGATTTGTTCGCGTTCGCACTGTTGATGGCCACATTCAAGGACTGGTTGGCAATTTGCCAGGCCAAGGTGCCTTTCCACTGTAATGGAGCATTGTATTAGCTTATCATACGTAATAGAACGAAATATCATTTAGTCCGCATTCACCTTCATCCCCGGGATAAGCATGCCCGCGGTAACAATCAAATTGGAGAAGACATAGCACGACATGCGGAATGGTAGAAGCACTGGCTCTCCTGTATCGGGATGCAAGGTTGAATCGACAATCTTCTTAGCCTGCCACAGTTCTGGGCTCATGCTTTGGATTTCCCCCGATCTGTACTTCGTGAGAAGGTCTTTCGCATTCTGCAGTCCGGCGCTGGATGTAAACAATGTCCTTTAAGCATCACATTGTGGGTTAACTGATGTCTCATTATTGGAAAATGAATGTCAAATTACCTAGGGTCTGATAGGTCTGCGCATTGACGAACACGTCCCAGATACGTCGAGAGATCATATTGCGACGCGGGCAAATCCCGATTTCCTGGAAGTGATATGGACATTGTGATTGTGTCCGACAAGAAGGTATGAGTTGATGACCAGAATAATTTTAGAAATTTTCTTTAATAGACAAACTGCATCAAGCCTTCCTTTTTTTTTTTTTTTTTTGTTTTTTTGGCCTCCTGGAGGGCCACTCTTGCGCCCTCCGAAAACACATAGACATATGGCTAAGGGGAAGATCCACCAAAGGCCGAAGATGTTCTCAGATGCAGAGTTCACAGTTTCGTATTTTGTTCTTACAAGGTTTTAAATGTGGTCTAGGATAGAAACATGGTCTCCTTTTGAGAACGCATCCATGTTGTTGAAGTAGTAGACACGCACCTGACCACGGTTACCCTTAACACGCACTAGTACAACCTGCAATGTCTGACACAGTCCCTACTACTGCTCAAAAGCCAAATGCAGAATACTTCCTGTAATCGCTTTAGGGGCTGCATTGACTACACTAGGGGGGCTGGTTGGACGGTTGTTCAAGACCCATTAGACTGACTCTTGACTGCGCCTTCTCACAACATTGGTCCGGGCCAAAGCCCGAACGAATCAGATCATTATTTCGCCGAACGTTTCCGAAATACTTTTCGGCAGACACAGAATAATCCATTTTACCCTACTACCTTTCGCCGAACATTGAAAAGCCAGAGAATGGAGTCAATTTCCCCGAGAAATGCAAATAACCCTCATACCCCGAGCTATAATCGCCCGTATCGTTCTAAGAGGCATCCGCCTTGTGATCCATGTCGTCGAAAGAAGTTAAGATGTCAAGCGGAGAGAGGAAATAGTTGTCAAAGATGTCAAACTTCTGGTACTTTGTGTACCTTCGGTGGCCTTCAGGTTGTTCATCAGCCATCGACAGCACTCCCGGATGCGAGCCAGGCGTCTCCTCCTTCGGCCCGACAAGTGACGACGGTGCAGCCCGTAGAGGAGGCAAACGTCTCAGTCAACACAGATGACTTGGTCCGATGCCAATCAGAGCCTATCCTCTCCTTAGACCCTTCAGCTGGCCATGATTCAAGACATATTCCGTCAAGCGAACCCGTTACGACGGCTCCAGCAACTTATCACTTTCCAGAGAGGCCTCCAGCTCAGGCGATTCAAACGTTGGATCAGTTGGACGGGTTCTCATATCAAGTCATTGGGGCATCAGGCGAATCAGACCCATGGCTTCTTCGACATTGCAAGTTCGACGACCATGGTTTTCTTCTTTTCCATCAGGTACATTTCCGAAATGCGGGAGGGGTTCCGCTTGACGAAAAGATTCCCGTTCACTTCCTAGTAACTGCGGACGAGTTGTATGCGTCCACAAAGAAAGAAACAGCGATTCCCAGGAGTCAGAGTTTGAGGGATGAGTTAAACAGTCTTGTTCCCCTAGACTGCGGCCAAAAGCTGGTAGCCTTGTTAGTGGCCGCCTCCTATGATTCACTAGCATCAACTGACATAACAGGTTTGTCAAATTCGTCTTCCCTACTCTTCCTATCATCTCTAGGACACTATTCGGTCTCACCTCTACTCGCATCACACCCGATCAACATGTCCTTAACAGCATGCCGGTCCATCTCCTGGCCGCTATATACGCTTCGGCACAGCCATTTACCAAGTTTGACGAGTATCTCTCAGTTCTCAACGCTTACAAAACGCCGCCAACTGAGCAGCTCTGGCGCATAGTGTGGGAGATTCTCCTACAAGAGATACACACTCCTCACTTAGCAGCCCTTCAAGCAGGACTTCTTTACTTGCACAAAGCACCCGAAAAGAGTCAAAGTGCTGTTGCTGACAGCGCATCTGTATGGTCTTTTGTTGGATTGCTCGTCGGACTTGCTACATCGCTCGGTCTTCAGCTGGAATGTGGGCCGATGGGCCTTCCGGCCTGGGAGCGGCGATTGCGAAGAAGACTATGGTGGGCGATTCATGCCGAGGACAAATGGAGAAGCCTCCTAATGGGTAGACCCCCATATATCAGAAATGATGAGTGGGATGTAGCAGAACTCGACAACAATGATTTCCAAATTGATGAAGCGCAGATCGCCCTGTTGTCACCTCCAAACAGCCTCCTGACACAAGATGTACTGCATGCGCAGCAATTCCAATGTTTTGCCCGTTTGTCTCGAATAGCAGACGAGGTGCAGCACGACCTTTAGTAGGTGACATCTTTATCATACAGAAATCGTATCATTGTTAACCGGCATTTAATAGCGCTCTGCGGTCATCACAGCGCCTATCATCGAATTTCTCGGAATCTCTCAAAACTGCTCGTCCACTCCTACAAAGGCTGAGGGAATGGTACGTCCAATTACCGGCAACACTCAGACTGCATGATAGGCTTTTCGCATCCATCGACGGGACAGGTCCGCAATTAACCTGTCTTCATTTTGCATACACGCTCTTGGAAGTGTTTATCTTCCGCGCTCTTCTGCGACCTATGGTCCGATCAGCTACTCCGCCGCCCTTATTCGAAGAAACAGAAACAAACAACTTCACCACGGCCCTTGATGATTACATCTTTCATATCATGGAACCTGACGAAATTGAACCGACCCCAGCAATAGACCTGTCAAATGAGAATGGTGCGGGGAGTGCAGTTCTCAAAGCGGCCGAGAACTGCGCAGCGAAGATGCTCCGATTGGTGATGAGAATGGCATATAGTGACTTGGCTGGGCAATGGTTTTCATGTATGCGTCTTCTATCTCCTCTTTTCTCTGAGCAAACATGATCTAACATATTATCTGCGCTCAGGGTCTCGGATCGGTTTTGCGACGGTTTCCAGCTTCATGTTACTCTTACTCGTACAAGCACCGTCGAAAGATCAAGCCATCAGGGCCAGACAATTAGTGCATATGTGGCGACAGGCGCTTCGAAGGCAGAGCGATGGTTCCTCGTTGATGAATCTGGCTCTGGTACGGTTGGATGGAATTCACTGGACCGGACTGTGCCGGAATTATTACCTTCCAAAGCATGTCAAGGAAGCGCTTGATGAGACTGTGTACCAGTAGAAGTGCTTGTGTTTTCCTCGGATACTTTACGAGTGTGGCGAATATTTCGAGTATAGAATTCATTTGTATCGAGTCATGTGTCTTTGCCTTTTTTTCTTTTTTTTTTTTTTTTGTTCGGGGGGGTTATATATATTTCTAGAGTCAGAAGTAAGTAAAGCGAACATGCAGAATAGGGCCGTGCGATATCAAAAAATCCAATATACCTGCTAAATTAATAATAAATTGCGATCTCTCGTCGATCAGAGTCGATCGGCCGAATGGGCTACGTCACCTAGAGGGCTAACAGGTAGGTTTTTATTGTTCTTATTATAGGCCGGGGTTCTAAGTTATTGTGCCCGGCGGAAAGCGAATCTCTGGAGGTGGCGTATAGCTTCCCCCCCTGTTAGCCATGGAAGGGTCTGGCCAGCTCTACCCTGGAACTGGTGGCACTTGCGGAGTACTTCATATCAAAGTTGTTTTGGAGGAACAAAATGCAGTCAGGAGATGGAGAGAAAATATAGTTAGTAAGTACATGATTGCAGTATGTGGAGGAGGGTCGCATTATGTCCGGCCGTTGAATGGCGCAGGATGCGAAGAGAGTCTAAGACTGAGCTGCAAGCGATCAGCAACGAGTAACCCGAATCAGTATGTGGCTTCCGAGTGACTTTCGATGACCAAGTGGGTTAGTCTCCACCGTTGAAGGATTAAACTGTAAACAGTAAATACAACTGTACAACTGAACCTTGGACAATGAAAGTGAATGATATCTTTGTTTTTATTCCCTATCTTCAACCAAAAAAAAAAAAAAAA